GTTGTTGTTGTTGTTGTTGTTGTTGTTGTTGTTCATTCTGCTCGTCTCCTTCTCCTTCTCCTTGTGAAGCCTCGGGCCTTTCTCGTGGTTCGGCATGGGTGTCTGCGCCTTGAACGTTTCGATTCTCGGTCCTGTACGGGTCATGCCTGGACCTCGGAGGCTCGTCGCCGGTGATTACGCCCTTGGCGGCGTGGTAGGCTCGTTTCACCTTGGAATCATCCTCATCGTCGTGCTGTGCGGACTCGGCCTCTTCTTGCTGTCCCTTCAATTCACTTCGCTCGGCCTTGTACTTTTGGACGGTAGGGATAGGGTGTCGGGCGGTGTAGGGTGCTCTGTAGTTTCGTTGACGAGAGTCTGGCTCGAATTCGTCGTCGCTGGCCATGACGAGTGACTCGGAGAGAAGCTTGTCTTTTCGTTTTCAAAAGGTGGGCACGAGACAAGTTCCAAAGGACAAGTACAAAACATACGCATGGAAGAAGAAAACCGGCACCGGCCTACCTAATTGTATACAAATACAAGTACAAGTTTGGTGATACACGGTTCTCCCCAGTGTCAGACTTGAAAAGAAAAGTGAATCAGTACCTCGTACGAATGTATAATACATACGAGTTGCTCCTCAAAAGACCACATCATCATCATAACATGCCCAGGCCAGGTCAGGGCCCTGAACACACCCCAGAGGAGGAGAAGGAGGGAACAGTGGGAAGGCGATGACGTCCAGGCGTAGAAAAACTTGGAGTCGAAGCGACAAAACTCCCCACAATCAGGATCCAGCAGGATGTAATGAGTGTCGCCATGATCAGCGTCTGTTCGTACTCATACCCTCTGTTTGCAAACGCATTGTCAGCAGAAACACCGTTTACACGCTGGTTGCAGAATCAAGGAACAAGAACAATAACGATGATCGACCGACCCCTGTTGTTATAGTGCCCTGTGGCGCGCCACCACCCCAACGAGTATTGCAGAAAGAGCCTCAAATCACAACTTCGTTCGTGCTCCGTACTCGTAACCATCTATTCATCCTTCTCTATTTTGGGTGCTCTTCCGACCTTTTGATCGACACGCATGTGATCTCCTGTCCGAGACTCCCGAGAATTCCATGTCCACCACTCATCAGAAAACAACAACCCATACCCACTACGACGTCCTCCAACTCCCGCGCGGTGCGGACTGGAGCCGCGTGTCTCAAGAAGACATCAAATCAGCATACCGGAATGCATTGTTGATCCATCATCCGGACAAGGCAGCACACGTATCTCTCTCAAAGAAACAACAACACCAAAAGCCCCCCTTCCATGATAGTTCCCCTCCGGTGTATTCGATCGATGATATTGTCATTGCGTACGAAGTCCTAGCAGATCCCAGAAAGCGAAGGATTTATAATGAAACACTTGACAAAAAGGAGGGTTCTGTGACGAACGAAAAGGATACACATATCGGTGTCGAAGTCTTTGACCTCGAAGACTTGCAACATGACGGGCACAAAAATATCTGGTCCAAGAGTTGTCGGTGTGGTGATGAACAAGGTTATGTTTTGACCGAGACCGATCTTGACAATGAGAGTCAGCATGGAGAGATCTATGTTGGCTGTCAAGGGTGCAGTCTATTCATCAAGGTCTTGTTCGCTCTTGAAGAGGGATGATTACCTGCCTAGAGTCCATAAGTTGTGTCATATTCATGTGTCTCGACCTGTGATCAACGACGACATCATCCAGTAAGGTCTTGCAAGGTATTTGGAATAGCATCTCATGATGAATTCTTCGGAGGAGCGGCGTCCTCCAATTTGATCAATGAGGTGATTGCCTCGTTGACATCTTCATGCCTTCCTTGGAGCACCGCTTCAAATTCCTCCTTTAGCCCAAGGTACGCATCGGCTAGTTCTTGGGTCTCTTTGATGATCTGGGTCTCCAATTCAGACTTGCGACGTGACAAAGTAAGCAGTCTCGTCAAGAAGTCATCTTGGATATGGTCGCTGGGAAGAGCAGGATGTGTCAGCACTGACGAATCCGTGTCGCAACAAGGGAAGGATGATGGGTAGAGAGAGATGCCTCGCTTCCCTTTTCACAGTAAAAAGGGTGAATCTGGGAAAAGTGACACTGGGCAGTTAACAAGAGAGGTAGCAGCAGCACTTACACCTCTCTTTTTCTTCTTTCACTCCTCTCCTCGATCTTTTCCTGCACGACACAAACCTGATTCTCAAAGTCGGTTTCGAGATGACGTTGTCTCTGTTCTTTCCTCAGGCCGGTCTAATCACACAAGTTCCACGCAAATTGTCAGTTTTCGACTTATCTTTGATAGTCCCAGACACTTCCGGCGAATAACTCACATCAACGACCATGCTCATCTTAAGGCTCTCTTCGAGGTCTCGCAAATCATTTGCATTACTCTCGGTCCCACTCTCGGCGTCGCCATCGTTGAGGTCCATATCACCTTCCATCATCGACACATCGTTCGCACCATAATCATCATCGGCTCCAGCAGCAGCAACCTCATTCCGGCATCGACGAGAAGACGACTTTGATTGTGCGGCAATGCTTTTACGAGAGGGCCGTTTCGGTGGCATGATGAAACAATACGAATAGATGAACTAGAACTTTTCCTAGGTAGGCCGTGATGGTGAGGTCGGTTGTATGAGGAGATGAGAAGTTCAGTGGTTGAAACGTACTTCTGCGTTCCTAAAAAGGCCACAAGGACTGATCTGAGGAAGGGACAAATTCGGTCCTCGCTATTAGGTGAGCTGAGGTCATTTGCCTCTTCCAAGCACCGATCGTGGACTGTAGACCTGCTTCAATTATCATAATGGTTGCTACCTGATCCTTCCCACCCGATAAAATACTATACAAATAATACACACCCTGTCCATGTTCGAACCCGGCTCGTCATTCTTATTTCTTATTCCACGATCTCCAACTCACCCTTTCTCTCCCTGGCAAACGTATCTTTATATTCATTCCACAGCCACAGCAATTCGTCCGTGTACTGCTGATGCATCTGATCAAGGTAAGCTTCATCTACCTTCCCATCCCGACCACCTTGTTGCACGACCTTGATGGGTCTGCCCACAACCACATTGACGTTGCGCCGATACGGCAAGAGACCGACATCGTAGTTGAAAATCCCCCTGGCATGAAACAAAGGTACGGTGAATCCCATTGCCTTTTTGATCACCATCTGCATCTTGTGGATCCACGGATGCTCTACGCTGTCCACTTGTTCGTATAGTTCGTTTTCCCCAAACGCCAACACAGGGACGAGGTCTGCGCCCGTCCTGATCGCCAGCTTCACAAATCCCTTTCGACTCTTCAAAACCAGCCGGAGAGAATGAGGCTTCGCGTCTAGACTCTCCCTGGCACCACCGATCACAATCGTCACGGCACGACCCATGCCTTCACCGTTGTGGCCGCCTTTGCTCAGCAAATTCTCAATGCTCTCCCTGCTTACGCTGGCCAGGCCCATAGCAAGAGCGTACTCTCTGTACAGGGGGACTCGAAAGTTGGTGTCCAACGTCAACAACGTGTTCGTGATGCCGGGGAACAGGTCCCCAAACCCCAACGCCTCTGTCGCGAACGCGGCAAACGCTCCATGTGATATGATCCCATGCGGGTGGTACCCGAATATGTACTTCCTCGTGGGTTCCAGTTCCACCGTCCTGTGCAACCTGGCAGGAAAGTAACTAGCAAAAGCGGACCAGAACTTGCTTCGTCTCAGCCAACTCGACCGTCGTGAGAGTGTCCCATTCGTAGCCTCTTCGCTGATCAACACAATGTAGAGGAGGTAGGGGATCAAGAGAGGCCAGGTCAATGGAATGGCGCAGAGGAGGAAAAAGAGGGACAGGAATATAGGAATGGTCGTGGTATGCCACAGCACTGCGAGGGTTTGAAGACGTCGTTGCAAGGGGACATTGAGAGGAGCCCAGCGTATCCTATGGATAGGTGTCAACATCAGCCCGTGTCAAACAATTACGAGAAGGGGGGAACCAAATCATACGCAGAAGTCTGCCATCCAGCCCCAGCTTGCCGTCCACTGGCGAGATTTGCTGCTGGATGTGTACTCGTACTGGTCGTGTCCTGTCGCTTCTTTACCTTGCCAGGTCCGACTTCTTTCTGGGGCGCCGTCTTCACACTGTGGCGCAGACTCTTCTCATACTCTTCGCTCGGCTTGATGCTCGTCAACGAGCTCTCTCCATTCTGTCCCTTGTGCTCCTGGTAGAGGACTTTTTCGTCATCTACTTTTTTCTTCACCTCCGACGATGTGTGGCCATTGACCTGTCGACGAGTGCCATTCCCATTGACAGCAGAGCCATTATCCACCTCCTCCTTGCCTCCGAACTTTGGAGTGTCATTGTTTTCGGCGTCGAGAGCTTGCGCGTAGGATTTTGGAGGAAGATCACGCGCAGCACGATCTTGAGGTTTGGAAGGTTCGGAAAAAGCTAAGCCACCAGGGCCGTCGTTGTTGTCGACAGAACACGAGGTCGTTGTGGTGACCATCTTGTCGGGTGTAAGCAAGACAGAGGAGTCTGCTGTGTAGGTAGGTATATGGACTGGACTGAGCTCGCTTACGAAGAGAGACTTGGTCAGGCAAAATCGGAATCGCCGCGCCGCAGCATATAACAAGATTGAGAATTTACCAGGCTGACATTGGGAAAATGCCAAGTCTCTTGCCAGCAAGGTACAAGGATGACTTGTGTGGGAAAAAGAGATCGTTTCGTGTTTATGAAGCTGATTTCAAGAATGCGCATTATGCAGGTGGTGACGAACAAATTCTCCCCCACAATGACGTACTCGAACAACAGCTTGAATTCATCATCTATCAACTCTTTCAACAATCCCATTTCTATTCGTCTTATGATAGCAGAGTGATGATAACATGATTCCCATTTTAATCCTTACTATTTGCGTATTCTTTCTGCACCGCGGATATATACTTGGAAAGTTGAAAACCCCCCACAATAGCTGCTCCTACCCTCATGTGCATGTAGGTCGCAGCATCTGCCAACGCTACGACAGCTGGACCCAGCCCAAGCAGAGTCTAAGGGTCAAGGAATTCAGAGAGAACTCGTCTTCTACAGACCCTTGTTCGCAAATCCAAGCTGAAGGTTGTCGTTGTCAAAGATGGCAAAGACAGCCTTGAGGAAAACATCTCCATAGATGGAAAGGCCCAACCCCTGGTTGCTCTGGATGCCTCCGAAGCATGCTGGGAAACATGATTAGCAGTAGACCGTGCCCAAATTGTGGAATGCCTTACTTGAGGAGCCGTCGGTGATAGGGGCAAAGTTGACAAAGGATCCAGGGACGGTGAACTTAGTATTCTCAATGCCCAAGATGAAGTCGGGAAGATCGGATGAACAATCAAAGGTATAGCCACCTTGGCTGTTATCATACTGAGCACCGTTGACCTCACCATAGTATGCAGAGACAATGTCATCGTCGACGAGGATCAAAGTGGTGCCCGTGTCAGCGATCGCATCGATGCTGCTGGACTGGAATTGGCCATTTCCAACACCATAACCGGTGCCAGTAAACTCCCAGAATCCTTGGCCATTGTTCACGGCTGTGTAGGTGATGTCGCCAGTATATTTGCTGCTATCAATGAAGCCAAAGTCGTAAGAGCCAGGAGCGCCCTTCTTCAAGTCGGCAGTGAAGACATTTGCTTCAAGAACACCTTCTTTAATGGCCGTGTCGAAGAAAGTGGTTTGTTGCTGAGGCTTGACTGTTTCAAGTTAATAACGACTACGAGGCAGTTGCCGGTAGTACTCACCTGTGTTGATCGAGCTGAAAGCCAAACCCAGCAAGCCATCGTTGTCTTGGTCCTGCTGGAATTGCGCACTAATTGTCTCCGCCAATTCAACAGCTTGGCTCGTAACGGTAGTGCCTCCGACATCGACAGTATCGGTGTAAACATTGCCACTGGCGCCAGAGCCATCGCCGTAGCTGATGTTCCAAGTGGCCCCAGAAAGTTCCTTCGACGTGGAAGATTTGGTTGGATCATAAATACTGTGACCACGGCTCTGAGAGCTTGACAGCTCAGAGGAGAAAACCCACCTGTTTATGGTCAACATCCATTTCTAGGGTGCAACATTTAGTCATACTTACAAGTCGCTGGACCCTGTATCAAAATCCAAATTCAAGGTCTGACCACCAATGGAGACAGGGCAAAGATATTCGGCATCGTATTGCTCAGGAGTAGCAGTGACAGAGCCATTACTAGTTGCAGCGTTGCTGACATCGGCAGGGGCAGGCTTATTGTACTTGTTGTAGGTCTTCAACAGCTGAACAGGACCGGCCTGGTAAGGCTTTGCGGGACCTTGATTGACAGTGAAACCTTTCTTTGTGTTGACTGAGGCCTCAGGGGCGGGTATGGGCTTCGCCAGCGAAGTCGATGCCAGGGCAGAGAGTGCCAGCGCAACCGTAAGAGAATGCATGGTTGATGGAGGAAAAGAATGGACGTTTTTGAATAAAAACTACAAAAGAATGGCGGTTGTGCTGGCAATGGGGAGGTAGAGACCGTGATACTGTCGTTGAGACAAAAAAAATGAGTGAATGATGATGATGATGATAATGATGGAAAAGTTGCTTGAGAGAACATACTTGCCCTGTGCTTATATATGTATATCATGGTGGAAGTCTTCCCTGATACCACGGAGCGGATCCAATGCTCTATGCATGAGGTCTGCAGGGAATCAAGACAAACATAACGCGATGATACACTGGAACCCTTCGGTGACGATCATTGATATTGAAGGACCCGTTGAGGGACGTCAAAGACCGGGAATGTCACGGAGACATAGACAATTCGAGAAGGTAGATAACCAAGGTTCAATTGAAATATTCGAGGGCACATGTCTGTGCAGGGCAGTGATTCGAGAAGAAAGCAGTGTGAGCCAAGCAGCCGAGGAACATTCGGTATTGCTCATCTAAAAAGAAAAAGCATGTTCAGCTGCTCCATTGGGTGGAAGACGGGAGAACAAGGCTGTTATGGTGCTCATGCAGACTTAGGTTGGCGCTTGGGGGAAATTGAGCCGGAATTAATGAAACATGGACTGATACGATGCATGAAATGGGTGACAATGCTAGGGACAAAAGAAAAGCGAATCCATGATGGAAAACGCACACGGACGATGGTGCTGGTGTTGACATTAAGATGAGGTCGTGAGATGGGAGACGGATGCCTATTTGTGGTTGGCTGCAGCATGGAACACGCTAAATGGCATGATCGACGCCCCTTCACTCTGCCATAACAAGGCCCTACGACTAGCTTGTCATGCCTCTATCCCACTCTTCTCAGGCCTCAAGGCAGATCAAGCCTAAGTAGAATGCTTAAAACCCCCTCCTTATTCGTCGACTCTGAAATGAAGCTCTGCACCTTCGTGTTTGACGATAAGGCTACCTGACAGCCTGGTCCCTGCCGGTTATCGCGGCCTCTGGGGGAGCAAGCCGATAAACAAGCCCCCCGCTTCGATCGAGATGCTACAGTATGAGTGTGCTTTCTACTACACTGTAACCCTGACTCAAGTCTGCTAATCGCATGCTGGCCATTCTGGTCTGCCTTGTTCTGGGGGTGGTCCCTAACCCTAACCCCGGCCGTAGCCCTAGCCCTAGGACGAGTACGAATACGACAATGGATACTTGGAGACCTCACGTGACGGCCATTTCGGCTATCAGCAAACCTGCAGGATATCCTTGAATCCCTGGAGTCCGGGGTTCAACACGAGCAATAGATCGAAAATGTACTGTAAACAAATCAGGTGCTGGACTATAGGAGATTCTGAAAGATATACTTCTGTTGTGAATGCGATGTCAATTTCTCGGTCTATCCAAAGTTGCTTCCACCTAAGGGATATGCTGCTTCGGACATCTCCCAAAGAGGGTTCTAAATTCTCGGTCAATTCCGGAATGTAGTATTTTGATCAAGCCAAGATATTGCCTTGGACGTTCCCATGAAGTAGGAGCAGAGCAAAGAAGGATAAAAAAAGTGACAAGGAACAGATTTTACAAGCATGGATAACGTGGAGAGAAAACCCGAAGGTCGGCACTCTTTAGACTCTGCGGCTCAAAACGCTTCAGGAAGGCTTCTCTTCCAAGAGGCGTGAAGTTTCAAACTTAATGACGCCAGTGTTTTCTCATCATATCGTCGTTGGGAAATCAGTCCCGTCGCTGCAAGTGCCGCATGCTAGGGCGCTGTGTGTGGGGGAGGAGGCTTTATAGGTTTCGCTGTGTCCGACCGGGGAACTCCAGCTGCTAGCCCAGCCAGGGTGCTGGCGGCATCGCTCTCTGACCGATCTAATTGAGGTCGTGCGTCTTCTCGCACAGGTCGTCGGAAATACGGTGGCTCTTCGCCCAGCGAAGGTGAGCCCAATTGAGACAAGGCTTGGCTGGTGGTGGATGGTGGCCGGGGTGGTGGTAGCGTCCGCATGCTTGCGCCTTGCGAAAAGTCTGGTGGTCGGTCTGACGACATCATTGGTAATCGTGATGGGTGTTGGAATTGGTGTGTCGCGGTGTTGTAGGGGAGTGAAGCATGCAGTGTCCTCGGCATCTCCTGGTATGCTGCTCTGGGATCGGAGCCTCGCTGCTGCTGTCTCCAGGTCATCTCCTGCATTGTAGGCGACAAGTGAGCCGGGGCACTCATGATTCCTTGAGGGCCGAAGGGGGGTGTGGGGGGATTCTGCTGTTGAAGAAAGTATGCTATTCTAGAACGTTCGAGATGGTCGGGAGTTGTCATGTTTTCCGTTGGCGAAGCAGTGGCAGTTTGTGCTGATAGTGGTGGTGGCACCGAGGCACCAGCCCCCAGGGAAAGAGCTGCCGTCCGCATTACCGGTTCTGGCAACTCACTTCGCACAGTAGTCGACTCATCTGAGACAGAACTGTGGCTTGATAACAGTCCTGGGCGGAAGTATTCTCTAGTCGCAGGAATGGGAGGCGAACCGCTGCGGGAGGAAGGCAGTGGCGGGCGCGATGGCATCACGGGTACGGAAGGAGTTGATTGCATAGCTCCGCCAGTAAGCGATGAAGATGCAACAGATCCCACAGAGCCACCTCGAGTGTGTCCAGAGGCCTGAGGCACAGCTTCAGGTTGGAGTTCTAATGACTTGGTTGATATGATGCTCCCACTAGATTCAGCTTCGAGTTTAGGTCTTTTTGGCTCCGCGGGCTGTCCATGCTTGCTCTTGAAATCTGCCAAGTATTGCATGTATTCCTTGTATGCATCCGTCTTGCGATACGTCGACAGTTGTATGTTGTACCTCTCTTTAGCGGCGTTGGCCTGGGCTTCGAACGGCTCTTTACCTCCTGGATCTAGCTTCTGCCACCGGTCGCCGACCAGCTTGGCAATTTGGGTGAAAGACAGATTTTGATCCTTAACCTCTTCTCGCACTTTGTTGGAGAAGATCACGTATGCTGAAGGGGGTCGCTCAGGCGCATTCTCATCTGGCTTCGGGTGACGTCTATACTTCCTCTTGGCCTCAGGAGCCAATCCTGGTGCTCTTTCTACGGCTAACGCTGGATTCGCACCGCTCTCGGCTGCCTTAGCGGCTTCCGAAAGCGGCTCCTGGGCGGGAGAACCAATGAGGCGCTCATATGGGATGCCGCGATAATCTGCTATAGCCCGCTGGAGTTTCTTTGGCGAAGTGTTAGCAGTCCAGAAGATCAAAGCAGCTATACATAGTCACAACTTACCCTACGATGGCCGAGCTTGACGTTGAGTGCGTCACTTGAACTTTGTTAGCAGGGAACTTAAGCCGGGGGAGAGGGGGGAAGGCTTGGGCACTCACAAATCGCTCTCCTGTATATCGGTCAAAGTTTCCCAAGTGTCAAACCCCTCACTCAGGAATGCATCGAGGTATTGCTCAAGGCCTAAGCGCTCGAGATAGGGCGCAAGATCTGTCATTCAAGCGTGCTGGTGGACCCTTCTCATAACGTCAACCCCCAATCGTTCCAAGTCGTTTCTGAGAAGGTGTTCAAGCCCAAAGCGAAGAACAATTTGTTGTTGTGTTCTGTAAATGCAGGGCAAGCGGCGTATGGTTCAACATGTCGACATACGAGACATGAACTTGCAGCGCGGAACATGCCAAAATTGAAGTCAGGTCAGTGCAGTTGTCTGCATGGGTCGTTACGTTTCCTCAATTAACCGTGGTCCAGGTTGTCACAACTGCTCACGTCGTCGCGTCAAGTGTGATGGGACACGACCGCACTGCAACAAGTGTCGCGATCGCGGTTTAGATTGCGCCGGCTATGGCATCGAGGTCAGATTCATTTCCGGAGTTGCCACTCGCGGCAAGCACAAGGGTCAGACAGTACCGAGCGCCAAAGGAGCAAGGCGCACACCTCACCGTTCCGCGTCAACCCAAGCTCCAGCCTTAGTATGGCCGGATGGGTCGCTGACGAGGAGCGCAACCGAGGAAGAAGATGAAAGTTGGCTCTCGTCCCAATGCCCACGTGACGAACTCGATAATTCCTGGAGCAGTGCGAGCGACATGATTGCGGCTTCTCCCAATACCCTAGAACAGTATCTAGGAACGCTCTTCAGCACTTCTAGCGAATCGGGGTTCGTGGAAGAGGTAGCGGAATGTCCGGCGAGTTCCGACGAGACAGGACCGGATTTTGACGATGATATGCAGCTGCTAAGTCATAGCCCAAGCCATGCATTCAGCAATACATGCAGTCCATCGCAAGCACTGGTGAGCCTGGATGCTCGGCCGCGAGAGCTGTTTGCTCATTTCTCGGAGGCCATTGCACCGGTTATGGTCGTCTTCGATGGGAAATTCAATGGATATCGTGACCTCATCCTTCCTATGGCCGTCGAAGACGACCTGGTCCGGCAAGCGGTCTCGGTCGTGTCGATGTACCATCTCGCCCGTCAACATGGCGAATCTCAGGAATCCGCCGATGCGAGGTTGCAAGCAATCATCCGCGATCTTCGAAAGCGAACCGATGCCTTCAATCTCTCTGACATCTCGGCCTGGGTGACCATCCTCGTTCTTCTGACGGGCGAAACCGTCACGGGTGGTACCAACCTACCATATCTTTTTCGGCTTCTTCAACATCTTATGGACGCGAATAGTGCCGCTGGCCAGGGGTCTGCCATTCACTCTTTCCTGGAAGAGCAGAGCCTGATGATGACTCTCTTCGCGCAACCGCTCTTGGGAGAGGGAATGGGCACATCCACTCTGTCTGCGGTGGACAAGTATCTCGGCTTCATCTCCAACACTGCAGTTTTCTTCCCAACCCTCGTGCCACAGATCAACACGTTGAAAACCGCCATCCGTCTCGCATGCAAGATATACCTCACACGTGCCACCATCAGCCCGCCGCACGCGTCCACGGTAGATGCGCTTGAAGAGCTTCGTCTACTATGTTTGCAGATCCCGTTGCATCAACCGGGCCATCACGCACTCGTTTGGGCGTACTTCATTGCCGCAGCCGAGAGTTCAACGTACGAGCACCGATGTTTCTTCACCCAGAGATTGACACAGATACATTCTCAGACGAAGTTCCATAATATCCCAGCTGCGCTTTCAACTCTACAGATGTTGTGGAAATGTCATGGCGAGAGACGGTGGACAGAGGTTCTCGCCGCGAACAAGCCTGTGTTTATTATTTGATATGGCTGACATGAGTCCTGCTATACCTGCTATAACCAAAAATGATGCGCTGTTCTGTTGAGCCCTCGTCAGAGTTGCCGGAAATGGCACTCCATGCTCCTTCTCCTTCCGGGATAGCATAGTCCCATAGATCTCCTTCGGTGACAACCTTCATACTCCGTACTTACACAATACGATACTAGCCCTTCTTTTTGCTCCTCTGTTGCCTCCTCGGACTCGGCCCCAAAGCGCATGTTACTACTCCGTAATTTCGGTATTTTTCTGTTAGTATGAAGCCCACGCACGTGATACGGATCAGAGAGTATGATGCTGTCCACGCCGAAATATTGGGGTGTGATGCTATGTCCATGACGCTGGGGAGGAAGAATCCAGGATGAGTATCTGTAAGGAGCGCTCCATACCGTGTGCACAGGGAGTATCTGGGATCACATAACGCCAAGGGTGTCACAGCGTGAACGGGCCTGTTTCCTCCTCCTGCCATTGCCAAATGTTGCAAGTTCTGATCACCTTCTCCGATTGAAAAGAGCCCAAACACCGACGAACTGGGTCAAGCCACCACCAAAACACACTTTCGGACTATTAGGCCCATTTGGAGAGCTCGCGTCAATGCACAGCACCAAGAACCGAATCAATGTCTGACACGGACAAATTCGCAAAGGCTGTCTCCTCTAGGCTTCGACTATCAGCCTTGGCATCCTTGTCCGGGCACTGGCAGGATGTCAAACCTCGAATCCACGAACCTGGTGGAATGAAAAGTCAATGCCGGTCTGAACGTTACATAAACAGAACGGCAGCTCCTATTGATGCTTGAGGGAGAGGAAGCAGTAACACTTCGTGATCAATATACAGCAGCCCCAGGCGACAATATAGCCCCAATGGCCGACGTTCCCGCTGGCGACCCTGAGCGTCGCGCTGTTCGGTTGGACGCACCGAGTGAGAATGATTGGTCCGACGAAGAATGCATGTCGACTCTGGCCCTTCAGACAACCAATCCATACTATGGCGATCGAGTACCATCCTCAGGCCGCAAAGAAGACGGCTCAAGTGAGAAGCGGCGGCGCTCGAAGAATGCTTCTGGGATCACCACCGCTGATGGGGCATTGACTCGAGCAGTGACTTCTGTCGAAACAGTGCTGTCCACGATTCGAACTCGACCAGTCATTGCTAGCTTTTCACACCCTCTGGAACACGAAAAGACAACGGTTGAGACCCTGGTTGACTTTGACGGGCCCAATGACCCGTACCGCGCGTTGAACTGGTCGATGAAGAAAAAGGTCGTGACCACGGCGTTGTACGGATTCACTACAATGTCGGCGACATGGGGGAGCTCGGCCTATAGTGCCGGTACAGCACAAGTGGCTCACCAATTCGGAATCGGCATGCAGACGGCTACTCTGGGCACCACGCTCTTCCTGTTCGCATTTGGAATCGGACCTTTGTTGTGGGCGCCTCTCTCGGAAGTCTATGGACGTAAACTCGCCGTTTTACCGCCCATGTTCATCGCAGTGTGCTTCTCATTTGCGAGTGGCGCGGCCAAGGACGTCCAGACTATCATGATTACGCGCTTCTTTGCAGGCTTCTTCGCCTCAGCGCCAGTGACAAATACTGGAGGTGTACTGAGTGATTTGTTTCCGTCGTCTCAGAGAGGTGTTGCAATGGCGGCTTACGCCATGGCCGTCGTGTTCGGACCTAGCATCGGTCCCATCGTCGGCGCTGCTTTCGTGGTTCAGCCTCATCTTCGCTGGCGGTGGACCGAATACTTTACCGGGATCCTCCAGATTGTCGTTCTTGTCCTCGACACAATCTTCCTCGACGAGTCATATCCGCCGCGGTTATTGGTTTACAAGGCCCGCCGCCTTCGACACGAGAGTGGTAACTGGGCACTGCACGCCAAATTCGAGGAATGGGATGTCTCGATCGGCGAATTGGCTCGGAAGGTAGTCCCTGACCAACTCCTGCGTCATAATATGCTCTTCTCAGAAAAGTTCCACTGACCCCTGCAATCAGTTCTTGATCCGACCATTTCAACTCCTAACGACACCCATCTGCGCACTCATGGCCTTGTATGCTAGCTTCACATACGGGATATTATACATGCAGCTTGGTCCGTTTCCTCCGCGCGTGTACTCTCTGACTCGCCATGACTTAGGCTAGACTAACGACCTTGTGTGGGACACTATAGGTGCGATCCCGCTCATTTTTGCCGAGCACCGTGGCTGGGAGCAAATGTCGTCCACACTACCGTTTCTTGCGCTTCTTGTTGGCTCTGCCATCGGCGCAGGCATCAACGTATACAATCAGCTTATTTACAACCGCAAGGCCTCTGGCAAGGTGAATCCGGAACTTCGACTGCCTCCAATGATGTTCGGCTCTGTGGTATTTACCAGTGGTAAGAGGTGCTACAAGTTGAAGATCGAATCATTTGTTGACCAAAGCTCGGGTAGGTTTATTCATCACCGGCTGGACAGCAGATCCTTCGTGAGTGGTCCAGGCATGTGCTTTTTATTTCAAGTCGTTGCCGTCTGACTTGCACTCCGTTCAGGAATCCTTGGATCGCGCCGGTCATTGGTCTGGTTCTGACCGGCCTTGGTTTCTTTACCATCTTTCAGGCTGCTCTAAACTATCTCGTGGACACTTTTCAGGAGTATGCCGCGAGTGCCGTGGCAGCAAACAGTCAGTCTCCAAGCCATCACTCCCGATATGCAGGACTAATCTGCGAAACAGCATTTCTGCGATCGTGTTTCGCCGGAGCGTAAGACTCTTCCAATGAGACGACTTTCCTGCCGATATTGGCTCGCTGACCACGTCCCAGATTTCCCCTGATCATCACGCCGTTGTACCACAATCTCGGAATTCCTTGGGGTACCAGTATCTTCGGGTTCTTCTCCCTGATGCTGATCCCCGTGCCTGTAGTCTTCTTCATTTTCGGAAAGCGAATAAGAATGGGTAGTAAATGGAGCAGATCTTAGGGCGAGGTAGCTGTATTGAGCATCGAGGATGTTTTGCTCCAGCCACTGTTGACGGCTCAACCTGAAGGTGGTTGAACACAGGTTGTGGGTTGCACATCGATCCTGGGACTGTCGTGTGTCACATTGACAGTTCTTGAGATATCCTAGCCCGAGAAACCTGAATCAGGCCCCCTGTGTTGAAAAGGACAGTTTTCATGCCGATGCTCTGCCTTGAAGTCAGAAATCAAGTCGTAGGAAGGACTTGCTGCCTCTCGTCAGAATTTGGGACATGTTCTAGTTTTGCAGCCAAAGGGAGAGGTGTTACGGCAGACATGCACATTGAACCGCATGATACCTGAGGCTTTCAGGATGCTTTATTCCTAGATTCATCTCAACAGTAATCACTGATGGCTCAGGCCAAGCTAGACTGCAATAATGGACCTCGATATGCGATACTGTGAGACCTTTGAAAGAAGTCGGTACATTCTGCGCGAGTTTTGGACTGTATATGATTGATGTTGCGCCATTTTCTCAGGCCGAGAATTGACATCTTCCAATGGGAACCTGTTGTTCTATACAGGGTCATCTCGCTCATGTACTGTAATAGATATGTGAATCTAAGGCCTCCAACCGCCCCGTGGCACTATTCCTGCTTGGGACGATTTATCGAGATTCTGCTGACATACTCAAACTTGGCCGGAGTGTCATCCTCTCCATCACTCCATCAACAAAATCCTCTTGTGCTCGTAAGGCTGGACCTCGTCACGGACTTCATTCCTTTGGACATTGCAACAGTTGCTTCAATCAATAATGTGACCAGAGATCACAAGACTATTCGTCTAGAAAGACCTAATCTTCACTAATCGCCCGTTGTTTGCTTCCTCATCAAGCCACCCCCAGCGGGATAACCACTACACATTCATGGCTGTGACAAACGAATCACCACATACAACTCGGGCGAAGCGCAATAGAAGATGTGGATATCCTACATCTGCTAGTGGATGTCTGACCTGCAAGTATGTTCATAGGTCCGTCCCCCGACCCTTGACAGATCGATTGACTGTTCATGTCCAGAAAGAGACACATCAAATGCGATGAAGCAAAGCCCGTTTGTGGACAATGTGCTAAGAGTAAGCGTCACTGCCGGGGTCCTCTCACTCTCGAATATCGCTTCGCGGCACCTCAGACAAGCGTTACTTTTGGGCCAAAGGCCCAAAATCCCCGCCCTAGATCTCAAATATCTCTGGCCAACGGCAATGCCGAGGAAAACCGGGCGTTCGATTATTACCTTTCAAATCTGGGCCCGATGCTGGCTGGCGAATGTAGCAAAGACGTCGACTTTTGGACCAATTTGGTGCCACGCTGGTGCCTGTCCGACACTGTCCTGTGGACCGCACTTGTCTCCCTGAGTGACCTGCATAGAACTCGGCCTACAGGTGCAGATGGGTTTGCGCATTTTCGAAACCTGTCAAACTACCAATGGAGTCTGGAAAATCATGGCCGGGCCATCAAAGAGTATCGACATCGGTTGAGCACCAAGACCATCGACATCCCGCGAGCTTTCCTGGGATGTATCTTGTTTGCGCTCTTCGAGTTCCAAATGTGGAACAATGAGAGTGCATTGATGCTAGTCAGAACGTCGGTCAAACTATCACAACAAGTCCAAACTTGGCCCGATGATATGGATATCAAGGAAGGCGTCTCCCGATTCTTTGCGAAGCTGGCCTCCCTCGTTTCTCCAACCAACGCACTTCCAGATCATATGCTCACCAATGTCCGCGAAGACAGTGCCTTGAGACCTTCTCTCATCGTCAGTATGCCTCCTTCGATGGAGAAATTACGGAAGACCTTATATACTCTGGTGGACGCGGCTTCCCGGGTCCTTCAAGACACCTCGTCGGAGTGTTCACTAAATACCCAGGAGATAAAAGATCTCAGATCTCGACAGAGACAGATTTTGGAAGATCTTGACGATTGGCAACGCACGAGGTTGGCAGTTCAGCGAAGCAACGCGTCCGACTTCTTAGACTACCTGTCCTCACTATTGCTGGTGTATTGCAAGGTGACATATATCAAGCTGTCTGTCTGTATGAGCGGCAAGGAAACCCGGTTTGACCGACATACCGACGACTTCCGAGAGATCATCCATCATGGTGCGGCGACGATTCACTACGCCCTATCGGCCACGATTAAACCACCTTCAAGTTTCGAATTGAATGTCGTTCCGGCCTTCTCTTTCGTGTCGCAAAAGTGTCGACATCCTGGCATAAGACGGAGAGCCAGGGACTTGATGACCAAATCTAGGGGTATGACGTGCACTTGCAATCCATGGCTCATTGACCTTGCGGATGCAGCCATTCAGATTGAAGAAGACAGCATCCGGCCTCAAAATAGAGACAACGAAGACGACCACGGACAAGGTCTTGATATCGAGATACCCGAACAGGGAAGGATCAAACGCTGGCACGTTTCCAAAGTCCAGTCGCCTTCCTGGGAAACGATACTCGTGGCGTCCTTCATCCTAAACCCTTGCGAACGCGAGGACTCCTCTGTCCAATGCGTGAGGGAAGTCACCGTGCAGCTTGAGAGCCACGAGACTCTGAATGACGTGACGATACACATGGAATGCTGCCCTTCGATGAAAGTGCCTTGAAGTACGGTGACACCCTGGAACCCAATCGGATGTTAAAGATGTGCTGCAATTAGGGAAATCTCATTCGATGCCTTTCTAGAGTGGTGGAGGACCTGCCAAAAAAAAATTCAGCTAATCATAGCGTATTTGCATACTCCGGACGGAGCACTGCGAGGACAATCAGCCTCTTCGCTTCGTACAAGGGGTTTGTTCCATCCCGGATGAGGGCAAGGCTGCGTGGCTTGGGGTCTAGACCCTCACCCGCACCAATCGGGGAGCTTCCTTGCCCATCCGGCATCTCGGGTCCAATGTACTTAGTACGATGACCCTTTGATGGACATCCACAAAATCTACTAGGAACTCTCTTTCTGGCCGTTCTTATCTTTCTCTCATCTTCCGTCGCTTACTAAATCTAAAAAACAAGTCCTGTCCGTCTTCAGGACTCACTCAGATGGTTAACATTGCATCCTCACAAGATAATCAACAGACAATGCGTTGCCAAACCATGACTGCAGCAATGTACATCATGATGGTCCCCGCTTCCCAAATGTCATGTCTTTGACACGTGGTGAGGGAAGCTGAGCCACGTAGTTTGTGATCCTCTTGACGCGAAGATGGGTAGGAAGGGAAACAAGTTGGGATCTCAAGTGTCTCTTTCACTTGAAAAGACAGCCAGTATGATCGTGCCAGAGGCATTCGGATTGGAGCAGGTAAGTACGAATCATCAACAAATTGACACACCCGGGACCAAAAGTTTTTGACCATCGACAGACACTTTCCCAACATCTCGACACTCTTTCTCTACAAGACCAGATTGCCGGTCCATCCAAGCAAAAAAGTGGCCGTGTCCATGTCCAGCACACTACCACAAACCCCTCTTTTACGGGCACGGCGGTCCGAGATTCTCTCCATCGTCTCAGTGTCCTCGAGCAAGAGACACACGACGCCGACGACGCCCGGCCATCGCCAGCACCACAAGACGATCTGCTCGAGATCGTGTCGACCCCCGACCGTGGACTCGCGGTGTTTGCCACGCGCAAAGTCAAAGCCGGCACGCTGTTGTTGGCGGAGAGGCCTCTCGTCCGCCTCCAAAAGCACGAAGAAGACGACCCGGCGGCCATCGAGCGCGAATTTTCCCGGTTGGGGCGGGCCGACCAAAGGATCTTTCTCAAGTTGTTTGACGCCCAAAAGTCCCGCATGACCCGGGTCGTTTCGATCTACTACAGCAACTGCTACAACCTGGACGACCACGTGGCCGACGGCGGACGAGGGGGGTCGGCCGTGGGTCCGTTCGCCAGCAGAATCAACCACGGGTGCGTGCCCAACGTGCAATTTTGTTACGACGAGAAAACCGACGAGATGAGGTTCCGCGCCGTCCGCGACATCCCTCGAGGTAAAGAGTTGTGCAGCAACTACGACAAGGCCGTGTCCGAGGTCCGGACGAAGAGAAGGCGGAAGCAACAAATCCATTACGGGTTCGTCTGTCGGTGTGAAGCTTGCGAACCAAAGACCGGATTCTGGGCCAGGAGTGACGAGAGGAGGAGGGCCATGTACGAGGCCTTGAGGGTCGCGCGCGCCTGTGAAAAGGAGTGTTCTTCCAAACGTGCCCCCGCGCCTCCGACCGTGGTGGTCGACCGGGCGATCGAAGCCCTGGTCAGGTTGGAGGAATTGTTCCTCAAAGAAGGCCTCGTGGGTGTACCGTTGGCAAACACTCGTAAAAGCCTGGCCAAGTGGGCGGAGAGGAAATATGACCACGCACAGGCCGTCAAGTGGAAGACGAAAGAGTTGGAGGTCTGTAAAGTGAGCTTTGGGTCGGACGCCCTGAGAACAAAGGGGGTCGAAGATCAGTTGATCGAGTTGAGTTTGAAAGTGACTTGAAGAAGACAAAAAAAGGGGGGGATCGCCAGCGGTGAATCAACACCAAGCACTCCATGTAGATATGTTCTGTTCAGGTATAATAATCATACTCGTTGATTCCGCAGGCAAGTCGGGCATCATGCCCAACTATCCTGTCTAAACAGCCCACCCAAAAACCCATCACCACCCTTCTTACTCTTCATGACAGCCGTCTTCTTGACGATGCCGGCCCTCTGGCTCATCTTCTCCTCCTTCACCGTAGGTCTGTAGTTGACCGCGTTTCTCCGCCCGCCACCGGCCTTTCTGACAAACTCCCTTTCCTCGTTCGCCTTGCCACGTTCGGGTTTTTGCAGGGTGACCCCGGTCGCCGACGCCCCTTCAGCCATACTCCCCAGGCTGGAATTCGTCGTGGCTCGACGCAAGAGACTCGGAACCTTGCCGAAAGACACACTCGTCGTCGTCGACGTGTAAAACGCCATCTTCGTCGTACCACTCGAACTCGACGAAGAAGACGATGCCTGACGAAGCATGCTCAGCCGATTGACCACGTTGGTCCTCCTCTCCTTTGTCCGTCGTTCCGAATACGGAGCCCTAGTCTCACTATAAGGGATGCCTGGTTTCTTAAAAGAAGAGCCGCCGTCGGCGTCGGCGTCTTCGTCTTCTCCGGCCCGACCGTCATCGTCGACGACAAAGTCACCCAAATCGTCACCATCCTCGGCATTCTCATCGGCTTCGGCTTCCTGGAAGTGACGGTCCAAGTTGACGTACGCTTCTGGCTCGTCTTCAGAATCCGAAAGGCCAAGATCGATTGTGGCCGCTTGCGAGTCGGGCTCTTCGATCAAGAACGACACCGATTCTCGGATTTCAGCCAATGTGGCTGGTCTTCGACCAAGAGGTACAGGTGCACGCCCGCCGCCGCCGCCGCGGCGCTTGATTTGGTTGAGTCGAGATTCTTTGGCCTGCTCGAGTGGTTGATCATGAGAGCCATCCGTGATTTGTGCTGCTGTCTGGGTCGTTCCTTGCTCTCCGGATTCGGCCGCGTTCTCCTGTGATTCCTCTTCGGGCTGGGTCTGTGGGAGGTCAAAACTATCTTCTCCGTCGCTCACATCACGATCCTCGATACTTCGGAGGAAAGCTTCCTTCTTCTTGTCCTCGGCAATCTTACCCACCGCCTCGTCTTTCAGAAGTTCCCGGCGCATCCTGGCGGATTCCCTTCTCTTGGCTTCGCGTCGTCTGTTCACCGCATCTTCCTCATCCGAGAGGTCGAGGTCGTCGTTGCCACGTTTTCGTCGCAGCGCGCCTGTTGTAATATCCTTCATCAATTTGGACACGGCAGCTTCGTCTTGTTGACGCTCTCTATCTGCAAAGAGCTTGGCCAATTTCGCTTCGTCACCGACCCCGACCTGAGTATCTTCGTCGATCATGGCGCGGTCATCCTCATTCTCTTCCTCGTTGGCGTCTTCATCGCTTGCTCCACCCAGACCGGCGTATTCATCCTCTGATTCTTCTGCGGCTTCATCGATGATTTCACGTGCTTTTGACTTGTTCTTGTCAAAGTTCTGATGTCCCTTCTTCTTGGCAGCACGATGCATGAGTTCAAAGGCAGACACGCCTGCCTCGACATCGTCGTCATCGCTGTCATCGGGCTGTGCACGACCTCGTCGTAGTCTCGTTGTCCTTTGAACAATGGGGCTGTCTTGGAGATCGTGAGGAAGGATCACAGTATCAACCGTCGAAGTTGGTCCAACGTCCTGAGGGGTTTCGAGGGCAAATCGATTACCAGCAAACGGACTCAACATGAACCCTCCATCTTGGGTTGGCTCGAATTGAGGCTGAGAAGGGGTATATTGCAGTCCATGTGTCCCGACTGCACTCATTGGAGATTGAGGTACCTTTTGTGACTCGGAGAAGGAGAGGTTCACGTTAAGAGGCTGGGTCTGGGTCGCCGGTTGGCTGTCCGTGATGACATCGATTGAGTCAAGGCGTTGCACTCTTGGAGCCATTGCAATGTGGGGCGATGGGAGGTCCATAGTCATGCGTAGACTATCTTGTTCTTCGTTCACGTCCTGGGTTTGAGAGTCCGCCATCGTAGCCGCAAAAGCTTGGGTCAAACCCATCGGCAGATCATCAGACATTTGTAAGCCGGGAATCTGTTTCCTTGCTGATCGCATGACGGATTGAGGTGTTTTGGCGACAGCTGGCAGTTCGGGCGAGTGGGCATTGTCGTCGTCCTCTTCATCATCACTCAGTACTCGAGTCTGTCGTTTCGTTCTCGAAGAAGTGACTGCGACCTCCTGGGCTTCCGCCATATCCTCTGTTCCGGGGTCTTCATCGCTAGCTTGTTCTTCATCCTCTGGATCTTCCTCGCTAGCTTCATCATCCAACAGGTTCTCATTGCCGTTTTCATGCGTGTCCTCTTCATCTCCATCTTCGTCTTCGTCTTCGTCTTCGTCGGAATCTTGACTAGCGTTTCCTCCGTCGTCAACTTCGAAGTCTTCATCATCGTCGCTATCATCGTCGTCGAAGGCCTCCTTGACATAATTTCCCTCCTTCTTTGCAAGAGCCTTCTCTCGCTTCTGGATTTCGACCGCTTCCTGGCGAGCCTTCTCAATCAAGTCCTCAACATCTTGTTGCTCTCGTTCACGTTCTTCAGAGGTCTGGATCATCACACCTTTCGCCCTGAGCTCTTCAATCTTCTGCTCTCGTTCCCGTCGGGCTTGTAGACGGGCAGCTCTGCGCAAAGATGCTTCCATTTCTGCTGCATTCATAGTGCGCTTCCGCTCCTCTCCACCGATCATATGTGCTAGTGATCGGAGAGCAAGGTGAGAAGGGGCCTCTTTCGCTTTCCGCTTTGGAAGTTGTTCGAATGCAGCATACTTCCTCATGTCACCTTTAGATGTAATAACCTCTAGGTCCGAGTCTGACTCGTCGCTGTCAGCTTTAGGCATGGAAAGCAGAGACTTTTTCTGCCCGAATGGTTTGATCGTTGGCTTAAGGCTTGGACTGAATTCTTTCAATGGCTCCTGGTCGATCTGGTCGGTTACACGTTGGACAAGTAGAGGTCTTGGCACGGGTTCTTCTGACGGAGCTCTTCCCTTGCCTTTGTCAAGTCTCGAAATAACGGGCTGAGAATTCGAGGCATGTGGAAGCGTTGAGGTGGGCACTGTTGATGTATCAACCGCAGTGAGTGTCTTTTCACAGCTGTCTGTATGCATATCCTCGTGCACAGGGCTAGTTGGCGGGGTATCGTGGGTGCTTGAACCTTCGTTGTCTGATCCGGCTCTAGAACTACCAGTCGCCCGACGATCATCGTCTCGATCAGACCCGACCCGCGGAGCGGAGCCAGCAACGGGAAAGTTGAACCTTGCGAGCAGACTGTCCTTTGTGATCTTCTTCTTCGTTCGAGCTTGGTGGGCCAACTGCATATTTCGGCTCATGCGTTGGGTTTCTCTGTTCATCTCCTCCAATGCTTTCTTGCTTGCTTTACGCATTGGTCGAGTCTGCGTTGAAAGTTTCTTCGCTCCCTCGACGCCAGAATTGTCGCTTTCCTCTTCAGTGTCATCTGCTGGACTGGAGCCTCGCATACGTCGACTGTTCTTCTCAAGAAATTTGAGCTTTTCTTCCCGTGTCTTGCGCCTGTCCTCCTCTTCGGCTTCCTTTTCAAGGCGCTGCTTGCGATGCTTTTCAACTAGAGCCAAAAATTTAGATTTGCCAACATTGGATTGGTCGTCTGCATCTTCCGAGTCAGAATTCGCCTGCACAGGCTCATGACGAACAGGAGGAGATGGTAGAGAGGCGGCCGATGCAGTCGAAGGTGATATAGATATACGACGGTGGACTGGGCTGCTGTTGCGCTTCGTGAGAAGCCTTCTTCTCATTTCAGGTGGTGCAATATCTCCCGTGTCTGACTCTGGTGTACTTGAACGTGTTTCTGTTGCAGCTGTGGTAGCATAGTCCGTTTCTCCAGGCAGATGTACTGGATTTAGACCCTGCAAACGAGCAGCCATTCTTGAACGTGGAGCCACGGGTAGGTCCTCATCCTCGTCCTCGTCCGGGGCTTCATTTCGAGTATCCTCCTCTCGTATGCTAGGGTTTCCTCTCGGTGAGGCAATGCCGCTCTCCCGTTCCGTTGCTGCACGTGGCGAGGTCGCATGTTCAATAGAGGGCGAGTCTGAGTCAGAGTCCTCAAATTGGGCAAGCAAAGCCTGCACTTTCCGGCTGGGTGTCAGGACGTTTGAGGTCTGGCTGATGGGGGAGCCCATAGAGAATGGCGACCCTGGAGGTGAAGACATGGTTTCGACCGGGGACCAGGAACCAGATTATAAAACCAAATCCCTACTGAAAGGACATAACTAGCAGTAGAAGCATGAAGCAGTAACGTACAAATACATTGAAGCGGGCTATGAAATCCAGCGGTGCCAGACCACCGTGTGACCGTGTAATAAGTCGGTACGCGCTGCGGGACGCGTTAGATGTGGAGCCACGCGAAATGACGTGCCGACTCGACCTCATTTCGCCGCGGCGCAACTCAACCACCAACTTCATGCGAGTACGAGTACGAGTACGAGTTTAGGAGAGTACGGGTCATTGAAAGCTACCAATACTGCGTAATAAAGACGTTGGGTGATAACGTTTTCACGTACTCTAAATTTACTTTGCGTTCGAAAAGCCAAGGGCAAGACTCTATACCAGTGAACAACACAAATGGAACACCGGCGATAGCACCACTTCTAGTCGAGGCCAGCATCATTTGGGAGAACGGCACCATTACCGCGACTTCAGGCTCTGTATCTGCTATAGGATCCTCCCAGCTTACTGTGGTGGGCCATGTCTGATCTCGAGGCACTCCAGGAACAATGGCGGACACTCTACTCGAGAACTCTTCCAGCCCTCGCGAAAGCCCGTGATCATGCACAGTCCCGATGGCCCGTAACCCTTGACCATTGCTTTGCTCGCATCATTCTTGACAACACCATAGGGAACGGTGAAAAACAATGGGACAAGGTCATTGCCAAACCAGCAATCAGGAACATGACCGAGCAGCAGTTTCGTGACGCTATTTCTCTTGGTGAGGATATTCAGAAGGGGAAGATCGATCTATGTGACCTTGATGAGATCAGCTTGCGATGTAGGGGGAAGAACGAAAGCAAATATGGTGGCAGCACAAGGAAAAGATCTCAAAGCCCAAATCCACCCTCGACCCAAGGCGAGGAAAACTCTGCAAAGAACTCAAAAGACAATCAGTCATCCGCGCGAAAGAGGCCCAGACTTGACAAACAGCAAACCAAACTGCACTTTCAAACAGAGACCAAGTCGCCTGAGAAGAAGCCCGGTGTGGATAATGTGTGGCAAACCGGATCAACCGTCGAAGATATCGAGGAAACGCTAGGTCGCATTAGAAGCCATCCCACGCTCACTCCGTACCGGAAAAAATTGTACACCACGCTCTTATCTGTCCCAAAAGGTCGATATACCACATACGCAGCTATGTCAGACTACCTGAGCTCCTCCGCACGGGCTGTTGGAAACGGAATGCGGAATAATCCATTCGCGCCAGATGTTCCATGTCACCGCGTCCTGGCCGCGAATGGCACGATTGGTGGTTTTCATGGTGACTGGGGCAAAGATGGTAAATATGCCAATAAAAAGATTGAATTGCTCCGGGGTGAGGGCGTGAGATTTGACCCAAGTGGAAAGGTCGTGGGTGAGCCATTTCACAAATTTCACACTTTCGAGGACCTCCAATAGTCCCAGCACATTCATGGTCGAGCTGGTTAATTCAAGACAATACCCTCGGCGTTTAGGAGGATTTTTGCTGTTGTTTTCGCAACAGCATCACTGTATGAAATGTGTGCCGTTGGTCCAAATGGCAAAAAAATTTGAACGGCATCACTGCAGCCTGTCGAGGACCTGTCCTCATGTTTGATATAAAAGCACACCAAACAGATCGATCTGGACCAGACACCATCATACATATCTGCCATTGTAACGTCTTTTACTTCTCAATTCTCCTTGTATCTGAGCCGTCCTTCGGTGATAACCATCAAGTCAGAAAATCAAAATTGCAGCCTCGTCAAGCACAAATTCTCACGTTCTATATACATATCAGACAAGCTTTCAGCACATCCCGTTCTCGAAGACTTCCTGTACTTGAAGCCCTTTGAACCAACAATCGCGATCTCTTGTTAGTCGAAATGGAAACCACGACAACCACCATGAATATTAACAATAGCAAAGGCAACAACGGCCGCCCCCGAGGTAATATCATGCAGCTGCCCACAGAAACACTAACAGAGATCATGTCTTATGCTCTCGGTTCAGTCGACCTTCGCTGCGAAGAAGCCATGAAATGGACCAGCGAATTGCAGAAACCGCGGCCCCTATTGAATCTGAAGCTGGTATGCAAGAGATTCCACACAATCTCCTTGGAGGCCTTGAGCAAACGAAAGCACATCGACGTGAACCTGATCGGACCTGTACCTGTGGACAACAAGGAACGCATGGACGAGGTCCACAAGTATTATACGTCGTTGCTAATGGCGAACTTCCAGCCAGCAATCGAGAAAAATCGGAGCCAAGGAGTACGCATCAGCCTTCTGCCAGCGCTCAACAGCCAGATCCCTCCCGCTGGAATCAACTGGGCACCACATGACCCACAGCGTCCAACAGGTATTGACAAGGATGACGCCACAGTCCGAAAAGTCATGGTATCTCACCAGGCGGCCGCCATTCTTCTATCTGCAATCATGCACAGTATCGTCCTTAAACACCCCAAACTTCGTCTTCTCATAGTGTTTCACGAGGTCGACTGGATGGTGTCCAGATTCCGCGAAGAGGAAGAAGGCCAAAGCGTCACCCTGGCACCCAAAGTCAATCCGTTCTGGGACCTCACTGGGGTCTGCGGTATTGTCTACCACTGGCGGTGGCTGAGAGAGCAATGCAAGAAACAACACAAGAATTTCTCTGATGTTTTCCTAACGCCAAATATCGCGCTAGCCCTCAACGTTGATCACCGCTGGGGATGGGACAGTTACCTGCCCAGGAAAACCGTTGTGATTACAGCACTGCAGGCAGATCCCGAGGCTCTTGCTCGGCATGCATTTGACTTCTCCCTGGCAAAACTGATAGCAACTTGGTCGGACAGCCCCGATGCGCAGTGGTCCAGGGGAACTGTGGCCAGGCCTGTCCGCCATTATATCCCCGGGTACCCAAAGAAAGTGGTCTGCTCCGAGAACCAGGTCTTTGCTCAATGGCTGACAACAATATGTCGTGACAGCCACAACACCATGTGTTTCGTAATTCGAGGAGCTGGCACGAGCGAGGTGGCACGACCCAGCGACGTAGCCACGAAGCTTGAGGCGCCTAGTGGAAGGACACTGATGATACACACTTTTTGCAGATAGGCGTCCAGAGGGCATCAGGCTCAAGGGCATGCTTGACACATGGAAGGACACACCAGGTCTGGGCGGTGGTTACCAGAAGAGGTTTTGTCTTGATGGCCACCTGGATGCCAAAAGCACCACAAAGCATTGGGCACTTGAAAGAGGCACGCGCTGGAATTTGGGCATGTTGGACATACACATGGTTTGCTCGTTTAAATTCGGAGCATTTAATATCCCGTTGCGTTCATTGCTATTAATGGTTCGAATCATATAGCAAATTGGGCTTGCTCTATTGTACTGTACTGCTCCAATGTCTTCCCGACATCACTTCGTGTGCATCTTCGCTGATGTTTCGCAGCCTGGACTGGTGCAGGCGGGATATCTTCATCGTTGAATCTTGGGAGAAATAAGTCTGAAGCGAGCAGCGAGTTGTTGCATCATACAATTCTTGGTTCCTTGATCGCCATCCAGATTCCCAATGTCTCTCCTGTTCCTGGTCTTGCATTTTTCTCTTGCATTCAAATCCTCGGATGAACGCAAGCACTTCATGTGATATTCTATTCGTCATGTTTCCGAAATCTGAGGGCTCATAATGATGCTGCCGCAACGATTGCACCAGTACCTCTGAAAGCGGCCTTGTTGGTTACCACAATCTCAACTGGATACCTCCATTCCATGAATCTTTTCCAGCCTGCCACAAGTTAGCTATGTTCCTCCACCACCGGTGTCGAGCATACCCCAATATGCAAACTTCCTGCCAAAGTATTTGCCGGCATATGGCACGATGACCATTGTCAGCAGCAACTCGAGCTGTTGTAGGCTCTCTTTCCATTCTCTTTCGGCATCTGATTCAAAATCATCTTCGCTGACAGTGACTTCGTCTGAGTCCGGTTCACTCGGGAGATCATCGAGGTCGCTTTCATCGATGTTTGCAGTTGGGTCCACAAACGAATCTGTAATGTCGTTGGACATGTTGCGACGCAGGAAGAGGGCCAGCTAGCGACAACTCGCTGGAAGGATCACGGCAGCTCAAGCCATACGAAGGTTGGTCGTAATCCAGAACCGAAAACTTAGAGTATTGTATAGATACCTGGACTCTGCTCCGCTTTTCGACGGTGCTTGCAGTCAGCTAATTAAGTAAAGACGAATTGGCTACAGACGAGGCTCTTTGGCTGAAGATGAAATAATCGAGTCTGACAAGATGCGGCATTACAGCATTTTGAACGCGTCCCTGCCGCAGAATATTTGTCAGACAGGATTAACTGTTGGACGTCTTAAAATCCCCACGTGACTTTATGCGTCACTTGGTCTCTTTGACTCATCTTTGCCTGCGGTGAATTTGTAAATGTTAAATAATGAGATTCCCAGTTTCTTGAACATTCTTCCAACACAACGTCGATCCTCAAACAAGTCTACAAGAAAGGGAGACACAATTTTACCGCGCCTCACATTCCAAACACCATCAAGACAATCAATATGGCTGAAGTGGTAAGCAAATTGAACGTCACACACTCCCCACACGCACATGCAGTAATGCTCGGGTCACAACTGAAACCTCCTGCATCTCGCCCCACTGCGCAGAAATCAATTCCCATTAATATTGCCACTCCAGCACTTCTCCAGACAAGCAATACTAATCCTCATCCTATACAGCAAGACGCACCTCAACCTCCCCACGTCCGCAAACCACGCAAATCGGTAGCCTTCTCCGGCGACGACACAATCATGGACGAGAATGGCGAGATCTCAGAGGCCCCTACCAACACGGCCGAAGACAATCCCACGGCCGAGAAGCACTCTTCACGTAGGTTTCCTCCGTCGTCTTCCGCAGACGACACCAAAACTAACACAGGATCCGCAGCGCCCGATGACAAGGCCGTCGATGAAATGACCGACATGTTCGCCGGCCTGAACAAAAAGAAGAAGAAATCCTCCAAAACCAAGACCGCAGACGGCGAAGCTGGTGCCGACGATGCTGCCGCCGTTGGCGACGACGGCTTCGACCCGACAGTCCTGAAGAAGAAAAAGAAGAAGTCGACCAAGACCAAGGCAGAGGGAGGTGACGATTTCGCTGCCAAACTGGCCTCCGCTGGCCTCGAGCCGGGCTCTGAAGATCAAGCCGCATCCGACCAACCTCAGCAAGAGCAGTCAGGCGACATGACGACCGGCACGGGAATCTGGGCGCACGACGCGAACACGCCGATCTCGTACAATCTGCTTCTCAAGCGCTTTTTCCAGCTCGTCAACGAGCACAACCCAGACATCCTCTCATCCGGCTCCAAATCATACAAGATCCCTCCACCCCAGTGCCTGCGTGAAGGAAACAAGAAGACCATTTTTGCAAACATCGCCGAGATCTGCAAACGTATGAACCGAAACGACGAGCACGTCACGCAGTTCCTGTTCGCCGAATTGGGTACGTCCGGCAGTGTCGACGGATCCAAGCGTCTAGTCATCAAGGGTCGTTTCCAGCAGAAGCAGATCGAGAATGTCCTGAGACGGTACATCGTCGAATACGTCACCTGCAAGACGTGCCGATCTCCCAACACCGAGTTGAGCAAGGGTGAAAACAGACTGTACTTCGTCACGTGCAATTCCTGCGGAAGTAGAAGATCCGTCACGGCCATCAAGTCCGGATTTACAGCACAAGTCGGCAAGCGTAAGAGGCTCAATGGTTAAGGAAAATTGCATAAAGCTTGAAGTATCATTAAAGGGGATGATGAAGGATACTGAAAGGAAAGGCGAGACGACGCTTCCTATTAGATTGAGATTGAAGATGGTATTTTTGTCATGAGATCATGAAACGGGTTCATCTTTCGAGGAGAGGAGGATATCAGTAGTGTGGTAGGGTGCTGGAAATATCACGATCCCAGATTGGTTTCAACGAGTGTCCTGGAGGACAGGTTCGCAATTCCTGCACGACCAACATAGAAGAGAAAAGTACCTAAATAACCAAACTTGACGCACAAGCACACAAAACGGAGTAACGGGCTCTACATTTCTCTTTTCTTTTTGTCTCTTCGTTTCTTTTCAGATTCAAATTCAGAAAAGGCTCTGCAGACGCTCGCTGTTTCAAGATGCTGAACTACGGCCGCTCTCATTCCCGATACGACGTCCCGCTCATGTATGCTGAAAAGGCCGTCGGGTTCCTGGTCTGCATGTAGACGGTGCCAGGGCCCGAGAACTTGCAGACCAGGCCTTCGCCGCTGGACAAGCCGGAGATGATGCCTCCGCTCGCGACACGTTCCAGCACGTACTTGCAATTCCAGGCCACGAGGTGGCCGTTGTCGATGATGTAACGTTCACCCTCGATGAGCTGCGTGCCGTAACAAGAGAATGTAGGTTAGCCAGGAACGACTCTGGTATTCGTATCACGTCGGGAAGAGGATCCAGAACGTCAAACTCACATCTTTTCTCAGAATGGCCCCGAACGACGACATCCACAGCAGACCGGTGCCGGACATCTTGTAGACGAAAAGCCCTTCGCCCGAGAACATCGCCTTGCTGAAACTCTGGTGCTTGTACTCCTTTATGACGCCCTGCGTGCACGCGAGGAAGGCGTCACGGCCGACGCTCCAGGTCTCGCTGCCCGAAAGTCGAAGCATGGCCAGATCGCCCAGCGTGCTGGGAGCGAGCAGCAACTCTCCGGGTCCCGTGAACGTGGAATGAGCCATTTCACCACCTATCAGCATCTTCTTCATGCTGAACTTGAATGCTCCCTTCAGTGTCACCGACGGCGACATGGCGATCATGGCCCCAGGCTTCGCGGTGATCGGGCAGCCCATGGCCAGTTGAATCGTTATGATCGAGTTCGTGTCCCGGTGCGAGATGCGGTAGGAGCCGCCGTTGAAAGTTCCCACGTCGTCTGATGCGCTGGTGGCTTGAACACCCACGAACTGACCGCCTTCGGGCACACCTGGCATGCGTGGTCCTGTTTGCGCCTTCATCACGTTGCCCATCTCTTTCGTCAACTTCCGCAGCTGGGGCGATACGAGAGTCTTCTCTTGTTGAGTGCCGACTTCTGGTTCGCCCGGGGGAGGGCCATCGTAGGAGGGTTGACGTTGGTGAATGGCCGCATGGTCGAATGTTGTTCTGTGGGCGGGTGCTGACGCTGGAACTGCGCCGTAGTTATAAGGTCGCTGCGCTGTGGGCTGTCGGAGAGGCGGAGGCGATGGCGTTTGCGATATCTGGGATATCGGTGGTGGAGGGAATGCTGGGTTGGGAGGAGGGCTCGGTCCTGATGGCGGTGGAGGAAAGTAGTTGGCGTTGGCTGGTGGTGAGATGGGCGGAGGAGGATATGCTGGACTGTGTCAGTGCTCAACGTCGCCCTCCTTCTATCCGATCCTACCTTGTCCGTTTTCTGGTGGTGCTGTGCTCAGTGTTAGCCATGGTCTGATGTCGGCTGCGGGGAGATCTGCATACGAGGATAGAATCCTCCATGTGGCTGTCCTGAGCCTGGTGGTGGGGGATAAGACATTGTGGAACGGGTCAGAATAGCTATAACGCCCTTTGAGCAAAACACAAACGATGGAACAGAAGAGACACAGCACTTGTCAGCATGAGGTCGGGCGACACTCGTGGGACCTGGGAGAGAGGAATCAACAAGTATGAATATGTTTAATTCACCTGAACGCCGCGCACATATTGGCGGCGTCAAGACAGGTTAGTTATAGGAGTGGTATATTTAGTTGTACCAACCGAATAGCCGCCGTTCATGATGCAGGGTCAGATCTTACCGACGCCGTTGGCTTGAATGATCTTGGGGGAATGTAAGGTGAGGAAGTTGTGGTTGGTTGGAGGGGTCGAACCCGGGCGCCTATACGCACAACTCGAGCGCATATGCACCTATGTTTTCCAAGGGCCAGAACAGCTGCCGCCTTAAGGTCGTTCGAGCCTCTAGTGCAGCTCGTCATGTGTGATCGTTTTGAACATCGCTGGTTCAAGAGTCCTTGAATTCCTGAGGACAATCTACGCAGCGTTGTTGGTATACAGACTGTCGAGTACCCGAGGGCAGCGCTGCTGGCCTGGCCCTTGTGAGTCCAACAACGGACCGCGCTGCAATGACATGCCCACGTCAGCCTGTTTCAGGCCCCTTGAGATCAGCTTTATCTCTAGACTTGTAGATAAAAAGAACCAAGACACAAATCATCATTACCAGGCACTTTGACTTTTTGTCGTGAAGTGGTTTGAATGGATAGGTATTGCCGGGTCGAGTCGAGACTGGTAGGACCGTAGTTATATGGGAATGTTTTCATGGGAAAGCTGAATCTTCGGAACATCCCTGCACACACCCACGTCAAAGCAGCTGCTAGTCAAGCATAAGCGTAAATAGCCATGACTAGACCCGGCAAAGGGCCCAGTAATGTCCACTGACTCCCCGCAGCTATGCAAGTAATAGTGCCTCGAAAGTCTCCGTATGGAGCATTCAGCACCGGGAGTTTGATGCTTGGGCCTTCCAGCCCGCGGATGCGCATATTGTACAAGTATCTTGTCATCCCGGACAAACAGCTTTCCATGGAAAGCCACCAGCACGACCTCCGAAACAATACCAACTGCCATCTGTCGTCGCAAACTCAATCGGCGGCGAAACCAGTACACACATTGCTAATCGGTCAGCCTGTCGCGGCTGTTGTTTCCTCAATCCTAACCATTCCCTTGCTTTCGCGCATCCTCAGTATTCGTCCTCCTCCCTATATAACAGACCTTCGCGCAGAAACGACATCTCGTTCCAAACGATGGTCTCCCATCGGGACGAACCTTGACCTCAATTAAAAACCCTCACGTGGGCATCTTCGTCGCGCTGTCGCAGTCTTTACATAACTCTAGAACAGAAACCGGTCCCGCACTTCTGACAGCAAGGGCACTTTTTTCAAAAGAAGGACTTTCAATACTATCTTGGCAGGGTATGAGGATGAGATTGTTGAATATTGCGACTATGCCATGTTCGAAACTTGCCTGTTGACGATTTCAAATCACTTTTGCCACGCGGTTGGCTTGGACAACTAAGAGAACATGGATCCCTTGCAAGAGTCTCCGGCTCTGAGGAGACTTGAGCCGCATTGGAACTATGGCCTCATTGCAGCCTCCATTGCAGTGTCACTCCTGGGAGCCTTCACCTCTACCCAGATGATGTGTCAGGCACGAACGTCCCGGTACTTCAGTGGTGTACTAGTATGGACACTTCTCGGCAGCCTGACGTTCGGATTCTGTTCAATATGGAGTCTCCATTTTATCGCCATGTTAGCATGCGAATTGGACGTGCGAATAGGGCTGGACGTTCCTCTGACCATCGTCAGCGCAGTCCTCGCAGTGTCATTTACCTTCGCTGCATTGTCATTTGACCTTCTCCGAGATCGATACATACATCTTCTGAAGAAGAAGAAGCACAGAAGTACACGCAGGTCCAGGAGGGAAATCCAGCACGATGCTGGACTGGCGGAGAGTGAGGAGCGTCCCAGTACCGAGGCCCTTTTGCCTCCGCCAACATCAGAAGACCAAGAGGCTTTTGAGTCTTTACACGAAGCCGAGGCCCTGGAAGAAAGAGGTCGGACACTACAAAGACTATCTAGGACTGATAGTGGGCTTGGACCGATCGAAGAGCATTTTGTTGGAATCGATACGACCGTGAGAGGGAATGCTTTACAGCCAGACCTGGAACAGGCATCACCTACGCCGTTTCACCAATCTCCCAAACCGCGAGCCGATATTTATTACAGGGACACGTCTGAGGGTGACACGGAAAGCCTTCCAAGAAGCTCCATAGACGGTGACCGCTCGCGACGATCCTCTACGACTCATAGCTCCGATAGCAGTGGCCTCAGCCTCCCGGCCTTCATGAGCTTCAGGGTATCTCAACTGTCTTCTTCATCTGCTACCGGTCTAACCTCGATTGCGAGACTTCTACTCCATGGCGCAAAGCCTAAGAAGATTTGCAAGGGGTTCGTATGGTCACTAGCGATCACGAGCATGCATTATGTTGGAGTTCTGGCCATGAAGATCCCGGACGGTCATTTTACATTGAATCCATTCATTGTCACTCTGTCAGCCTTGATCAGTTGGCTCGTATGTACGATGGGTTGTATTTTGATCCCACAGATTGAGATCAACCTTTCACAGCAATTATTCTTCTCATTTATCGCCGCTTCAGGCGTGGCTGCAATGCATTTCACCGGCATGTGGGCTACAACCTTCTGGTCACAGGCAGATCCAAGTGCGGATCGAGGCTATCCATCTGATCTACCCGTCGCTGTTACTAGCATCGCGATTCTCACTTGTATGCTTGCCAATGGCCTCCTAGCTCATTCCGCTACTATTGCTCGCAACAAGTTGGCCGAGATTGTTCAGACGAGAAAGAAGCTATGGGCAGCCATAGCACAAAAGGAGAATGCAGAAGCTGCTGCAAGGGCACGCAGCGAGTTCATTGCATCGGCGTCTCATGAAATACGTACTCCTCTTCATCAGCTACAGGGCTATAGTGACCTGCTATCTCGGACGGCGCTGAACGAAGAATCGCGTCTCCTCCTTCTTGCAATCCAGGAAGCCACCAGGTCATTATCGATGATCACGGCAAATGTTCTTGATTGGTCGCGACTAGAGAAAGGTGAAGCTGTCTCCCGACCCATAAGCCTTGATCTTCGAAAAGCTTGCGAGTCGATCATCAACATCTTACCCAGTAAGGATGACGAGACAGCCACAGAACTGATGATTGTGGTTGCCCCGAGGGTGCCACAATCTGTGTTCCTAGATGAAACATATTTACAACGCATCCTCATGAATTTATTGACCAATGCACTCAAGTTTACGCAATCCGGTTATGTCATCCTTTTCATCGACTGCCTCGACGATAATCTGGTCATAACAGTAAAGGATTCTGGTTATGGCATTCCAGAATCGTTCTTACCTCATCTTTTTGAACCATTCAAACAAGCCCAAACCCGTGGCGCCGAACGAGGTACTGGTCTCGGATTGGCTATTATTAAACACCTCCTTGAGAAGATATCAGGAGCCATTTCTGTTCAAAGTACTTGCAGCAAGATTGACGGAGGGGATTTGTCCCACTCTGGCAGTACGTTCAAAGTTACGATCCCAACATCGGGTTTATTGGATGTCGCAAACCCCCTGCCGGCCTTGGGGCATAGGCGCCAACTAGCCGTATATCAGAAGCAGGGGAGCCGCTTGAGTGAAGGACTGAAGATGGCATGGACAGCATATGACATCGAATTAGTTCCAGCTGACCCCAGTGGCGATATATCTGATGACTGGGGTTATATTTGGGCGGATCTGGACTATATCAAAGATGCACCCGAGCTTTTGGGTCGACTGCTGCAACCTAGAAGCCAACTGGTCATTTTACCATACGGTTCCCAGTCTCTCCTCGATAAGACCATTGGCGTCGCCCCTCCCTCACACGTCATTCCTGTCCGACGACCGCTGCTGTGGCATCGGATGGTTGAAACTATTGTCTCTGTCATACAATCGGGAAGATCATCTGTGGACAGATCTGTCAGATTTGCTCCAATGGTCGATATGGTCGAAAATGCTCATCTGAGTTCTGCGACAGAACAAAGGGCACTCAGCGGTTCGACGGTGCTTCTGGTCGAAGATAATAAAATCAACCAAAAGCTCGGGGTGAAGATGCTACAGACCTTGGGATATAATGTGATGACTGCTAACGATGGGCAAGATGCCGTTGAGAAGATTGTAGCACACGATATGCAAATCGATCTTATCCTCATGGATCATTCGATGCCGCGAAAGGACGGCGTCACCGCATTGAAGGAAATCCGGGCAATGGAGCAAGATGGGACTGTCTCCAGGTCGAGACCTTTGATTATGGTCACGGCAGTCGTTGGACCCGATGCTGCTGCGCTCTGTATATCCAGCGGTGCTGATGCTTTCCTCCCGAAGCCATTGTCCCTGCAAAAGCTTGAGCTGACATTGAAGAAATTCCTGGGCTGAAACGCCGACAAGTGTAAACTCGACCCGACCAGCGGAGTTCAACATTGCAGACAAAGCCATCTTGGGTGAAATCCCTACGGCGATAACCCCTATCGATTCCAAACTCTACAGGAGCAGGGTTCAGGCACTCATTGCGAGTACCCTTGCCAGCCATGGCAGCCCACGCATTGATCGGAATGATATTCTGGTGAGCATGCGCACATCGTAAACAGGAATCATAGAGGATGGCCAAGGGCATCATATTAAAGACTAGACTAGCGAGAAGTTCTAGTCAACTGGCCGCATTGTACGGTTAGACATAGGTACAGTATATTGTATAGGTACCCCACGAGTACGATAACTGAATCGACGTATCCATGACATCGCCCGAAATAGCCGAAGTGCCATGTCTCAATTTAATAAGAAAGATTACGCAAGTGCATTGCTGTCTAGATGGCCATGTGATGTCGAGGTGAGCAAGAAAACTCTGAAGGAACAGGATGAGAAATTTCTGTTAGCAATGGATATGGCGAACTCGACAACACCTGTACTTAGGGGAAATGAGGATGATAAAGGACGGAAGTATTGTCACTTAACGATCTAGCCCGATATTGCCTGTGCCACTATAGCGCTTAATCCTGCACTTAGGGGAATCTCGGTAGTAATGGTGATGGTCAGGGCGGAGTTCAGGTACGACTGTGACTCTCTAGTTCATGCATGTCCATCCCCACCGGCGTCATGTAGATCGAGTATCCTTGACGGAGGCACGGTCGATAAGAATTTCTCTACTCGTGTTGTAAGGTTACCAGCGGAGGGCGCATATGCCATCTTACACATCAAAGACGACTCCTCCCGTATATCAATTGCGAGTATCCGTACATATATACCATTCGCCTCCTCTCCTTTCCTACCACTTTCCTTTGCTTTCCTTGACTGTCATATATTTCCTACTCGTCTCTACCGTCCCAAAAGTTCGGGGTGCAAAGGCTATTGTCTTCGTAATTCTTACTGTCGCTCTCTCACGTGCCTGTGTTTGTTCCTGGGTGGCTCTATCCCTTTCCAACCATCGACATATTCCTGCCAGCAGCCATCCAGACTCCCCCGTTTGTCCCAGTGCCTGACTCATCCTCGCCAGCGCCCGATTCCTCATCACTGACAACATGCAACCCAAAGCTGTCGAGAAGAATACGCCGGCCAACGGGCAGTCTACGAATGGACACTCGAACGGCGACGATATGGCCACCCCATCCACGATACGGCAGAAGTTCCTCACCTCCCCCTCAGACCTAGGCGTTGTTCTTGTCGGCTTCTCCGGCGGCCAATGCAAGCCCGGCGTAGATGCTGCTCCGACAGCCCTCGTTTCCGCAGGCATACTCGACCAGATGCGCGATGAACTTGGATACACTCTTCATGGCGATGAGTCGGTGCAAGATTACAACCAGCTACGCCCTCAGTCAGACCCAGACCACCGAGGAATGAAGAACCCGCGTGCAGTTTCGGCTGTGACGCAGGGTCTGTCTCAGCAGGTCTACAACCAAGCCCGTGAAGGAAGAATGGTGTTGACACTGGGTGGTGATCACAGTATAGCCATTGGGACAATCGCAGGCACTGCGAAAGCCATCCGAGAGAGATACAACGGACGCAAAGATATTGGTGTCATCTGGGTCGATGCTCATGCGGATATCAACACACCTGAGACAAGTGACAGTGGAAATGTACATGGCATGCCTGTTGCTTTCCTTACTGGCCTCGCAAAATCCGAAGAGAGAGATATTTTCGGATGGCTCGAAGAAGATCAGCGTCTCAGCACTGCGAAACTAGTCTACATTGGTTTGCGTGATGTGGACAGGGGAGAGAAGAAGATACTGCGAGACAACGGAATCAAAGCATTCAGTATGCACGATATCGATCGCCATGGAATTGGTCGGGTGGTTGAGATGGCTTTGGCACATATTGGTGCAGACACTCCAATTCATCTGAGTTTCGATGTGGATGCCTTGGATCCAATGTGGGCTCCCAGTACTGGAACGCCCGTCCGAGGAGGATTGACATTGCGGGAGGGTGACTATATCGCCGAGTGTGTACATGAGACTGGTCAGCTTGTTGCCATGGACCTAGTCGAGGTGAACCCAAGCCTCGAGGTGGCAGGAGCCAGTGAGACAGTTAGAGCCGGTGTCAGTCTCGTCAGATGTGCATTGGGAGATACACTGCTATGATGGATGATACGAGTCAATTAGGTCAAGTGTTGCGGTTTTGGCACGACGACGCTGGTCCATTTCCGATGAGCAACACGAGACGCAACTGAGGTTACGAATTTCTTTTGGTGCAGTGTGTCCAGATATGGATATGAACGTGGTCGTTTCAGTGCCTACAGGATGAAGAAAGCATTGCTGGAGTATGATGGTTGAAGGCTACACTTTCGTCAGTCTTTCGGGATGGGCATTAAAAAGGAAAAGAAATCAATATCAGTAGATATGATAGGATATATATCCATGGTTATGCATGCCTCTCTACAGAATATTCTGTTTCCATTAACTGCTACGTACAGAATACGAAGGACTTGTCCGTTGCTCTCATACTTCGCCAGTCCTTTTGTAGCCTCGTCGCTCTTCGCGTAGCCTCGTCAGTGGGTGTCCAATTCACCGCGCCTTGAAAAATGACTGATCATATATTGTAAAAGCGAGCTTTTATCCTCAATGGCGAGTCTGGCGTGACCTCTCAAGCCCCTCCTATCAAAGCTACTGTTCGATAGAACCCGTTTAGCGGAGGCGAATTCGAAGTCACGTAGCTCTCAAACGGACTAGACTCCTGGTGAAGTGAAGTTGCCTCGCAAAAACTCACAAAGTAACTCTGGATGAAGGAAACCGCCATTCGCAAAAAAACCGAGTTTCCCATGATGGCATCTTCTGAAAGAATCTCTGCTTCTAGCAACTTCTAAGAGAATCTCTGCTTAGGTACTTCTGTTTAGCTCCCTTCCTAACCTCTGGAACTAATCACCCAGGGCTTGGGGAGAAAGAGTTTTTTTTGGGGTCATTTGTTTTCTCGAGATGGTACAAAAGCCCGAATGGGATTCGAAAATCCTACCTAAGTGTTTTTGCCTCCCCTTCTTTCCGGTCATTTTGTCGAGATGGAGATGGACGAGGTTCGAATCCTGTCCGTTCGGCTGCCCTTTTTTGGGTCGGTGAAATGGGCCTTGTGACTCAATACTCCACCGTACAGATTTCTACACTTCGGAGAATGCGCTAGCCAGAAACGGTCAAGAACATAATTATTTCCGCACACACAAACCGAAACCAAACTGCGATTCTGTCTAATCTCGAAACTTTTCCCCTTCCTTTCGCAGCGAGATATATCAATCTTCATCTTCTTCTTCTTCAACAACACCTCAAGAAAGATAGACTACCTTTCGCACTCGCCATGCGTAAGTATCATCTTCTTGAGAAGATTTGGCGACCCGGCTAATATGGTGTCTTTCAGCTCCAAAACTCGATCCCAATGAGGTGAAGATCATGTAAGTTGTTTTCTTCAGAAACAAGTTCGCGACGATCAAAAAAAAACTAACAAGACACAATAGTCACCTCCGTGCCACCGGTGGTGAGGTCGGATCCTCTGCAACCCTAGCTCCCAAGATTGGTCCTCTCGGTCTGTCCCCGAAGAAGGTCGGTGAAGATATCGCAAAGGCTACTGGTGACTGGGTACGTTTGAAGATCACAACGACTTTTTGGTAATCGGGGATGGATTACTGACAACAAAATAGAAAGGTCTCCGTGTCACAATCAAGTTGACCATCCAAAACCGACAAGCCGCCGTCTCGGTCGTCCCCTCTGCCTCTTCTCTCGTCATCAGAGCCCTGAAGGAACCCCCCCGTGACCGAAAGAAGGAGAAGAACATCAAGCACAGCAAGTCGATCCCTCTCGAAGAGATCTTCGACATTGCGCGGACCATGCGTGGTGCCAACAAGTCCCTGGCCCGTGAGCTCAAGGGAACCATCTTGGAGATTCTGGGAACCGCATTCAGCGTCGGATGCCAGGTCGACGGCCGATCACCAAAGGAGATTAGTGATGAGATCAAGGAGGGCAACATTGAGGGTACGTTTTCCGCGACTGAGACTGAAGCTGCCCCTTTTTTCTCCTCTTCAACCACTAACGTTTTTGTTCTGTACAGTTCCTGAAGAGTAAATTTCTCAAAACTACTTTGGAGAGACGAGGGAAAAAACCCTGGCCCAGCCCGTGATGATACCCATGAATTGATCATGTCCTTTTTTTTGAGACACGTGAAGATTCAAAAGAACGAAGAAAAAATTTAATGAATCCGAGTTCACCATCACGAATTTTCCTCTTTCTTTTCCTGCAACGACTTTGATTTTCTCACTTGCATTCATGTTTGTTTTTCCTTTGTCCTACACTCCTACCTCTAAAGACGAAAACCTCACTCTCCTCTCTTTCCTCTCTTCTCTTCCCCATTCCCAAAATTTCCCTCGAAACCTTTGCCAACACTCTGGCCTTTATCCCTTTCCTTTTTCAAATCGAGATTGGAAAACCATACCCAGGATATAGGCCTATTTTGGTGCAAAGAAGATCAAACCAATCTTCTGACACGTTACTCACCACGGCATTCCGATCTTTCCGAGGTCTTATGGATGCAGTGGTCCATCTTTATTCTGTGTCTACAAATCTACCTAAACCTAGCTAAACCTAGGTACGCCGCTCGGCGAGCCAACAAAAAGAAAACATCACATTTGCCCCGTCTATCAATAATGGATGTTTCTCGAGTCACTCGCCCCGATTTTTTATATTTATATCTGTATCTTATTTATACTCCTTCCTCTACCGCACATCCTCCAAAACACGATCGACCATGATTTGACTCGCCCCGAGGTAATTGAGAGGATCACACAACTCTTCGACTTTGGAGGTGGTGTTGTCCAAAGCCTTCATGACGTCTTGGTCTTGTTTCAAAACGTCGACCAAGTTTGTTTCCGTCTCGATCGCGACCCGACAGGCGTCGTAGACGATGTCGTGAGCCCTTTGTCGGCCCACGTGCGGCGCCAGACCCATCATGACCGCCTCACCCACGATCAGTCCCTTTGTCGAGTGTAGGTTGTTCGTCATGGCTCGCGTATTGACCACCAACCCACCCAGAGCAAAGTTGGCCTGGTGTAGACTTCCCACGGCCAAGACGAAGGCCTCGGGGATGGCCACCCACTCCAGGTGCCAGGGCCCCGAAGCCCTCTCAAAGTCGACGACCATGGCGTCCAACCCGAGGCCCGCGTTGGCGCGGAGGAGTTTACTCGCCGCCAATATGACCTCTGAACTGATCGGGTTCCGTTTTTGGGGCATGGTGCTGCTGGCTCCCCGGTGAGGGACAAAAGGTTCACTGACCTCCCCCAGTTCGTTGGAAGACATGACGATGAGGTCGTAGGCGACCTTGCCCAGGGTTCCACCCAACAGACCCAAAAAGTTGAGGATCTCGGCGACGTTGTCCCGCGCCACGTGCCACGTTATGGGAGGGTCGTCGAGGGAGAGCTCCCTTGCCAGCGCGGCCCTGACTTTGACGCCGTCTGTGGACGGGCCGAGTGACGCGAGGGTACCCGCCGCTCCCCCGAATTGGACCATCAACGTTCGTGATTCGATTTCGGTCAGTCGCTGGAGGTGTCGGACGATGGACGACAGGTAGACGGCACATTTGTAACCCCACGTACACGGTAGGGCGTGTTGTAGGTGTGTACGACCTGCCATGGGTCTTTTGTGACTCAAGTATCAGGAGGTGTAGAGACCCCACGTAAAAGGGGGAAGAGAAGGGGAAAAAACAACAGGGAAGAAGAAAAACCACTTACGTATCCTTGTACTTTTCGGCCGACTTTGCGAGTACCATTTCGAGTCGTTCCAATTCCCGCCTTATGATTTTGAGTCCCTCCCGGATCTGTAACATTGAAGCATCGTCCATTATGTCTTGAGTGGTGGCACCCCAATGGATGTACTTGGCGTGTTCGGGAGGTGTCTGTTCCACCAGTTGTTTGATGAGCGGTAGGACCGGATATCCTACAATGTCCGTCTCTGAGGATAAACGATCGAAGCTGTGGACGACCCCCCCTCCCCAAAAGAGGGTTAGAGTCAGTAGGAGATACGAGAACAGGGTCACAAGGAGGGACTAGATTGTAGGTAGAGAGGGAGGATGTGGATTAGTGTTGTCCGTACGACTCACTCTATCTTGACATCTCGCAAGGCTCGAGAGATCATTTCCCCCGCGTCTTTGGGTATGACACCGACTTCACTCTCTGCCCTCGCCAGAGCCGCTTCGGTCTCGATCATCCTCGAAACGTAAGCTTCGTCGGTGAAAACGTCACGGATCTCTCGAGTCCCGAAGAGGTTGCGAAAGATTCGAGAGTCCATGGCCGAGACCGACATTGTTCACACAACCTCTGTTTTCCCGTACAATCAAAAAGATGGGGGAGAAACAACAACGAGAAACAACAACGAGTATGGAGACTTTTTATTTTCAAATGCCCCTCACACAAGTACAAAAGGACAGAGTGCCGACTTTACCCCCAGATGCAACTTCTTTCTATACTTTGGTCTGGTACTTTCGGATATGAAGAAGTGAGGTGGAGTTGGAGAAGCCCATCCACGTCTGGAGAAGGTGGGAGAAGAAAAAGTGGCATCGGAGCTGATACCGAGTACCATCGGACGGACTTCAATCACAAACCGCTTGCACTCCTATCACAAAAGCCAGAAGGTAATTTCATTCAATGTACACACAACAACGTTTTTTCTTTTATATCTGAAGGTCAGGTAGTAGACTATCACCACTCGTGAAATGCCTCAGTCATGTACCTTACCCCGACAAAATCATGTACTCGTTCCACTTGTTGCCCAACCACTATACATGACATCGTAACAAACATCGACTGGACCACCAAAGACACTTTTGATTTGGACTATTTCTCTTGGGCCAAATGGCTTTTTGCCCCCTACCATGTTGTTGGAAGCTTGGGGAAATCTTTGGCTGCTACACCAAGATCAACAAAGACGGAATCATCCCCTACTCGTACAGAGCAATTAGTTTTGGAACTTCACAAAAGGAACACCCTCGACATACCTTTGAGATGCTTGATTCGAATCTCATCTTCGCCTTCCAATTTCTCAATCTCTTCCTCTGGGACTCCATTGCCCTCACGTTCATCACTTGGTCGTCCCTCGGTAGCCTTGTCGTAATGGTGGGATTCGCCAATCAGGAGAAACTGTGTATTGACATAATCCAAAAACTTTGGCTCGAGAGGCTTCCAACGAAGGTTTCTGAACTCGTCGAGAAGCTCTTGTGGATACTCTGGACCCTGGGGGAGACTTGTATTGGCAGGGGCAGACGCAGTAGGATTCTTGACGCTAGTCACGAAGCTTCCCTTTTCCTTCAGACCGAGATCCTTCTGGACCTCACCAAGTTCATGGGGGATTGTGATGTTGTACGCGAGGTGCGATTCCCGGCCAGTAGAAGTGATTGCGTAGACACCCTCGGCGAGTGGTGTGACCGGAGGGACGTGGCTGGTTCCTTGGGTCTTTGTGGCGTACTCCGAACCGCCCATGAAGGACTCCTTCAAGTCTGCAAAGGTGGTTTTGGCCTTTTCGACAAACGACAAGAAACGGTCTTTGCCGCTGACCGGGAGGACCTTCTTCGGCACGGCGAGAAGTCTACAGTTCCCCTCGTCACCGATGGGGCCCTCTCCAAGCTTCGCGTCGAGTGGAATCGGGCGCATGACAATGTACGTGCGAGCAATGTCATTGACGTCTTGAGGGTCGTCGATGTTGACCCTGGACCTGAAAAAGAAGTAGATGATGCCCTTCTCGAGGATGCTCGACGGGACATGGTCACGCTCTCCAGATTCAACGGCATCGCCATTGGCCTGGGCGGCGTGTGAATCTTCCTGCTTCTTCTCAGCGACGACCTCTTCTTTGGCAGGTTGCGGTCCATTCTGCTCTTGTGTGGCTTCCTCTTTCTTCTCATCGCTCGCGCCAGTCATGTGTGTATCTTCTTCGGCTTTGGCCGGTTGGTCTTCCCGCTCAGCTTCCAGAGCAGCACCAGCTTGCGGTCCTGAGTTGTCTTTCACATCTTGATCGACGGAACGTTTGCTCGCATCCTGTTCGTCGTTTGCCGGCGCAGGTTGCTCTTGTTGGTTGCCACTGACATATCTGTCAGCATGAATGCAGTGACGGAGATTCTGGGCATGTTCTTACTTGTTCAGGGTCTCCTCAAGAGTCTTTTGTTCCGACTGACTTGGGCTTGTCTTCCTGACACGTTTTGCTTCCGGAAATGCAAGGCCACCACCCTTGCGCCTCTTGTTCTCGGGTGACTGCGCAGGAGGCGTTTGTTCGGAAAGCTTGGCCGCAATCCGAGCCGAGGATCGTCTTCCGGACATGTTGGTGTGGTTTTTGACGCCGTGAGATCACTAAGTTGATGGTGGTGAAGCTCTATCTCGACACTGTTGAAACCGGCAGTGTGAGATGTAGTCTCAGACTTCTCTGATGTTCCATGAATCCCGTGAGATGGTAGGAGTATTCACACTTAGCCGAACCTCCTTCTCCACATTACGACTACGTGAATTGCGGTACAGACAATGACGTTACTGCAAGATCCCGATCATACTAGTACAAACACCGTTAGTCCAGGTACCAGGACGGATTCTTAACTCCGGGCAGGGATGCGGGAGAGGGTAGGGAAAGACCATGGTGTTTGAAGGCTACAAATAGGTAGTATACTGACCTGAATTGAAACGGGCGGCCTACAAGGGTCCAGATGAAGGTACTATGAAGGAAGGGCTTTGTGTTCAGACACGAGTCCAATTGTTGAACAAAATCTGAAAGGTGTAATATATCACAAAGTATCTAGTGATGTTGTTACTTGAACACCAACCCGGGCGACAATATTCGATACTAAAGCGAGTCTTGTATGTAGAGGATGCGTCCTATGCAACATTGAAATGTGGCCGTTGCAATGAGAGAGAACCCCCAGAACATTAGCGTTGGATCCAGTGACTCCTCGGGTGCTCAACCGATGTCCATGGCATCTTCATTCCTGTCCATTGGAGCCGGGCTTGCAGGGGCCGGGGTCGCAGAATTGGAAGACTCCATCACCTCTTGATCGTCCGTCTTCTCTGAACTATCCGTCCAATTTTCCCCTGCTTGTTTCTTGAGCACACGGTGTGCCATGTTGGGTTTCACCACTCGTTTCCTTCTTCGCTTGATAGGTCGTTGTTCAGGTTGACCATCTACGACTTCCAACACTTCGATTTCGGTTCGTTTCCTCGCGGAAGACTCGTTTTCCGGATCCATTTCTCTCGACTGGCGTTTCTGCCCACGGGTTTCGTCGCCATGGCCCTTTGGAGTGTGGTTGCGAGCATCACATGATAGCCGTCGCAGCCGTCCCGCCAGTTCATCATCCGTATCTGGCCACAATTTCCTCAAAGCTCGATCATCTTCGAAATCGGAATCAATATCTTCATATTGATCGGGTTGTACAACTTCAGTATCCCCGTCGTACGCCATGTCATCTGGAGACAATTCCTCAATCTGAAGTCCATGATCAAAAGATTCTTGACGACGTCGTTTGCCTTTGGTATATTTTTGTAAAGCCATTGCGGTATATCAATTCGAGCACGATTCGGAAGACGTCTACTATCGCACTGCACTGAGAGTATCCCACAAAAAATATGGCCGAAGCCCAGGGGAGTTGCTATGGTAGCCAGAGACTGTTTTCATGTCGGTCTTCATTCGTGGCAAAAGAAGTTCGGTCTCGGTTGATGTCTGGCTATGCCGGACGATCCTTGTGTACTCACTGGATCGTCTGTATAGAGTTGTCAGAAACGATTACAGGATGACGGACTCTGGATTAGGGGTTTGTTCATCTAGATGGAGAGGTGCGACGATACTTGGTGCGATGAAAAAGAAAAGATGATGCCTCGAGAATTCTGGATTATTTAAAGCGGCGCCGAGTTGTCGTATTCGTACGAGTACCGAACATTGTCAAAGCTACACCACGACATACTTTGATTCGCATTAAACTATCAGATGCTGCGCATGGTAACGATTACCAAAAGAGTCTTTAAATTGAGAGAGCCATGGGATATGGTTACGAGTAGTGAACTGATTTATGACGCTCATAGGGAACAACTTCTGGGAAAACGCATCCCCAAGTTCACCACCCGCAATATCCGCACGCCCATCCCAAACCTTTACAGGTGGTACATTGCTAGAACCATCCTTATGTGTTAGCTGTCGAGTCTTTCCTGTAAGAACATCAGCTTTACTGAGTCATCAGGTCCTCCGTTCTTGGTCCGCGGGTACACGTTCATACCACCCAGCGTACCTGCCTTCAGCCTTGCGATCACGAGGGCACCAACAGTCTGTGTTTGAAGTGAGAGGACTACAATAGGTATACAATATTACCAATAACACGAGATTTCTGACATATCTACAGTTGTTGCTCATGGCCCCAGATTGGCTCCTTTCAGGTCTCACATTGTTGGTCTGATCCTTTCGGTGATTTTAGGACGCGAGATCCATATGGACCACTGAACTTCGTACAAGATTGTCCTTGAGGGTGTTTGGAAGGCCAAAAAGACTTGCTTCGTACAACAACATCCTGATGCTCGGGGCTTTCGTCCGTCCAAACCCCCTTAACTCCTTCTAAATGAGGTTAATCAGCAGCTTCAATGGCACCTCATCGAACAAGTTTCGCACATCGAACCCTGCCAGAAACGTCGCTGAGGATCTCAACCCGTAGAGATCATTGGGCCATGGACTGGTTCTTGTTGCCAAACATGGAGTGTTCCGCATTGACTTCGGATCTCTGTTATCACCCTCCATTTTAACGAAGGATCTGTACAGTACGGAGTTTCCTAAATCTCCTAGTTCCAAGGGAAAAACCGTGGACAATTCGCTTTTCGGCCGGCCGAAGCACCTTCGTACACATCGTTGCAAGGCTGTGAGATCTTTCTTTTCTTTATTTCCGTTCACAACACGTACAGAATGCTGCTGTACCTTCTTCGAATGTATTAAAAGTCTTTGGTTCTCTTGTTGGTACCTGTCTCTAGCCTTTTCACCCAACCACCACATCCGACAAAAGATACACCACATTCACGTTGTTGTCGCACCGTTCCGAGCCTTGTCTCTGAAGCAAATCACCTTTTCACAGATGAGTCTAACAAAGCCAGGACTGAACGTGCCCCAGGCCGACTCGTCACGAGACGCCACTGCCGCCAACACTCCCTCGTCCAGCATCATGGAGAAAGATGTCGAAAAGGAGGGCATTCCCGCCGAATCTTCTGTCTCGGAACGGGAACCAACAAACATTGCAGAAAAGTCCGACAATAGTGAAGATGTAGTCGCAACTCCTCCCCAAACTCAACAACCAGTTTTCGACCCTTCTGCATTTCCAGATGGAGGGTTCAAGGCTTGGACGGTCGTCGCCGGAGCGTTCGCCAGTCTTTTCGTCAGTTTCGGATGGATCAACTGTGAGTGAATAGGATTCCATCGACCGTCAACAATCGGCCCAACACTCAAGTGACCTCCTGACTGACACTATATGAACTATTTACATAGGCATCGGTGTGTTCCAAGAATACTACGAAACTCATCAACTCCGAAAATACTCTTCGCAAGAGGTTGCATGGATCCCCTCTACCGAGTCATGTATGATGTTCTTGGGTGGTATCTGGGTGGGAAGATTATACGGTATGCCAAAACAAACCACCACCACCACCACTTTGTCTCTTCTCCCTCTGTAGATATTCTTATCAGACTGACAACCTCCCTTCTTCATTGTCATCATCATCAGATAATTACGGCCCCCGATACCTTCTCATGGCCGGCACATTCTTCCACGTCTTCGGACTGATGATGACCTCCATCTCCAAGGAGTACTACCAGTTTTTCCTGGCGCAAGCCGTCTGTTCCGCCATCGGGTGCTCTCTCTTCTTCTACCCATCCATGTCGGCCGTGACGACGTGGTTCTTCAAACGACGGGCCCTGGCTCTGGGGGTCACCGCCGCAGGCTCTTCCATCGGTGGAGTCATCTTCCCCGTCATGGTCGAAAAACTCATCCCTCAAGTCGGCTTCGGCTGGACCATGCGAATCTGCGCCTTTCTCATCCTGGCCCTGGGTCTCTTTGCCAACCTCACCATCGTCAGTCGCATACCACCTAGACCTAGACCCGTCAAAGCAAAAGATTTCCTACGTCCTTTCTCCGAACCGACTTTCGCCACGCTGGCCACCGGTGGCTTTCTGACTTGGCTAGGTACGTTTTGTCCACACGATCTTTCCCCCCTTTTATTGTTTTTATTTTTGAACCATCTTCTCTGACATTTTGCGTGGTTACCCAGGTCTCTTCATCCCCTTCACCTTCATCATCCTCGCCAGCCGAGCCCACGGCGTCCCCAACTCTCTCGCCAAGTACCTCGTCCCCATCATGAACGCCGCCAGCACGTTCGGCAGGACCATCCCACCCTTCCTCGCCGACCGCGTCGGCCGCCTCAACGTCTTGTTGTCCATGTCGATTCTGTCGTCCGTCATCACGCTGGCCCTGTGGGTCCCCAGCGGGGGTTCCGCCGCCACCGTCGTCTACTGCTGCGTGTTTGGTTTCAGTTCCGGCGGCGTCGCGAGCATCTTGCCGGCGGTCATCGCCCAGTTCTCCAACATCCAAGAGATCGGCGTGCGGACGGGTGCCTTGTTCAGCGTGGCCGCCGTCGCCACCCTCATCGGAAGCCCCATCGCGGGCCAGATCATCTCCAACGGGGGTTACAGAGACATGCAGGCTTTTGGCGGTGCCACCCTCGCCGCTGGCTCCCTGGTGTGGGTTTTCCTCTGGGTCAGGTTGGGCGGGTTCAAGGGGAAGAAGGTGTAGCATCGTGGGCGTGTAATTTCACCAGCATCCGTCCAACCGTCCCTACTCGCACTTATCTTGATGTCTTGTTTCAGAAAGAAACATAGCATGCATACTGTCAGGAGTCTCGATAATATCATTCCAACATCGATAGAAACATAGAATCATATAATGGAACAACGATTATCCCAAGTTTGCTATACGCACCCGGCCATCATAGCATTCAATCAACAATGATAGCTACTAGCTTATGGTAGTAACTACCTACTGTGAGGTATCGGTACCTCTGTAGAGATTTCATCATCGTCCGAGTCCATTTGACAATAAAAAACAGAACTCGAGACCCGGGACCATAAAACCGAAAACGTGACACAGACAAATATACACACCTCAACAACAAGTTTCACGACCTCGCCGTACTCATGTTTTGTTTCTTTCGTTGAAATTCTAGTTCCAAGAGTCAAATCCGAGATACTGATCTTTGGAAGAAAAAGAATTAATAATCCAAAAACCCAAAAAAAGGAGTAGGCTGGTTCCAGACACCCGTTGTCGCCGGTCAGGTTAGTCATGTCTGTCTCTCGCCAAATGAGTCGTCCAAATCCCGTCCTCCATGTCATTCTGAAATCGTAATCATGATCGCGCTTGGGTATCATCATTGTATGGCCACATTTCCCTTGGCCGTGACAATGGTGCTGAACCGTACAACACGGCCATTTCACCTTGTCCGAGGACAACTCGGCAAGCAAGAGCACACAACACAACATACATGCATGCATGCTCGCTCAATCGTTAATCATCATCTTCGTCAATCAAATGTTCGACAAAGGGGTCCAATTCGACCCATTTGAACATGGGCCCCCACTTGTACCGGAATTCCTTCCTCTTGTACAGACTGCTGGTGTTCAGTCTGAAACTGACCAGCTCAACCGACCATCCTTTTTCCAACGCACGTTCGACCATACGGAGGAACCCGCCCGAATACTCGGCCTCGGCCGCGTCGCCCGTGGCGAGAACAATCGTGCTGGGTTTCTCCGCATCGATCAACGACTCGAGGATCTTCAGGTGTAGAATTTCGTCCACGGCCTGTTCGACCCATTTTTCGGGCGCGTGCGTCGGCACGGAGAGAGAATTGTTCGTCTCAGAACCACTCGTCTCCCCGGACTGATACCTCCGCTGTCGCGGCGTCAGCTCCTTTGCCTTGTGCACGCGTTCAAGAATGTTGGTCTCGTAGCCGATGGACTTGGCCTGCGCGATCGCGGCGTACTTGTCCGATCCGACCAGGACGCGCTTGGCGGCTGGGCGGCCTCTTTCGAGTACGAGCGAGAAGTTGTGAAAGGACAGTGGGACACGCTTCAGGCGCGTGTCTCGCGGCATGCCACGTGCTACTTTCAAGCAGTCGTGGAAGCCAATCGAGATGTTGGACATGTCGATGAAAACGTGGATACCGATGTTGGAAATATTCAAAGGGGTGAATGCCGGTTCGAGGAGACCCGAGTTCTTCAAGTATCTCTTCTCGTCGGGAAAGTGACGGGCCAATTCAGTAATGAGTGCTTGCTTTCGTTGCCGCGGAGAAAGGCCGTCGCGTGGAGCCACGGACATTCGTCTAAAGGGTGACGGGGCATCAGCAATCTGCCAGAGAAATGGATGCGATACCGGATATTCTCGCTTTGGCGTTCTTATCTCGGATTTGGGTGGTGAAGGTGATGTCGGTGGAGAGGTCTCGCGCAGTGAAGGTCTCGAATAACCAAGGATGTCGTCTATGACGGCTCTTCGGTCTGGCGACCTTCTCAAAGACTCCAATTCCTCTCCCGATTCGAGGTCAGTGGTATCTGACGTGGACTTTTGCTGGGCGGCGAGCTGGTCTGCTCTTTCTTTTGCTCGTGCTCTTCGTTCGGCACGTTTCTTGTTGCGTATGTACGCTGCTGTGACCTTTGTGGGTTCGACGTTGTCTTCTAGATCCGCTCCATCTACTTCATCTCGCCACCGAACTCCCTTGTTCAGCTGATTGAGGTCGAGTTCGGCGACTGGCTCGTCGTTGATTTCGTATCTCACTAGCTCGGCAGCTTGTTGTTGTTGTTGTTGTTGTTCATCATCAGCAGTATGCGGACGACTCAGAAAGTCCCAGAGACTGCTAAAGTCACCAAGTGACGTGTTGTTGGATTCATGGTCCTGAGCTTCGTCGAAGGTCGGGACAAACGACAAGGGCGTTGTAGTTGGAGGGTCTTGAGACTTGAGCGAGAGGTCCTTGAGGAGGCCAATGGCAGAACCAAGATCCCATATCAGGGGATCCTCAGTGTCCGACATGTGAGGCGCTATAATGAGGCGTTGGTCTCGAGAAGGTGAATGGTGTGGCGATTAGAGAGGGGACAACTTGATTGGAAGGTAGAAGTGCAAGGAACGACGACGCATATCTTCGATTTGGTGGTTCGGTTTCGAAAGCGATGTTATACTAGAAAGTATAGAGTAAATTCCTCAGGTGTCGAGGGAAAAAATAAAGTGAATTGGATGAGGCTGACTTTGATGTTGTGTGACTGTAATGTGCGAGGTGAGAGGGATGAGAGGCGAGATATGGAGCAGTCGAGAAGTCGATGATTCACAACAAGGCCCAGCACTGACTCTTGTTTTAGTTAAGCTGAGGGCGCTAGAATTCTAGTAGGCGGACCAGCCCGCCAAATACATCTAGTGCTACGTATGGCAAGTGTGCCGAAGGAAAAAGTGACACCTTTACGGAGCACCATCAAGGTTATAACAGCTTTACGATACAAGGAAATGGTCTGCCTATTTCGCTTTCATATGGTAGCTTCAGAAGTGCTAACTCTCTTTTGAGTTACGAAGCTAGAGGATGATGACCGAATTGACTCCTATTCCCCAACATCACTCCTCTTCGCTGCCAGCTCCATGCAAAATTGAGAACCTGCTCGTCATACTCGTCCCAGTCGATCTCCTCCCTGAACACCTTCTCCAGCATCAACGCGTGAAAGGCAGCTTGGCTCGTACTCGCCGCGGTATGTGGTCGGAAGCCGGCGAGGGCGTCTCCGACAATGAGTGCCTTGCCATTTAGGAGTCTCCCGATCTTCGTTCCTCTTGCTGGAGGTTCGACGTCGGTGATGGCTTGTACAAATGGCATCTTTGTGTTGGCAACAATCTCCGCAAACTGTGGCGCAAGGACTTCCCGGGCTCGAGCAATCTGCCTGTCCCACACCCGGGGCTGCATCTTGCCTCCGGTCGGTAAGGTGAAGCGATGAAGATTCCCATCGGTGTCGGTCATGAGCTCTTTGTACTCTTCGGAATCTTCGTCGACGTTCCAGTACCACACCCAGTTCACCAGACGCTGACCTCTGGCGAGGTTCCCGGCCTTGCCTGGAATGGCGTACGACAGAGCTTGCGTGCCGTTGGCGTGGAAGAAGGTAAATCTCTCGACGAAGACCGCCGCGGCCGACTCCGACACCTCCGTCTCGGGCACCGTGCCTCGAAACGCCACGTACCCAGCGTATTTTCTGTCTGCCGCCTCGTCACCCAGCAGCATGCCTCGTAGGTGTGATGAAGGCCCGTCCGCCGCGATCAACAAGTCCGCCGTCATGGTCTCTGGCTTGGCTCCATCGTTGCTTTCACCTTCATCTTTTCTGGTCTTCTTGTACGTGACCTCGACTTTATCACCGGCCGCCTCACGGACGTCCGTCACCAGTCGACCGTATTCGTAACTCACTCTGCCCTCTCCCTCTGACCGAGGAGGACTTTGTTCCAGGTAATCACTCTCGACGCCGTCAAAGTTGGCCCTCCCCAGATAGTAGAGAAGATCCCAACTCGTCATCCGCTGCTGATAGTCTTCGCGATCGATAATGTTTCCAGCACGGTCAAGATAGTACCGCGCCTGTGAAGTTACGGCGATCGCCCTCTTCGACAAATCATGTTTGTGGTAGAACGCCTGGGTCTCTCCCCCCGCGACGACCCCTGCACCTTGGTCATGCAGCAGCGGTACCGGCGAGCGTTCGAGGATCGTGACTGTGTGACCGAGACGCTTCAGTGGGATTGACGTCATGAGACCGGCCAAAGATCCCCCTACGACGACGATGTCGAGCTTTTTGGAAAGGTCGAGCATGATGTTGAGTCTTTTGGGAAGTGTGTCAACCGTTCATTTCAACTACATACATACCGAGATATAAGATCCGTTTCAGATGGTGGTTCGTTTCATATGTATTTCAATTTAGATACCTAGACCTTTCTCGATACCGAGTATTAGATCAGCAGTTCATCCTGGTCCGGTTTAAGGCAGGATGGACACCATCTAGTACGAGCATCTACTCCGTACGTCGTTAGGTGTTGCGAGCTGGATGACAAATCGGTCTATAGGATCTCGTACTCGTACTCAGTGAAGGCCCGGTGTTTTCAACCCTCAAATGGAAACAATCTGTTCGACACATCTGAATCACACTCGCCGGACTACGGACATTACACATTCGGCGTTCCGGAGGCCAAAAGTATTCCGCTCCTCATACTTGAGTTGATCCGCCAATCCCAATGTGTGGATGAAGTGGGAATGGCCAATACTGGTAGGGTACTCATGTACTTCTCTTTTTCCGCAACCACCAACCACCATAGAAGAGGTACTGTGTAGAATATCTCAGATACTCTGTAGGTACTTAGTAAATATATTGGGTAGATCCGGATGTACTCCGTATCCAGTACGAGATACGAATATCTCGATAGGATCGCCTTGTTTTTTTTTCTTCCCCTCCTCCTCTCCTCTTCCATCTCCCCAAATTCCGCTCTCCTCCTCCTTTTCCCATCTTCCCTTTGGTGCGAAGCCGAAACAATCAGCCCATGTCGTCAGATTTGCTGACATTAGCCGAGTCCGATCTAATCAAGCTCATCAACTTGCTTGTGCTACTCCACCTTTAACCCTCTTTCGGATGGCGCCACAAGTTTGTCCATCGCCAGCGCTCTCGTCTCACCTATGAAATACTTCACCAGTCAACAGCTATCGGAAGCTTGGAAATGCGGGGATTTCCAGTATATCAAGATGCCCCTCGGATCCTCGCAGTGAAGAAAATCAAGTTTCGCAGCTTCTCCTTTGTAGTAGTCTAGAACTGTCCCGCTCTTCTGATCCTACCCGAACCGTCACATTGCAGCAGCCCGTCATGGCCGCCATCCAAGCTCAACTCGACCGTGGGGCAGTGCCAAACCACATCTCCAACGTATGTCCCAAGGGAACCAAATTCCATATCCTTGAGGTCGGATGGCTTGAATGCGATGACGCCTTTGTGGTGCGAGGTGGGAACTCCAGCACACTGAGCACCAAGGACAAGTCCTTTGTCAACAAGCGGAGAGAACTGCCGGTGTTCTGTATTCTGATCGAGCATCCCCATGAAGGTCTGATCTTGTGGGAGACGGGATGCGGGAAAGACTACCCGGAAGTATGGGGGCCACAAATTGCAGATGTCTTCGCCCGGATCAAATATGAGCCTCGCCACGAGTTACAGGCCGCCGTCGAGGCAACGGGCAATAAGCTGGAGGACATCAAGAAGATCATCATAGGCCATTTGCACCTAGATCATGCTGGTGGCTTGGACGTGTTTCTAGACAGGAAAGACGTCGAAATCTGGGTACACGACAGAGAATTGAGAGCCGCTTTCTGGTCCGTCGCAACCGGAGCTGACGTTGGTGTGTATATGGAGCATTACCTCAAGTTGAGCCTGTAAGTGTCCTTGACTCGAAACTTAGAAGTCAGAACGGACGCTGACAACATCTAGCAACTGGAAAACCTTCGATGACCGCACCTTCGACTTCTGTCAAGGTATTACACTGCACCATTTGCCAGGCCACACAGACGGTATGTATCACAACTCTACTGTGAGGCCAGAACTGATTCTCGAAGGCTTGATCGGCATGCAAATCAATATGCCCGACAGTGGCACTTTCCTCTTCATCAGTGATCATTGCCACGTCATTGAAAATGTAGGCATCTTTAGGTTCGTCGTCTTCAACCAATACTGACATTCTGCCAGTGGCGCGACGGTATCCCACAAGGTTGGCTTGCAAGAGATCATCCAGCGTGGTTTCAGAGCACGCAACGCCTGAAGCAATTGGAGAGGACGACAAGAGGCCAGGTCATCCCCGGACATGACAAAGAAACTTATTTGGGTCTCATCAAGAACGGTACCGTGTACACTTGAGCGAAGTGTCCTAAAGCTGTCACGATAAGAGGAGGACGACCGATGCTGTGAGTCCATGAAGCATGGTCGTTGAGATGAAAGAGGTCGCAATCCAGATCGGTCATTTTGCGGACGTATCTTGCAGGCGTTATTTGTGCCAATGTGTTTTGATCATACTCTCAGTTGGGAAAGGTGCCTTGTTGATGGGATGGAATCAGTTCGTTTTGCGGTAATGGCTTTCAGCCGGATGGAGAGCTTTGTTCTGGCATCGACCACTGGCTCGAGGTGAGCGTGGATTCGATCATTTCAGGTGTTCCATCCGTAGATGCTTCTTCATCTAACCCGCCAGTATGCTCCTTCTCATTTACAAAGAATCCGACTGACTTTCCATTCTTCTGACTGGTCCTTTTTGGGACCACAATATCCCCGTTCCAAGGTTGACATTTATAGATGATCTCACCACATCGTAAACAGGTCCATCCGCCACCTTCCTCCGCTTCAATCTTTTTAGCGATGCAGACAAAGCAGTAGATACATCCACAAGGGGTTGTCTCATAGGGGTTGACTACATCTGTTGTGGCAGAGCCGATGACTCCTCCTCCCGCACCTGTGTTGGCCCCAAGGATTTCTGCCTCTGATGTGGACGTAGGGTTCTGCTCCTCATAACATACCGCACATGTTCTCTCTGGCAAAAACGACAAAGGCCCACTTTTGATTTTTCCTTCGTCTTCATCAGTGGAGTCGGACCGCATCGCATCTTTCGTCTTTTTCCAAGCCCTTGCTAGCCATTTGCGCCACCGGCTGATCCCGACCAGCGGTAGCAGGAACAACAAGAACTCGGTGAAAGCGTGCCAGACTAGCTGTCGATTCAGGTACTCGAATGAAACCTCTCGGCTGACTTGATTGGAGGGCGAAACAAGCCTCAACTGTAACAAGCGATCTGTGAGGGTGCGGTAACGCCCATTGACTAAAAACACCAGAAAAGAAAAGAATGCAGCGATCGAGTGAGTTGTTGAAGCGAAAGAGGTCAACCTCATGAGTTGTTGAACCGCCTCACTAGGTGCCGTGTATCCTCGCTCTTGATCAATAAGCCAGTCTTCCCATTTGTCCCATCCATATCTCCCAAATACCGTGATTAGTCCATAGAGAGCTTTCTGCCATCTGGTTGGCTTCGGAAGGGCAAGACTCGATTGCCGGGCGTCAGCGTAGCGTAGATTTTGTAGTGCAGCTCCGTAAGATGCATCGTTATCCCATATGGAGAGTTTGAACAGTACCGCCCTCAGTCCAAGCAGGATCTCTTGCGACCAGTCATCCTGGAGATGCGGTCCTAGATACTTCAAGGCATCTGCAACCTGCGTCTTCAACAATCCCAGTAGTTCCTCGTCCAGCAGTTCCGCATCCACCTGGCCCACTCGAAAGGCCGGCCGAGTTCCCTCGGAGTCTAGTAATGTCGACCAGAAAGCTGATAGCTCAGGGCGTAAAGAATGAGTAAGTCGGGTCAAGGAACGACTCTGAGTAGGGTTTATTTGGGAGTTCGTGGCATGGGCTTCCAGCTGTCGGGCACGCTGTCGCGCCAATATTCGTTCTTGAGCAGCGGCAAAGCTGCTGGAGGACATGGTTGAGAAACCATGAGAGAAACTTTTAGGGGAAAGAAATCGTGAAGAATACACGAGAGATGGGAAATCATGAATGGAACGACCGATTCAACCGAGGCTGTAATTACCAAAAGATCGCCGCGTCTGACAGGGAGTAATTTGCACCTATCGATTGAGTACTGATAGAAAAAAACTAGTGTCTGACAACGACCTTTATTGACCCAGTATATTGTGCCAAACATCCATTGTGCCTTGTCACTTTTATTGGTGACTCTCAACTAAAGAATCTTATGATGCCGTTTTAATATCAGTCTTTGAGGCTCTTGTTCTAATACAAGTTTGTTTGGCATCGCATGACCAGGGGTTCTGATATTTTCTATGTTTTTGATTCAGGCCTGGAAGCTGCTCAAATTCCAATGTCTGATGAAAGTCGAATAACAAAATGCCGTCTTTTGCCATCGAAGCTGAAGGCGAAGCCAACCCTCTGTCCAGGGGTCTGGTAATTAACACGCTTCTCAGTGCTCAGAACCATAATTTTCAGGCATTGAAAGTTTCTACACAGCAGCTGTCGAACTGGGAAAGGGCACCTATGTACTATACGTTGCTTCAGGATATTTATGCCGATCTCTCCCTACCCAAAGATGTCAGATTTCAAGCAATTATCCAGCTTAAGAACGGGATTGACAAGTACTGGCGAAAGACTGCGACTCATGCCATCGACAAGTCTGAAAAGCAACAGATCAAAACGAGGTCTATCGAGGCTGGTTTAAGAGAACCGGAGTCAGCCCTGGCACTCCAGAACGCGCTGATGGTGGCGAAGATCGTACGGTACGAATTTCCTCACGACTGGCCCGATATCCTTCACGTTATCCGGCAACACATCCGATCTGCTGGTCACGACCGCCTCTACACCTCGAATGTATTTATCCTCACATTACAAGTCGTCAAGGAACTGGCGTCGGGGAGGCTCCAGCGCACCAAGAAAAGTCTCCAGCAAGAGTCAGACGAACTTGTGAGCGATCTTCTGACCGTCTACACTTCTTTGGCGTTAGGCTGGCATTCTGGTATGGGGAGTATACAAGCCGACCCCAACAGCTATTCAGGGCTGAAAATCTTGAGACGTTTGGTGGTGGTGGGGTTCGAGAGTCCTCATCGACACGAGGTGGTCAAGCATGTGTGGGCAGTTCTGCATGCTGAACAAAATGCTTTCTGGAAAGAATTGAATCTTGACGAAACACCGGATATGAAGACTATGCGTTTGAAACATCTTTTACAATTATCAAAATTCTATCTTGAGATGGCACGCAACCATCCAGCCTCATTTGTCTTGCTTGGATGCACAGATGTTCTGGATCATGCTTGGCTTGTCATTAACCACAATGATGCCAAACCAGCGCTTGAAGGCAATTTCGACTGGGCGGTGTATCGTAGCGGAGATGTCAACGACGAATCCCCGATTGAGAAATTGTCGCTGAAAGCACTGCTCTTATTTCGCGCTTGCTGCAAAATGGTTTTTCACCCGGTTCAGACTTTCAAATATCAGACACCCCAGGATAAAGAGGACCGCAAACAGGCTGTGGATTTCGTCAAGAATAGCGTGCTGACCGATGCCTTTGTTATTCAACTCATGGAACTTTTGGTTACGCAATATTTTGTCCTACGCCCTTCCGATTTGAGAGACTGGGAGGAAGATCCTGATGAGTGGGAGAAGAGAGAGGAGGAGATTGCTGATGCATGGGAGTTCTCCAGCCGTTCATGCTCCGAAAAACTCTTCTTGGACCTTGTCATCAATTTCAAAGAGTTGCTTGTGCCGCGATTGCTCGACGTTTTCCGACAGTACGCCGTGACCTCAAACACCAATATTCTTCTGAAGGACAGCCTGTACTCTGCTATTGGCATCTCTGCTGCCTGCTTGGAGGATGTTCTTGACTTCAACACCTTCCTCCGCACAACTCTCGTCCCCGAAGTGCAAATAAACCAGCCAAACTATCGGTTGTTACGGCGGCGGATTGCAATATTACTTGGTCAGTGGGTGCCGATAAAGCCCGAAACCATTGACAGAGTCGCTGTCTATCAGATATTTACGCACTTGCTCGCTAGTGGCGAGCAGCTCAACGACCACGTCGTTCGGGTAACCGCTGGACGCCAGCTTCGTCTCGTGTTGGAGCCTTTTGAGTTTAAGTTCGCTGATTTTCACCCATACGCCGACCCCCTCCTGAAAAGCTTGATGTCCTTGATAGCAGAGACCGAATTGTCTGAAACAAAGATGGCATTACTAGAGACTGTCCGAGTTGCTGTAACAAAGCTTGAAGGCCAGATAGAGCCGTATGTTCAGGACATCATGTCCATGCTGCCGCCACTGTGGCTTGGCTCAGGAGACGAGCATCTGATGAAACAGGCAATCTTGAGTATGATCACCGCAATTGTCAACAGTCTTGGGCAAAAGAGTCTATCATACCACAATGCCATCTTGCCCATCATTCACGACTCTGTCCAGCCAGAGTCTGAAGCCATTGTCTATCTGTTGGAGGAAGCGCTCGACTTGTGGTCCGCCATCCTGCAGCAGACTCCTTCTAACCAGGCCTCGCCAGAGTTACTGAAGCTGTCCCACTCTCTACTGCCACTGCTAGATATTGGCAGCGAGCTCCTTCGCCAAATTTTTGAACTCATCGAATCATACACGATCCTCTCACCTACCACGATTCTGGCCCCGGATTTCCTTACGCCACTCCTGACATCATCGAAAGCTCTCCTTTCAATGTTGGCTTCGAGCCGCGCTCGGGATGCAGCTCTCGCTCCTCATGTCATCGAGTACCTGATTGCTACAGTCTCCGTCGAAGGGTACAGCCAACATGATTCCCGCCAGGCTCTCATGCACATCCTCGATTCTATGCTCAACACGGGCTATCTCTCATCCCTCCTTTCTCTGCTCAAAGACGCTCATGACTATCACGAGGATCCTCGTCCCAGCAAACGCCCACCAGACATCATCGGGCCAGGCGAGACCACACTGTTCACCGTCCTCTCGCGCGCCGTCATTCTCTTGCCAGAACAAACATCCCAGGCCATCCTCGCGACGAACGTCACCACGGCCTCTTCGCCGACGCCGATGCAATGGCTTCTGACCGAATGGCTCCAGTCCATCGACAGCATCGGCGATATTTTGCGAAAGAAACTCCAGGTCATCGCACTGACCAGCCTCCTTGCCGTGTCGGCTCCTCCGGTCTCCACGCTCATGATGGAAAACCTGCAGTCCCTGCTCACCATCTGGACGGACGTTGTCGTCGAGCTGGGACAGGAAGCCGCCGAGGAGAGCCAGGGCGACTACCTGTGGCACAACACGCCCGGAGACGTGCCCGAGTGGCCCGACCACACGCCCGAAGACGGCCGGAAGAGGGTGATCAGTAACGCTGATCCCATCTACGGCGTCAACGTCAGGCACTTCATCGCCGACGCGCTGCGTGCGACCATGGACCGGACCGGTGGCCCCCAGGTGTTCGAGCGGGAATGGTTGTCGAGGATCGACTCGGTCGTGCTCAAGTCCTTTGTGGAGCTGAAGCTGCTGTAGGCCATCGTGGTCTGAAAGATTTGGCCTCTAGAGATCATGTGGGGCGGCATATGGACTCGTCGTCCTCAGAAAGGTCGATGAGTAGTGATGAGTAGCTTCGCAGGTGGACAGGAAAGGCTTTCAGTCAAAATACTCGAGAACAATCGTGTCACGGGTGACTCGCAGACCGTGTCTTGAGAATCTGGGTTACATAATTCTAGCGTGAATGGTCGCCCAAAGACATCGAGGGCCTTGTCGTATGAGATCAATGATTTATTATCACGGACAAGATCGATGCGGACAGTCCTTCCCTAAAGAATCACTTCTCGAAGGTGGGAAGGTCGATAGATTGGACGTAACGAAACACCAAAGAAATCGTGAAACAAAACTTCTATCCTCCTACTTGATTATTGTATTATTGAATCGTGTCTGCTCATGAACGCTAGTGCTCTTACTCGTACTATTCTCGTGCCATTGACCGGCCATGCATTGTTGAAATTGATCGTGGATCTCTATATCTAGCGTCTTCTACTTGATCGTACTTGCCCGTCTCAATCCGACATGATATCGCATGAACAAAGTGTCGATGAAGTGATCATGCTTGATTCCGGGCGGTTTCGCCCTTGCAAACTCGTCTAACGCATCCTGTGGCCTATACCCCTCCCGTTCGATGAGGTAGCACGCAATGAAGAACCCCGTCCGGTTGTACCCGTAATGACAATGTACGCCGATCGCTTTGTCATCGTGGCCGGGCTCGGCTCGTAGCCGGTCAACGAGGGCAATGAAATCTTTAACCTCGACGGGTGTGGGGGGCACTTTACTCACGGTCGGGAACTTGTGGTACTCTATGCCGCCGCGCTCGAGGGCCTGCGTGTCGTAGACAGGACTGTCGTGGGAGATGTCGATGACGGCAAATATGCGGTCGCGCCAATTGCTTAGAAATACGCTCGGTGTGTGTATGGGGTCTTGCTCGCGCAGTGTCTTGAGCGCGCGAAAGAGACCCTTTGGGCCAATAGGCCCTGAAACGGGCATCACGTTCTGCCATTTCCGTAAGTTCTTGACATCCCATTTGCCGGATGTGGTGAGCTGTTGGAGTTGCCAGCCTAGGCTGAGTTGTGGAGACACGTAACGAGAAAGAAAGTCCTCTATCAGCCCGGCTACGGTGCGGTACGTACTGTGGTCATACATCAGAGCATGAGCGGCTGGTGAGGGTAGGACGGCGGTTTTGACGATCGTTGCATTGTGGCTGGACATTTCACTTGTTGAAGGGAGAGTACCGTACTGGTGGTCAGATACCGTCTGGTCATTTTCAGATGTGGGGGGTCTGTTGTTGGCTCCAGACTCATCAACACCTGAGGTGGTTGGATTTGTGTTTGAATCAGTGGCGAGTGGAATGGTGTCGCCGGTTGTGGCTGCATTCATATTGGTTTGAGATGGCCGGCGCAGGTACGAGATTATTGTTTGCAACTCTTCTGGTTTTGTCACTGTGTCGGATTCGCCTGCGATCAAAAACAAGGGGACTTTGATCCGCGACCATACTTCTCTGCCAGGAATACCACCATGCGGAACTCCAGACTCGTTATATTGTGGCAGGCAACCCAGTGTTGATCGTTTCCAAACAGGAGTCTTGAAGCTCTTGTTGAAGGACAACTGTAGGCGACGAAGGTCGATCTTAGCGCCTTTACCTGCCATCCTTTCAACACTCTTTGAATTGACGCCGCCCCTCCGGTCGAAGAATCGTAATGCGTCCAGAGCAAAATCCGGCAGAGCAAGTAGCTTCCGGGCGGACTTGACCTGAGGTGGAGTGGGCGGGCACGCTTTAGGACAGAGCCCGACAATTCCTTCAACAGAAATCGATAACCCCGGATCTGTTGCAAGAGTCGCGGCGATAGAACAGCCCAAGCTGTGTGCCACTAATACAACCTTTTTGTGGCCCCGTTCATGGCATATCTCCGTGATTGCCTTTCGCCACAAGGCCACAAAAGCCTTAAATGAATACGCATTGTAGTCCTTGGGAGCGAATGATGACATGCCATGACCAGGCAATTCTATGCCGAAGCATGGGCCGACGTTGACCAATGAGCCGAGAAGAGGTGTAAATTGATGCAACGAACCGCCCAGGCCATGAAGAAATACCAGCAGAGGTAAGTCTGCTATAGCTTGAAGCTTTTCAGCATGAGCATGTGGGTGATAGAAGGTCCTAATAGAAGGATATGTAGCATGTTCGGTCTCATATTGGAGAGACGAAGCATGGTTCTTGAGTAAAGAATGGTCGTCTTCGTCAGATGTTGTTGTCTTGTCGTCAGACTCTCGATCCGAAAAGAGGTAGTGCCGTGAGATATAGAGTGTACTAGCGCCGAGAAGCAACGCGATAGTAATTGATGTAGCCATTGCAACAGACTTGGATACTGGTCCGGGATAGACCTTAGGGAACGTAATCCCGCGTTGAGCAGGGGAAAGAATCTTCCAACTCATGGCTATACATCATAGCGCGATAGAGAATAGAATAAAGATCTGAATACGTGTTGCTGTAAACTGGAATATAGTTGATTGTGTGTGTGTGTGTGTGTGTATGTGTGAGGTTTTTGCCAAATGGCCTGGAAGATTCAAGTGATTGTGACACGAAGTCAGGAGCGATGTAGCTCTTTGTCTGTCCAGGGTGCCGATGGCGGTTGATATGAATATATTAACCTATCCTGCTTTGAGACTTGTCCTTCTTGTAAGACTGTAAACGTGAAAGCCAAGTGATTGGGCCCCTTTCAATATCTTATGCCCTTGAACACGAAATGTTGGATGTTGTCACTGCTACGACATTCGGATCTTCGGAGAATATTTTTCCGAAACTCGAGACTTGCAGATACGGTGAGCTATTTGCTCACTCCATGGTCTACCGCGAAACATCTGGCACTATAGTGCAAGTCGACCACAAATAACTTCGCTATACAAAGTCGCAGCTCGCACTGCCATATCATTGTCCTCACTTCGCCGCCGTTGGGAGTCCCAACAGCCTATGCAGCAAAGATGGATGGCATGTATGCGTCCATTGTCCGCACGCCGGTCTCTTCCTGTCATTCCGTACCGTGAACCGTGCGTGCGGCCTCTGGTTAGCAGACATGTCTTCGTTCATCTGCGGACCTTTCACTCTTCCCATGCGCGCCTGGACGATGCTCATACCCCCCTTCGCAAGCAGTTGAAACATGCTGCGAAATCGGCGAAGTTATCTGGAAGCGCTCAGGTATCCGACCATCATGACGTCCTCGACGACTGGGAACTCACAGTGGGTATCGAAATCCATGCCCAATTGAATACTGCCAGAAAGCTCTTTTCTTGTACGTGCCGTGTCCCTATATCAGACCAAGCTCATACTGATTTTCGAGCAGCTGCATCAACTACACCAAACACAGAGCCAAACTCAAATGTGGCGGCTTTCGACATTGCCTTGCCTGGAACTTTGCCCGTATTCCAACCAGCGGTCGTACTGCCCGCACTCCGAGCCGCCCTTGTCCTAGGCTGCCGCGTTGAACCAGTCAGCTATTTTGATCGGAAACACTACTTCTATCATGATCAGCCCGCAGGTTACCAGATAACTCAATATTACCACCCGTTCGCAAGACGTGGCCGAGTCACCCTATCGTCAGACGATGGCTTGCTGGATGGAGAAATAGTCGATGTGCGCATTAAGCAGGTACAGTTGGAACAAGATACGGCACGAAGCCAGGAGGAAGATGAAAATACAACCTTGATCGACTTCAACCGGAGCGGTCATGCATTGGTTGAGATCATATCGCTTCCAGACCTTCACTCACCACGACATGCGGCTGCATATGTACGCAAGGTCCAGGCCTTGCTGTACGCTGTTGATGCTGTCACGACTGGAATGGAGTTAGGTGGATTACGAGCCGATGTGAACGTGTCTGTTCGCCGCCGTGACGATACTAGCGACCAAGGGCTTGCATACGCTGGTGTTTCTGGACTTGGTCAACGAACCGAGATCAAGAACCTCAGCACTTTCAAGGGTATTGAGGATGCCATCACAGCAGAGAGAGATCGCCAAATCAAACTTCTACAGTCCGGAGGTACCGTCGAACCTGAAACCAGAGGATGGTCCACGACACACCCCAACGAAACTAGAAGGCTCCGAGGCAAGGAAGGCGAAGTCGATTACAGGTACATGCCTGATGCTGACATCCCTCCGTTGTGCTTTGACACGGAACTTGTCGACTACCTTTTCAAGACCATGCCTCCCACGCCCGAGGCTCTGGCTCAGCGTCTGATCAAACAATATGGGCTTTCACCAACAGATTCGAGAACATTAGAATCTCTCGACGACGGCGAAAGGTTGATATACTTTCAAGAAGTCGTTGACGAACTGTTGAACTTGAGCTATAACACCGAATCTCTCAAGGATGTCGGCAAACTAGCGGGTAACTGGGTTCTACATGAACTCGGCTCCCTGTTTTCCGTGGATGAAAGTCCCTGGTCAAGTCATAGAGTTCCAGCCCAGTCTCTCGCCCATATCATCCACCATCTAAGGAAAGGCGAGATCAAGGGCCCATCCGCCAAGCTGATACTGAAACTCCTCTTCAATGGCGACACTCGCAGAGTTTCCACGATCATTCAAGACGAAAAGTTGTCCTTCACCAAGATGTCGCCAGAGGACTACGAGATGATTGCAAGCGAGGTTATGAATAAATTCCCCGACACTGTCAAGGACATCGTCGAGAAGGGTAAAGTCGGAAAAATCCAGTTCTTGATGGGTCAAATGATGAGGCACCCACGGAGGAGCGAGATAGAACCGCCTCAGGCCGAGAAGACTCTACGCCGGCTCATATTGGGTGAGAAGCCCTAGAGATTCATACTTTGTAGAAACACCAGATAGCGATGCACGAAACAAAGATTGATACCCCCGAGCTGGAAACGTGATGTGTCGCTCTCGCGCGTAATGAACCAGATATTGTAGCCACTCTTGACCCGGCTTGGTAATCTAAATTTTACGTTGGTCACTGCAAATGTTCGACTATGCTGTTTCGTCGATTGCGTGGAAGTCAGAAGACAAGATTGGTCAAACGACAATGGCTACAAAATAATCGAGGGAACGACGCGGACATGTACACGGCACCATAGAACACTGGGAGCTGAAACAGGCTCGCTTTTACTTGGCGACCAAGTAAACCGCGCTTTACGAAAACGAAAAGGGAAAAATAGATCGTGAGTGTCCATCAGTATCATTTAACAAAGTCTGTTTTCGAGCAGTCCGCTTCAATACATCGCCTTTTCCCTGCTCCAAGTAACCTGGCCAAACCAGATAAGTCTACCAGCACCTTTGGCCCTCTTATTACTCTTTGAAGCTGACCGACGAATGTCATCATGGGGCTTTGCATCTTGTATTCTGCGACGTTGCTTCTAGCTGGAACCAGATACAGCGAGCCTGATATGGTTAGTCAAGTAAAACAGACACAAACACACAAGGGAACCTACTTCATGAGATGATCCATGAATGTCTGTAACGAGACGTCATCGGTGAATATCGTCTGTGCGGTCTGGGAGACGCCTCCATATCCACCACTGGCATGAGTTGTCGATGGGTTGAGCTTGGACAACAGGAAACGGGCCTGTGAACCACCGGCGTCACAAATAATGAATCGGGGTAGAGGGAAACGATCCTGAACAAGCTCTCGAGCATCCTCCTTTGGAGCCTCGAGGACTGCCTTGAAGTTCTCATAACCCTCCTGCTCTTGATAACCTGCTTTCCGCCACTCAGCCATGGTCTCGCCGTGGAAAATAAGAATCTGGAAGAAAGTGTCGAGGAGAAGGATTGTCTGAGGTTGAATGGATGCAGAGTCAAGCAGAACGGGGACACCGCCTTCGTGTTCAAGGCCGTAAGAATCTAGGGTTGGCTGTATCATTATCAAAGAGTCTCCAACATATTCATGATTAAGCACATGCCGGTAGAAGGCCGTCTCATCAGGAGAGTTGTTGAAGACTTGCAGGAACTGAGATCTGCGGAGATGGAACATGAATTGTGGATACAGGGTGAAGTTCTTGTCGAGTCGGAACGACGTCGGGTCATCTTTGCGGTAATCGGCAAACCGAGAGCAAAGCCGGATCAGCATTCGATCGACCCATCGTAAAACATCTGGTCCATCATCCACTTCAGCTTTGAAGACCGCAATTCTGGCCATGAGCACAGCAGCGGCCTCCTGGTCGAAAGATTGTGCCAGCGCCGGATCTCCAGCAGGTCCGCTGAGATTGCGAGCGACGGTGGTGACGCGCAGGTGGTATTGGCCTGAGGAGTGTTGGTAATATGTTAGGAATTGCATCATGCCTCTTTGAGGACCTTGCTGTACTGGTGTTGGGCCGCCCTGGTTTGCAACTTCGAAATAGACACCGTAACTAGAAGTAGGGTCGATACCGCACATTTTCCACAAGCATGTATTTCCAATACCGCATTCTGTCTCGCCAACCGAGCTCGACTTCTTATTTTGTGACACGGCATGGCCAATAAGGCCAGTGACCTTGAGTTCTTTTGTGGTGACAACCTCAAGCGACGCGTTGAAGCCCATTAAGAGATTGTCGTTCTCATCTTTGTCGAAGACTCTGACGAAAGACTGCTTGAATTGCGAAGAGGTGAAACTGTCAGTCAAGACCATGTTGCCACCGGTAGAGTTTGCAAGGTTCTTCATTTCGAGCAGACCAACTTGATCGAGACAACCGACATATAGATCAATAATGTGGCCATTGTGTGCTGTTCGCTTAGCGAGATTCTCGTAGAACTTGAGTGCCTTCTTGAAGTATTTGACGTTATCGCGGTCAATGTCGTGATGAGATCGAATAGGTTCTCGGAGTTCGGGGGCAACCACGAGACCTGGTCCTTCAGTTGCTGGGCCACCGGCAAAAAGCATGATCCTAGCTCCGGCATTCTGGAAGGAGGTTTCCAAGAGACCCACTGCAATACTCGTTGCAACACCAGTAGCCCTCAGTGGCCGGCGGTCATTCGCAACAGGCCAAGGGTCCTTTTGTAACTGCTCAATTGCGTTTGTGATCTGGAATTCGGCTTGCTGAACGGGAAGAAGAAATCGTGCTGCTGGTCCCATTGGTGGAGGAGGCCTTCCTTGTTGAGGCGGCACGTTGGGTCTTAGCCCTGGTGCTGAGAGACCAAGCATTTCCTGAACTTGTTTCGCAGCATAGTCCTTGCTTCCTCTGAAAACATAGGACTTCTGGCATTCCGTATATCCAATCTCATGGACGGCCACGTTTGTTCCGAACGTAACGAGCCCTACCAAAGCGTTCGGTGGTAGAAGAGACAAACTCATGACAAGCGTCTCTTTCAGGGCTTGTAATCCATCTTCTTCAATCGCTGTATCGACAACATAGACGAAAATGGGAGGGGTAGGCGCAGGTCGCGCGAGCTGATATTCCACGGTTGTGTTCAAACTATGCATTTCTGGAGGCACATTCTCGGCGCTGATATCTCCATAATGACGAGGAAGCTGATTCCTCTGGAGACAGAATGGACAAATCCATATTTTCGCCCGTACATCAACGTTTGCGAATGGATTAAGGACGGCTCGGCAGGGAGGTTTACAGGTGACAGGCTCGTAGTTCAGGAGAGGCTTATTGAGCTCCTATGTGGTGATCAGCATGTCAAGCTTGCCATACAGCAATTAGGGGTTTACCAACCTTGAGAGGTGTGAGCATAACACTCACAGGAACCACCAGTCTGTTGGCTTCCTAGAGAAATTTAGTTCCGCCTTTGCATACGGTGAGATAGGTACACACCATGCGCGTGGAAGGAATGATATTCCAACTGAGCCTGACTCCATCTCGGTCCTCGACCTCCGCCCAGTTGTCCTTGATCGCATCGTACTGTGCTTGATCCATTGTTCCAGTATTTGTATTCTGTGCCACGCCGGTCTAATAATGCATGCTGGAGATCGCGATAATAGTGATTCAAGTGTGCGGTAAGGTGCTTTTGTAAGTTTATCGTTGGCGTTCGTGGCGACCGAGTGGAATCAGATGATACAGACACGACGCAGCAAGATCAACAACACGAGTACTGATATCTGGTACTTGTTACTGCTCGGCCACCCTGTCAACTTTGGTGTTTGTTGGTGGGTGAATCTGCGGGTGAAATGAACGAACTGGCCAAGTTGCAGGTCTCGCTACACCTTCCGCAATTCTCCACACTGACATGCGCCATGCGGGCTGTAGCCAAATTCCCCTGGCTCCAAGACACGTTGCCCTTTTCCAATGAGGACAAAAAGTTACCAATTACAAGCCTCAGTCAACCCTCATTCTAGGTGTTATTCAAGAGAGAAAGGAGATCTCGCCCTTGTTGATGATGAGCACGCCCTGAAGTCACCATAACCTCTCTGTCTGTGGCCCTGCAAATCTGTCAACATGGCGTCCCCTTCGATGCTCACGAAGGCAAGCACTATTATTCCAACAGACACGCTCTATTACTAACTGACGGGATGTATAGTTTGAAAGCAAAAGCAGTCGCGCCAAGGGCCTTGCTTTCCATCCGAAAAGACCATGGATACTGGTCAGCTTGCACAGTAGCACTATCCAGTAAACACCACCGCGCAGCTCAGCTCCAACATTGTCACTGACCACATCCTACAGGCTATGGGACTATCGCATGGGCACTTTGATCGATCGATTCGAGGAGCATGACGGACCAGTGCGCGGCATTGATTTCCACAAGACACAACCTCTATTCGTTTCTGGTGGAGATGACTACAAGATCAAAGTCTGGTCATACCAAACGAGAAGATGTCTATTCACTCTCAATGGCCATCTTGACTACGTTCGTACAGTCTTTTTCCATCATGAACTTCCCTGGATTCTCTCGGCCTCGGATGATCAAACGATCAGAATTTGGAATTGGCAGAATCGATCTCTAAGTACGTTTTAATGTTCATCTTGCTTCCAGCTTCGGCATTGCCCAGCTAACCTGCGTACAGTCTGTACCATGACCGGCCACAACCACTACGCAATGTGCGCGCAATTCCACCCGAAAGAAGATCTCATAGTCTCCGCCTCGCTCGATCAGTCAGTAAGAGTATGGGATATTTCAGGCCTTCGGAAAAAGCATTCAGCTCCGACCTCGATGAGCTTTGAAGATCAGATGGCGCGTGCAAACCAGCAACAAGCAGATATGTTTGGAAATACCGATGCGGTGGTCAAATTCGTTCTCGAAGGTCACGACCGAGGCGTCAACTGGGTTGCGTTCCATCCTACACTTCCGCTGATCGTTTCGGCCGGTGACGATCGCCTGGTCAAGTTGTGGAGAATGAGCGAAACAAAGGCATGGGAGGTCGATACCTGTCGTGGTCATTTCCAGAATGTGTCAGCATGTCTCTTCCACCCTCACCAGGACTTGATTCTGTCGGTGGGCGAAGACAAGACTGTCCGAGTTTGGGACCTCAATAAGAGAACCTCTGTCCAATCTTTTAAGAGAGAAAATGACAGATTTTGGGTGATAGCTGCACACCCGGAGATCAACCTTTTCGCCGCCGGACACGACAATGGAGTTATGGTCTTCAAGCTTGAACGGGAGCGGCCAGCATCCTCAGTCTACCAGAACCAGCTATTTTACATCACCAAGGACAAGCATGTCCGCTCCTATGATTTTACGAAGAACGCCGAATCACCCTCTCTGCTCTCGCTTAGGAAGTTTGGCAGTAACTGGGTGCCTCCTCGCACACTGTCATATAACCCTGCAGAGCGCTCCATACTGGTCACTTCGCCGTCAGATAGTGGCAGTTACGAATTGATCGGGCTTCCCCGAGATGCCACAGGCGCTTCTGATCCAACGGACATCAAGCGGGGGTCCGGGAATGCTGCGGTGTTTGTCGCTCGCAACCGTTTCGCCGTCTTCAGCGTCGCAACTCAGCAGGTGGAGATCAAAGACCTGAGCAATTCTACCACAAAAGCCTTCAAGGCACCGACGCCCGGCACTACTGATATCAGTTACGGCGGTACTGGATGCTTGTTACTTTTGAGTCCTTCGAATGTTGTCCTATACGACATTCAGCAGAAAAAGCAACTTGCCGAGCTTGCTGTGCCTGGTGTCAAGTATGTTTCGTGGTCGAACGATGGCCTCTATGCCGCACTGCTCAGCAAACACAATGTCACCATTGTCAACAAGAATCTCGAACAAGTCAGCACATCACACGAAACCATCAGAATCAAGAGCGCAACTTGGGATGACTCGGGTGTTTTGCTCTATTCGACCTTGAACCACATCAAATACACACTTCTTAATGGTGATAATGGCATTCTCAGAACTCTTGATCAGACAGTTTACCTGATCAAGGTCAAAGGTCGTAATGTCTACTGTCTCGACCGAGCAGCTAAACCTAAAGTTCTCAGCATCGACCCGACAGAGTACCGTTTCAAGCTTGCCTTGGTCAAGCGAAATTACGACGAAATGCTCCAGATTATCAAGAACTCAAGCCTGGTCGGACAGAGCATCATTGCTTATGTGCAGAAGAAAGGCTATCCCGAGATTGCGCTCCAGTTTGTCCAAGACCCTCAGACAAGGTTTGAGCTGGCTATTGAATGTGGTAATCTAGAGGTTGCGACTGAGATGGCTAAAGAGCTTGACCGACCAAAGATATGGACTCGTCTCGGGGCTGAAGCTCTGATCCACGGTAACCACCAAACTGTGGAGATGACATATCAGAAACTCCGAAACTTCGACAAGCTTTCGTTTCTCTACCTCTGCACTGGTGACCAGGAGAAGCTAACAAGGATGGCTAAGATTGCAGAGCATCGCGGCGACTTTGTTTCTCGTTTCCAAAATGCTCTTTACCTAGGTGACGTCGAGAGCCGCATCCAAATGTTCAAGGAAATCGACCTCTATCCTTTGGCTTATCTGACAGCCAAGACACATGGCCTAACGGAAGAGTGTCAATCAATTCTTGAGTTGTGCGGCCTCACGGAAGATCAAATATCGATGCCCGAATCTGGCAAAGCTCTCGTACCTCCCAAGGCCGTCGTTCCTACGTACAAGGCAAATTGGCCGGTTAAAGAGGCTTCTCACTCCTCATTCGAGAAGGCTTTGCTCGGCGAGGTTGGAGGTGCCGTCGAGGATGACGCTGGACCTGATCTACTGAATGAAGACATCCCTGTTGCTGCGGATGGTGCTGGTCTTGCAATCGAGGATGAAGGCGAAGCCGGTGAAGGATGGGATATGGGTGACGACATCGGCCTGGATACCGCCGGTGATGATTCTGAATTTGTGAATGTTGACAACCCTGATGCTGCAGTTGAAGCTGCTGGGCCAGGAAGCTCGGAAGCTGACATGTGGGCACGCAACTCACCTCTTGCCGCTGACCACGTCGCTGCGGGTTCATTCGAGAGCGCTATGCAACTGCTCAATCGACAGATTGGTGCTGTCAATTTTGGCCCTCTGAAGCCCCGATTCCTTGAGATTTATCAAGCTTCGAAAACCTACCTACCCGCCAATTCGGGATTACCTCCTATTCTCAACTATGTCCGTCGTAACGTTGATGAGACAGACAGCAGAAAGTTGCTGCCAATTATTCCTAAGACTCTAGACTCACTCAGCAATGCGGACTTACAGGAAGGCTACACTGCTATGCGGACCAACAAACTTGAGAACGGTGTTGTCACTTTCCGAAACGTCCTGCAATCCCTTCTGGTGAATGTGGTTGGTTCCGAAGCTCAAGTCGACGAAGCAAAGGCATTGATCGCCAAGTCTATGGAATATACTCTCGCCATGAGCATCGAACTGGAGAGGAGACAACTTGCCACCGCTGGTGGTGATTCGGAAGAACAGCTCAAGCGACAATTGGAGTTGTCAGCATACTTCACCGTGCCGAAACTTGACGTGTCGCATCGACAGCTCGCACTTATGGCAGCCATGAAATTGGCTTTCTCCAATAAACAATTCTCAAGTGCTCTCTCCTTCGCTAACCGGGTCCTTGCGAACGGCGGTGCTCCGAAGTTGGTCGAACAGGTTGGTTTTACATTCTTCTCGACGTTCCACATATATATGCTAACAGCTCAAACAGGCAAAGAAAGTCAAACAGCAGGCTGAACGATCCGGTTCTAGCGACAAGATTGACATTGAGTACGACCAGTTCGCTGAGTTCGAAGTTTGTGCGGCTTCATACACACCCATCTACACTGGGTCTCAAAGTGTGTCATGTCCTTTTGACGGCGCAAAATACCAGAGCCAGTACAAAGGACAAGTCTGTAAGATTTGTGAAGTGTGTGAAATTGGCGCCGCTGCTTCTGGACTGAGATTATGGGTGCGAGGATTGTAAACGCGTTTTGGAACCGGAAGAGTAGCATGAATTGATGAAGAAAAGAGCACTTTATTGCTAATAACGCACTTTGGCTGGTCTAAACCCGCTGTGGAAGCAGAGCTGGCGTTGCATGTTGGAAGGTGGTTAGAAAGCGAACTTGAAAATCGGCTGCTTTGTGCTAAATCTGAGGCAAACATGAAGTTTGGTCCTCGGCGAATAAATAACTTATGCACATGTCCTTTGGTGGGTTTTGTTATAACACCTCGCCTGCTTGCTTAGGGTATTGGAATTCGTCCTTGCTATGCCCGTAATTTCGAGGTGACCATTGGCTTCTAAAAAGATGGAGGTCCTGCAGGATAGTAGGCACTTGAAGTCTGGCTACGTAGGAGAAATCAACTGCGGCTGCGTTGTGTTGAGGCTGGGATTTCCAATTAAGCGGCGATTTGCTTCAGGCGGCCTATTGGGCAGTAATGGTCGCCTTTGATGTTCTCGTCGTCGACAAGCAAATACCATCGAAGCAGAGCGGTGTTTACGGATAAGGTCTCCCTGCTTACCTCATCCACTGTCCGTTCTAACCCCCTGAGCTCGACAAACTGTTTGATGGCGAATGTCCCTTGCTACAGATTTCCTGAAGGGAGCTTACCAAAGCATTCGATAAGTCTCTGCCGTACTCTAGAAGGCCCAGTTCCCTACAGCAGTAATTTCACCAGTAGGGAATCGTAGCTGTTCTCTACTGACAAGACACGGCGTTGCCCTGCGGAAGAAGAAGAAGAAGACGCCTTACGAGAGTAGGAACATCACGAATGCATCAAAGAGTTGCATTGATCTGACAAAGGTTCAGAAAAAGAGACTGATCTACACACAGTGAACAATGTCTATACACGATGTTGTTGCAGGCTGCTGGCGAAGATGATGTGCTTGTCCTTGCCTCCTTGAGCGAGTGCTTGTAACATGCTTCATTTTCTTACTTACAATGAACACGGAGGCCATCTCTCGCTTCCATTTTCTGTCTACGCACCACGACTTCACTCAACCTGTGAATTTCTCACTTGCGTCCTGACCTTTTCTTTTAATTGCCTCACCTTCTGCTTACGCGCCCACCCACTCGACAGGTTCCCTCTCGAGAGTCTCTTCCATTCTTTTCGATTCATCTCTGCTTTCTATCCTCATCCTTTGCACCCATCTCCATTGGCAGTCAATCACCAATTCTAAGAGCCTTTACTGCTATCCATCGCTTCTGTAAGTCGGCTCATCGAACAGAAACAATCCAAGACACAGCTGACATTTAATTAGCACAATCAGGGACAATGAGTTGGGATATTCCACCTCAACCCGCAGGTGTGTTATATTTTCACTTCCTCACACAAACCCTCCTCCCTTACTTTTGGAATGGCTCACCATGGATTGGATCACAAGATATCAAAGGAGAACAAGACGTGCTACAACTCCTTGTTGGAAATGTTCTGAGCTTTGGCGCATTGAAGAAATTCCAGACCCATGTTGTACCCTAGTTCATTCTTCTGACTGAAGCGATGCAATGAAATGAAGTTGAAGCTGACTGACATCCACTAGGTGCCTCCTCGTGGGATAGTGGTGCTGCTGCTGGCAATGGTGCTGGCTGGAAAGACACCACTGCCGCCAAAGGCGCTGCTGACTTCACCGACTCCTTCGGCGGCCAAGCCACTGATGGTACCGGCTTTGCTGCTGAAGGCTACGAGAACGGCGCCCAAGATGCTTCTGGAGGTGCATGCCGCAACTGTGGTCAAGGTGAGCTCTAGAATCAACATTTCTGGTCCGATAATTAAGACAGCAGACGGCCATTTCGCGCGTGACTGCCCCGAGCCAAAGAAGATGATGGGTGCTTGTTTCAACTGTGTATGAGCCTGCTATTTCCCTTGACTACGTTGACCAGTATTGACTTTTTTCTAGGGTGAAGATGGACATGTATGCAAATACTTCCGCAGCCGTTTCAATAATACTGATCGATCTCTCAGTCCAAGGCAGATTGCCCAAATCCGCGCAAGTTCAAGGGTGAATGTCGCAACTGCGGTCAAGAAGGTTGCTATGACCAGAATCTAGACACAAGATTGCAACAACTGACCAGATAAAAGGCCATCGTATCGACGACTGTCCTACCTATGTTGCGAAATGCAAGAATTGCGAACAGGAGGGTATGTAGAAAAGATCGTCCAGTCACAACGAACCCCTGTTTACAAGACACAGGCCACACTGCGATCGAATGCAAGAACCCCAAGGTCATCAACAATGCCCATGTTGCTGAGATGTCCGAGGACGAAGCTTGGGAGTTGCTCAAGAGAGCCAGCGACGAACGTGACATTGGTGACTTCAAGGAGGCCGTTCAGGTCTTGTCCAAGGTCGCGCCTGACTACACCTATCCTCGTCTTGAGAAGCAGTTCCGCAAGCGTGGCTTCAACATCTACTTGATCGCAATGGTGAGGACGTCTGCATGTGTGCTGTTTTCTACTCAAACTGATATTGGGGATAGGAAAAGGATCATGGTGATACTTGGACCAACGTCAACCTCCAAGGAGAAATCGGCAAGAAGTATGCTGTCAGCTACTTCAAGTCTGACAAAGCTCAACGTCCTGCCCTCGTCGCCAAGTGGCCTGCAACTCCCGAGGAAAACCTTGCCCGTCTTTCCGATGCCGGTACTCCCCTCGACCGCGGTGTCGACAAGTGCAAAAACTGCGATGAAGTCGGCCACAAGACCAAGGCTTGCCCACAGGACAAGATTGAGAAAGAGCAGCCCAAGGTTCTGTGCCATTTGTGTGGCGAGGAAGGTCATCGTGTCCGAGACTGTACTCAGGAACGCAAGAAGCCAGGTCGTACTTGCAAGATCTGTGAGGCGGAAGATCACATGGCCAAGGATTGCCCGAACCGCGAGAAGCGTACTTGTCGCAACTGTGGTGAGGAAGATCACATCTCCAAGGACTGTCCCAATCCACGCAAGCAAACCTGCCACAACTGCGGTGAGGAAGGCCACGTCTCTAGAGAGTGTGAGCAACCACGCAAGAAGATCAACTGGGCCGAAGTCACTTGCAGTGTCTGGTAAGCCGATGAATTTTGGAGCCGCCATATTTTGTCAGTTGCTAACTTTCATCGCAGTCACGAAAAGGGTCATGGTCGCGGTAGATGCCCCCAGGCTCAGGACGACAACGGCGGCGGTAAGGAGAACCATGCTCCAAATGGCGACGCGGACAATGGTGGTGGTTGGGAGACCAACGATACCGGCGGTTCTGCACAGGCTGATTGGGAGCAAGGCGGTGGCGGCGGTGGTGGCTTTGATGACGGCCCTGCTACGTTCTCAACTGGCGCTTGGTGAGGCCAAAAGGGTTGAGAAGATTGTACAGTCTCTCGACCTCTGTGACAACATCTGGACTCCTACCAATGGTCGTTGAATCCGCCTTTCTACTGGTCTTCAACAATCTGCATGTCGTTTAGGCTTTTGCCCGACTAGCATGGACATTTGAAGCATATGCGTGCCGGGCACAGAAAAGAAGAAAAAAGAGCTCACTGGGGTGTATTCGGAATGATCTTATCAAAGAAATGCCCGAAGTGTCATTAACTACCTGATACTTGATAGGCAGAATGATCAAGGTTTCTATCAGAAGAAATGGCACACAATCAAAAATCGTCATGTGCCACCTTTCCTTTCTTTGTTTGTTTTTTCTTTTTTTGCGGTATCATGTGTTCATCGTCGTTTTGCCTGTAGTCGGTACAGATCTAGCTGGCAACTACCTAGGTAGGTACCTTACTGTTGAGGCTTCCAAGGCTTGTCACCAAAATCCTTGTACCCTTTCCCTTTGATGTAAGTGTGCAACCAAGGACCTTGATCCTTTCGCTCAATCAGACCCAAATACTCGACTGCCGCGGCAGGTCCATCGATGTCCAAGAACACCGGACCACCATTCTCGGCACGTTCATCTGCGTAGTAAAATCTAGAAACAAAAGTAAAGTAAATAGAGATGGTCAGTGTTTTGCGATGTGAATCTGCCCGAGGTATATATACTCTGTAAAGGGGGGGAAGGGAAAGGTTTCGGTTCGACGTCGGTAAAGGTGACAGGGGAGTCTACTAGTAAGTAATACACACCTTATACCGTCCTTTTGGTAAACCTTTGTATCCACCAAACTTCGAATTGCATAAGCGGTGGCCGACTTTGTGATGCCAAAAGTAAGTACCCCAGGGACGGTGACCAAGTTGAGGACGTTGCCGGTGAAGATGAAGGTTTTGATCGTCGCGGAAGCAGGAAGGGTGCGAAATCCAGCCACCGCATGTTGCAAAGCCAAGAGGACCGAAGTGGTGTTGACCGACATACTGGAGTTGTAATCTTGAATCTTGAATGAAGACAAACTCAACGGGTCCTCCGGGTCGTTTGGGATACGTAGGGCTCCTGAAAAAAAACGACGGAAAATGTCGTAAATTGTAAACAACAAACCAAAAAAATGATGCTGCAAGGTACGTAGCAGGTGGACAAGGTAATGGATTGACAGGTTTTGTCGTTGGGAAAGAAACAAAAAGAGGGGGGGGTGTCGAACTTACCATTGTAAACCACCACGGAAGGAAATGTACCAAATTCATTCTTGACCTGATCAAACACACCAGGAACATTTTCGGGTCTCGTCAAGTCGATGGGAATGTGAATTTGATTTCTTTTGTACTGGTCCGTTCCATGATTCGTTCGTGATGCCAATGCAACTTTGTAACCCTTTTCGCTTAGAGCGTCGGCGACATGTCGACCTATGTTTGGACCTGCACCAAAGATGAGTGCAACTTTTGTTGTTTCCATTTTTTTTATTTTTTTTTTTGAGAGAGGCTGTGGTATGATATGATGTGTTGCGTTGTGATCCCCCTTTTGTTTCACGCTCAAAGCTGTAAGTAAGGTTGAGTATAGGGAAAAGGGTTTATGATGGAGTGGAAAAACACAACTTGTTCATCAACGTAGGTGGTAAAACACTTTCCTACTCACTTCATATAGAAAGACAAGGATCACCTACTTTATAGGTGTGGTCTTTACCTCGAATCGTCACATGTCTTCCTTTCCACTCGGACGAGAAAGAAAGAATACGCTCGATCAAAAGAGCTGACAAATCTTCATGTACGTATTTGATGTCTTTGAATGTTTGAAACGAGCAAAACAACGAGAGACGGAAGAATGTTGGACCAGAACCTCAAAAAGTCTCCGGTTCTTCATTCTATACTTTGTCCTTTTTTGTTGCCGAAGCGGGAAATGCGGCATGTTGATCAGACAACCAAAAAACCAATCGGAAGAAAAGTGCCGGAGATCGAAAGGTGACAACAACGGAACTTGACCATTTGGTACTGTCTACCTAGGAAATAAAGATACAAAATGTGTCAGTAAACAAAGGACAAACTCCTCCTTGATAGAAGGTGTTGTTCTTTTTTTTCGGTGTCATGTTGTCCTTGCTCTTTCTTTTTTGTTGCCTAGTGGTTTTTGGCCGTCCACCGACATTGCCATGTTTGTGTTTGGGTTTGACCTGAGCCATCACCGAGGCGGTCTTGGTGATTTGTGAGTATCCGTACCGAGTGGCGAGTAAAGGTACGTACCAGGTACTGACTTACAGTACACCAATCTTCCGGCCGGCTGGACGGTGCGATGATTTTCACTGTGCCCTCGGTGGCGATGAATGTAAGGGGGAACTGGTACTATACTACTAGCCTCTGTGTAGGATACAAACCATCCTTTTCTCGGGGTCAAACATACAGGGTATCCGGGTTCTACCCTTCTTGGTGATAGTAATTCAAGGTAAGGTTATATACCTCTGTTGATGTTAAAAAATTATCGAAAGCCATTGATACAACCAAAAAGATCGTGAGAATCCCAACACCGCCCTTCGTTAAAGGTTTTGTAGGTCATCATAATCATATCTGGAATCGTCTTTGCAAAAACACACATACAGACTCAAGGCAGCAAGCAAATCGTAGAACGATAATCCTCTCTGTAGAGACAGAAAAACAATGTAAATCCAATTCCTTCCTTGCAATAACGCTGAAAATCAAAACCTCGTAGTCGCATAGCAATCGTCAAGTCGTAATGCTAGAACAGAACCAAACAAAAACAAAAAGCAGACTGGGCAATAATACATGCTTGTATCTTTGGCAACCTCTTGCGTTTGACAAAAGCAACTCGGAAAGGAAACAAAATCCTGTCAAGGTCGACAAGCTTATCAACTCGAGAAAAGAATGGCCGTAAAATACGAAATGAACCCCGGGGTAAAATGCAAGCAAGCTGATCCAGCAGGAGAAAGAATGATCGTAACAGCAAACAGGAAACAGAAAGATCATAACGACGGTCCAAAGCTGCCGTCCTGCAGTGGATTGCGTGTGCTAACGGCCCTCCAACTTATCCAAACTGATTCCGTATTGATCGATGTTGATCCTGAAAATACTGTGGCGGCATTCGTGGTGTCTGAGAATAGCGCTCGATCTCGTGGCTCTGTAAATAAAATGATGACAATGAAGTCGACATGTCGGATCCACTACGGTGTTGAGTCTGGGACTGGGTCTGGGACTGGGTCTGGGGCTGAGGCCCGTACATCATCGACTCATTTTGACCATGACTGTGACCATGACCATGAGATGGCGGTCGTGGTTGTGTTTGCTGTTGCGGTTGCTGTGAAGTTTGATAGTACGACCCTCGATCTGTACTTGACAGCTCCGACTCCCATCGGGTCATGTCTTTGTTCGTGTGTGCAGTGACCGAAAGTCGTGACACCCTTCGACGCTTTGGTGCATCACCAATCCTTGTAGGTTCAGCATTCGACTCTTGATCTGCATCGAAGCTTTCGTCACTAGCCTCCCGCTTTCGTGCCGCAGTACTCGTACAGCCAGCGATATCTCTGTCTTGATAATAGGTCTGAAGTTGACCGGAATTGCCATCACTCATCTCCGCAACACTCGTGGTCGGAGTGCTCTCGAATGAAGGCGACAGGGAAGCGGAAGCAGAAGCACTGACGACGCCAGTACTCATCGGCTGCACCACGATATTCAACCCAGCATTGCTCGTGGGAGTCGTTTCATCTTGTCTCTCGGAACTGTTTCCAACAATTCTCTTCGGGATACGCTCTTGGTGATAACCTCTTCGATGTTCAGTGAGATGGTCCGATCTCGCGAACCCTTGTACGCCTTTTCTCGTGCACTTGGGCCAGGGACAGTCTAGACGACTGACCTCGTGCCGGGACTTGTAATGTCTAGTGACGTCGGCTTTGCGACTGAAAAACCTTTTTGGCTCTCCATTGTCTCCTAGGCATTCTGCATGGGTACAGGGGAGTCTCTCTTTAGAGCCGGATCTGCCAAAGGCTGGTCAGTATGGAATGTTGTCGATTTGCAAGTACTCGAAAAGAACCCTAAGAACATGAGGCAAAAATTATAAAAGAGATGCACAGACACGATAGAAAGAAGGAAAATGCGGTCTTACGTTTTACTCACGCTTCCACCTTCTTCAGCGTCTGGATCATGACCTGCATCTTCGTGTGTTTCTTCCTCGGTATATTCAAAGGTCGAGAAGTCAGAATCGTTATGCGCGACGGAGGTCTCGCCAAAGGATTCGCCTTGACTGAGGAAAGTGCCGACATGGTGAGTGTCGGCTGCGATCTGATAGTGAGCCAATCCAGGAGAGCTGGTTGCGCTTTTGATACGGGCGTAACTGTGAGTAGTCCCACTTCCACTCCTCTCTCTATAACCGTGGTTCGCCCCGGCCGTAGTATACTGCAACTCATGCTCATACTCTTGCATATGAAGTCGTTGTATAAGTGTATTATCAGAGACGTAGCGAGGGGTGTTACTGAGAGACTGAGTTGACGCAAAGCCACCTGCAACACAAAACTGATAAGGCTGAGCTGCGGCCAAAGAGGTCCGGACACCCTGGGCTGAATACGAGTAGATCGGCGACTGCTCGTGTTGGTAGGCGCCGTCTTGCCAGAAGATTTCATTCGTCCACGCATTGTTCTCAACATCGGCCATGCTTAACGATCAAAAAGCGTGTCTGTATCTGTTGTTATCGTGCTGTAGGGAGCAAAGCCTCATGTACTCAGCGCAGAAAGCATCGTCGGTAAAAGTAGAACGCAACGACTCAAAGCGAGATAGATGGGAAGCTCCTTTCAGCCTGATCGCACCTTCCCTCAGGGTACGGCTGGAACGGTTTGTGAGTTGGCGAGCGAAACAATGTAGGACGTGTCAATCGATCTTAGGTTCTGTGATCGATCAAAGCCCGCTTAGTCGATAAAAGGCAGAAAAATAGGCTGTGTAGGTACTGAAGCGGGCTCCAGAAACGGACGTTTTATAGTCAACGGAGCACCATTCGTAGAAAGTGTGGTGCCGTGGGCATGGAAGGTAGGCTGGGAAAAGGGAAGGAGCCTATCAGTTTCGTCCTAGCAGACAGGATCAAATGCCAACTTTATCGAGTCGAGCCGAAGAAGGTCCTGAGCAAAGCGTACATTCAAGTTGACGAGAAGGTGGCCTTATGCAAATCCGTGGTTAGGGACCTGATGGTTCCACCACGGATGCCAGTAAAGCATCGAACGTTCGACGTGAACTTTGCCAAGTTCTCTGAGGATGCAGTCAACAGCAGCACAGAGTAGCCGCACAGCGATGCCGCCTCAGAAAAGGAAAGGCACCATGAATGAGGGACATGGTCAATGCCCCCCACGTGTTGGTGGTAAGTAGTTCAGCCGCCGGGGGGTACAACGAGCTGTCTAAAGAGCCGGCGTGAGTGGCCCAATAAAATGCCTGGTCAAGAGCAAGGCTATGTTCAAGGCTCAACTTCCGCAGATCAAGGAAACCCGGATGGAACGGTAGACTTCGTGATTCGTCGCCTCCCTCGATTCCAGTGCCCCCCCAACCCACGGAATATGCAGTTTGCCACGGCTGGCCAACAGACGCAAACAAACAAGGAGTAACACTTGTCCAGGACTGATGCCCACTCGGCCACAAATCCGTCACGGAAAGCTGGCCCGGCACACTGATGAAAGCGTGTCGATATGCTGTCCACGGCGTCGGCTCAGAAGGGAATTGCGCACAAGGCGCGTTTAGCGATTTCATTTCTCGACAATGTGCACGAACCCGCCAAATGGCGCCATCTACTTACCGCCATCCTAGGGTGGAATGATTCTGGCATCGAGAGGGCAGTGTCCGTCAATAAGAAAGGTGTGTTGAGGTTTCGAAATGCACGGTTGCCTTTCCACGCTGTCATGCATTCTCCTCTTTGACACTATTGACAAGGAAGACCGAAAGTGACCCGGGACCAGGGTGAGGCTGAGGAGATGCGAACAAGGGAGGGATGTATTTGCAGTCAGGCTCGACACATGTGGTTAGTAACTCGATTAGGACTAGTGGCCGCCTTTTTCGGCCCACAGCCACCTTGCGACAGAATATACGGAGTACGGAGTAGTACCACCCTGGCTGGGTGACACGAAAGAGTGAGGCGGAGTAGTGCCGTTGGCTACTCTACCTTTGACCAGAAGACTAGGTTAGTATGTCATTTGTGCGGCACAAGAGGCATGCAAAGTGATTCACAAGAGGGGGCCAACCACTAATCCCGAAGAAATGGAAAATGTAGCAGATCTGGAAACTTGATGGTGAGGCTGAGAATGAATCTCTGTTGAACTCTCGAGAGTACATACATGACCTTTGCCATCTCTGGAAAAGCCATGTCTGCAAGCAACCGAACAGCTTGCGAGGTTTGTGCTTAGGTAGCTACCCTACAGATCATCTTCGAGAAACTTGTACACGAACTTGAAATCAGCCTTCCGACGGTTCATCCTGCATCATGTTAGCCAAAAAGAACAATGTAATGGAGGAAAGGCCATGATGAACTTACCATGTACTCTCATAGTCAAAGAAACGGTATGTTCCTTGCTCGTACTCTTCCGTGATTTGCTTTGGCTCTTCGTGTCGTTGAAACCACGTCTGGTATTGTTTGTGGAACCGCCAACTTTGCTGTTTTAGCGCTCGTGCCGCCAGCCATTGTTGATACGTATTTTGGCGATAGTAGAAAATGTAGAATAGAGTGTCTGTCTCTAATCTTTGATTGTCGTAGAGAGCCGGGTCGTCGAAGATGGGGAGTACATCCTGAGGATAGTGTGCAGGGGTATTGTACTTGAATGTGGGTCGATAATGTTGCGGCCTATCGCTGTCCGATGGTTCTGGACAGGTTTCCTGTGAAGCCTGCAGCAATCTAGCCAGCTGTGAAGGAGGCTGCGCCGCTCGACTCTTGGTCGTCTCGAAAGAATCCAACAAATCTTGCAGGCCTGGCGGCAGATGGTAGATTGATTCTACTGTGTCTCCATGGCTTTCACCGTTCGTCGTAGGTAACTCGTCTGCAATTACGGGTTCTAGCACAGCCTCAGACTTGTCCATTGCTGGAGTCGGCGGTATACTGTTCGGTACGCTTGCGGCTGGGGCACTGGTGGAACTGAGTGTGGGTGACTTGGAGTGATTGGACTGTTCATGCGAGGTCGAGCCATCCATGCTTGCTGCGACGGGTGCTGGGGATGCCGTCTTTTCTACAGGCTGAGCAGGGACAGATGCTGGAGACGTGGTGGGCGACGTCCTCAGTGGTGCTGGTAGAGGATGGGATGCAGGCGCAGGACTGGTCCCAATCGGAGGAGGAAGTGGTGCAATGCCAACTCCGCTCTTGTCGCTGGCTGCGGCTGCGGCAGCTGCCGAGGCATACTTCAAGGTCTCTCCGGGAGGGCGATTGGGTAGCGGTGCTGGTTTCATAGTATTATCCTTGGGCACTGGAGGCGGAGGTGGCATTGTGTTGAGCGTTGCAAGGGCTGGCAGTGGTGACTTGAGCTGTGTTGACGGGCGCCTGGCAGGTGGGTGATCAGCTTTTGTCTTCTTTGGAGCGACTGGTTCGGGCTCATTGTCCTCTTGTATAGACTGTGTATCTTGAGAAGATATTCGGTCCACCTCGTTCGCCAGGCCAAACTGCGCTTCTTCGCTATCCAGATTGCAGTCGTCGTAGATTCCTTCATAGGCTTCTGCCTCAAAGTCGGGCTCACGGCCTTCCCTCACGACCTCTTCTACGTCAGACTTGATGGCAGCTACCACATCATTCCCGACATTGCCATTCTGAAGCGACCGTAGTAAGAGTTGTATCCTGGACTCATGCCATTTGTATGTCTCGGTCATGGTCTCGATCTCTGCTAACCGGTCGGCTTTCGAATTGTCTTTCTGCTTCTTCTTGAGCGCTGCTTGAAGAGTGCCAGCTTCTGGTTCCAGTTCCTCGGTGAGGATTCTGTTGATCTCCTCGAGTTGGTCCGACAAGAAGTCGCACAGCTCTTCCCGCTCTTTCTCCTTTGGATCTAACTTTGTGTTCTGCGATAGTCCTTCCTTCGAGAAGGCTTTGGTCTTCATCTCTTTTTCGACAGCTTTGAAGATTTCCATACACTGTGTGCCATGTCAGTTATCCTGTCGACTTGACTTGCAGATGGTTCCAATACTTTTTCTATGCGTTTCCGTTGTTCTAACAGAGCGGACTTGTCTTTGATCTCATTGCCGGCTGCCCACGTCTTGATCTGATCGCGCGATCTCTGTAATTTCTTGATCTCTTTCTTCAAGTTGTCTTCCAACTTGTCTTTTTGCGCTGCATTGGTGGAAGAATATATCTTCTCGTAAATGCCTTCGAAAGCCTGAATGCCTTCGTCAACCTTCTTGAAGGTCTTATCGATCTCTTGTTGTGTCTTTCGGGAGGCCATTGTCACAGAGGTGGGGGGATATTGGGAGAAGACGTGCTACGCGAGGGCGAAGTCTGAATGTTTGTGAGATACCATGAGGGAAACGGAGGTGAATGCGATTCAAGCCAGTCGCTGCCAGCCGCGCGATCGACGACTTGAGGCTGCGTTCCAGGTCCGAGTGAACTCACGTGACACACGTGACACATGCCGGTCAAGGAGCTAACTATTCTGGGATTGAGCCATCTTGGCGCCTTTTCAAGATTTCTGGTGCTCACATCGCGTCGACAGCATCCTCACCAACTCCTCACAATGTTCTTTCTTTGTCTTCTTGCATGCTTTTACAGCATAGATTGGCTCATAGGTGCTGAATACTGCAATCGCCAGTACACCTTGTCTCATACATGCACATTGCAATTTGACGATCCCCCCTTTGACATGTGCGGGTATGATTTTCTAGTCATGTCTGACTTCCTCCATTACAGCCCAACAGCCTTCTGAACTTGGCCAAATTTCTCGTCTTCACCGGCTTTGCAGGCGAATGAGGGCTCTGTGAACTCCGCCCTCGGCCCGCTGAAGATGCTTCGAACGTAATTGTGTTTACTCTTTTCTGTTGAAAAAGCCTCATTCGGATTCTTTATCAGCGACATGCTGCTATGAAATGATGCAGATTCGAGTCAGCCTGCAGCTGCGTCAGGATCAAAGCCGATCTTTGGCCAATGGAGGAGCGACGGATAAACGATACCACGGATATCGCTTCCCACAAAAGCGCACGATATCCCAATTCAGGTAAGCTGGATAATATGACATCGTATTAGGGGGATCTGGCCGGGACGGCCATTGATCGGAGAATCATCGGCCAGCCTATCAACATGGCTGGATCGATACCATCTGCCCTCAGACTCAACATGTATTATATAACAGAGCCATTTGCCTCTTCCCTATGGATGGCACTTGGTTCATCTCAACAGTGAACACCATAACCTCGAGTTATACAGCTTTACACCGACTTCACAACTGCGTGCCAAACAACCAGAAATGTCCGAAACAAATCCCCCCGAGCCACAGGATGGACGTGAGTTCGACCTAGCTAGGCATCCTACTGCACCTTTACGCCTGCTGCGGACCGAGACTCATCAAACCCTTCGTGACTTGGGCGTGTCGGAATCTGAACCTCGTCGAGATATCAACTACCCTGAGATAGGTAGTCCTCCAGATCCTATCTTCCCTGAAGAATATACTCTCGAAACAGCCACTGGTCTCGTGCCAGAACGTACCTTGGAAGAACTACGTTCCAGGACCTCGACAATACCATCGAGACGAACGACTCGACGTCGCACTCCTTCTGAGGAAGATCTCGAAAAGAAAGGAACCGAAGAACCTACCGAATTCGTCACTTTCAAGATCGGCGACCCTGGTAATCCTCACAATTGGCCAAAATTGTTTCGATGGTATATAACAATAATGGTGTCCATGCTTGTTGTTTGCATTGCCTTTGGCTCTTCCATTGTGACAGGTGGTTTGGGCTTGATTGAAGACAAATACCATGTCTCGCAAGAAGTTGCTATCTTGACCTGCTCCATCATGGTCTGTGGCTTTGCTGTTGGTCCACTTCTCTGGAGTCCACTGAGCGAGATAATCGGAAGACAACCTGTTTACATCATCTCTCTGGCATTGTATACCATCTTCAACATCCCTTGCGCTTTATCACCAAACATTGGCGGACTCCTTGTCTCGCGGTTTCTTTGCGGTGTATTTTCCAGCTCAGGCTTGTCTCTGGCCGGTGGCACCATCGCCGATATCTGGAATATTGAAGATCGTGGACTGGCAATTGCGTACTTTGCAGCCGCACCGTATTGTGGCCCTGTTCTAGGTGAGTTCTGGCTTTCGCTGAAGATGCCTAATTGCCCTCCATCTTGCATTTTACACCTGGCGACAAACGTACTGACGATTCGCAGGACCTATCGTCACTGGCTGGATCAATGTTGGGTCTCATCGACTCGATCTCTTCTTCTGGGTAAACATGGCTTACTGTGGTGTCATGCTCATTATCGTGGGCCTTATCCCCGAGACGTATGCTCCCGTAATTCTCAAACGACGAGCGAAGAAATTGAGAAAGGAGACGGGGGACCCGAACATCATTACAGAACAGAAGAAAGTCAAACTTACTCTGCGCGACATTGTCCGAACCAGTTTGGTCAGACCTATCACGATGATCCTCACCGAGCCTGTCTTGGATTTGATGTGCATGTATATCGTGCTGATCTATGCCATGCTTTACGCCTTCTTTTTCGCCTATCCGGTCATTTTCGGCGAGCTTTACAATTTCAACGACGGACAAATTGGGTTGATGTTCATTCCAATTCTGATAGGGGCAGCATTCGCCCTCGTTGCCACCCCTCAGATTGAACACCACTTCAAAAGAATATGTGCGCGCCGCGATCCCACGCCAGAGGATCGACTGGTCGGGGCGATGATCGGAGCCAGCTTCATCCCTATATCCCTCTTCATCCTAGGGGCTACCTCTGACAAGGGTGTTATTTGGGTGGGCCCTGCTTCCTCAGGTATTGCGTTTGGATTCGGAATGGTCCTTTGCTATTATTCCGTCAATAACTACATCATCGACTCTTACCAAAAGTATGCCGCTTCTGCATTGGCGGCCAAGGTCTTCCTGAGAAGTGGTGGTGGTGCAGCATTTCCTCTGTTTACGGAGCAAATGTATCACCGACTGCACCTCCACTGGGCTTCCTGGCTTCTCGCTTTCATTGGGATAGGCATGGTTTTGATCCCTTTCAGTTTCTACTTTTTCGGAGCAAAGATTCGAGCCAAGCTCAACAAAGCTTGAGCCAGACGAGGCCACTCTGCATGATTTGTCTGAGTGCAGCGAGTGTATGCACAATCTGCGACTTGGGAACATGGATGGGCGTTTGAGGTGTGGAAATGACAAAGTACGGTTGATATCAAGGATTTTCTCAATCGTTCTATGTCAAATAGGAAGCTTCATAGGGATGGGAAGGTCCTTACTCCACGCTGGAAATTATCATTAATTCTACATTATACTGAACCTCCTACATCATTTCGAAACTGGTATTCAAGCATAATCCAAATATCAACAAGGCTCAAAAGAGCCGAATTTGTACTACCGAAAAGGCATGTTTTATTATACATAGACAAAAAGTTGTTTTTCATGCAGTTCTATGTGCACGGGCTCTACGAAGGCTAGCAGCTAGGAAGCTCAGTGAAGGTGAAGTCGGTGATACCGTATAGTATAGGGAGCGTCGCTTTGGGCTTTACTTGGTTCTTACAGTGGAGGTAGGTCGGCATTCCTGGTTCCTAAAAATAAGACTGCATTCCAGTCTCGCAGAGAGACACAACGTCGACGACTCGGATGAGTCCCGCCTGCTACGAAGGTCCTCGAGATCGTCTTGACATTTCCGAAGCGTCCGGGGAATCACGGATGACCCGCCCAAGGCAGATTTGCGACCTGCGGTGCAGCACGAGGAAATGCCGCTCCACATCTGGTGGATATACCAGCACCTGAGAGCAAAAGAACTTTCTCAGAGCTCGTTGAACCAGACTGGCTGCCAGGAGGGCGTCAGTGCCCTGGCTGCCTAGCGGCCTGAAATGGTCTCTTGCAGAAAGCCCATCCCGAGAAGGTCATCCTGATAGCCTACGGCCCGGACTGCCAGTCCAAGCAGCTGCAAGGATGATCCAAGCTGATCATCTCTGGTTGGTACGAGGTAGAATACTATCGTTTCAGTGTCGCTGAGACGGATGACTTGATTGAACCCTTGTGGTAACGAAGGGGATTAATAGTCCCGACGACTGCCATTGTTATTGGATGAAGCCCAGTGAGCCCTGGTTAGCAGAAAGGACCCTGAGAGAACAGAGTCCCAAGCTAGCAGGGACCTTTTAAGCCACCAAGCTCATGCATCCTGAACAGCAATCTACAGAAGCATCCCATAACACTTGTGACGCATGGGACACACCAAATTCTGACGTTGGATGATTCTAAGTATTCCCAAGGATTTAGGACTGGTAGGTGTTCAGTTTCCCCAGGATAACTGCGACATTTTACTGTCTCACAATCGTCTGTAAGAATACGTGCCTCTACATATGAACGAATTTCTCTGTGAAGAGCAAACACCTGGACAATCTCACGGGATCATCAGCCCCTGTGGCAAGCAGCCTCTACCATGACCAGGATTTCAGCCTGCAAAGCGAGAAAGGAGCGTCGGCAGTAGGGATCTTACCTACACATTGAGGCTTTGTGTGACCCTCGTTTGATCAATTTGTGGAAACGAGATCTTGCAAAGGCTCTACAACGCTTGTACGAGTACAGAGGACTAGTACTCTGTACCTATCCTGTCCCCGTCGTATTGTGGAAATATTCTCCGGACGCCGTGGTTGCGACCGACGTGCGAGCTGAATACGAATATTCAACACTCTTATTTCAGCTTTGGCGACTATAAAACATCTCAAACATGTGACACATGTACATTATTGAGCCCAATAAATGACATTTCGCAGCAGAATGTGGCTCATGTGGCTTTTAATTGACAGCTAAGATAGATTAGAAGGACGCTCTCCAGGGCTGGCTCATCAGGCTTCCCTCCCACTTGGCACAAATGCCCCCAGTGCAACAGTGGCGGCCACTATTGTTCCAAGCGACAGAATCCCTGCGAGGCACGTACAAGCCATTGGATGACGCCTGCATCGCGCCTGGAAAGTTGAGTCAAATCTGTACCAGGTTTATTCTTCTTGACACCGCGTCCACTCTAACGTGGCAGCTACTTGAATCATCCACATGCATCTACTCATGAAGGGATCCTCTTGATGCACAGTCGAGTAGTGTTGCGTCCTCTGCCGACCATGCAGCCTTCAGGAGACGAGTCACGCCGCCCAACCTTGCAAGCGAAGCAGGGGTTGGGAATATCAAGCCGAAGCCTGCACCAGTAGCATTTTCATGTCCCCGACAGCTTTGACAGCTTGATGATATCGCTTCGGCTTCTACGCAATAAGAGTGCTCCAAGCTGTGATAGCATGTCTGCAAGCGTCCAGACGCCCAAAGATGTTAGCTACTAGTCCTATCGCAACCATTTTGGACCACCCTTGGGAAGCTCACCGCATGGTTTGACGGAAGCGGAATGGCCCTACCGTCCCGTCACGCCACGATGCATTGTACATACAGTAGGGGTGCATTCAGCAAGCAGATCCCAACAGCATCCACCTTGCTAGGTGCAATTCTCGACCCGTCCATTACCCCGGAATGGCGCAGAATCACAGATGAGAGACGCACCATGTACGGAACTATCCCAGATGGGCATGCACCGGAGCAAGGCCTACATAGACGCGCTTACAGGATATAAGACGCCTTTCCATTCCCGATCCAACAATCCAGGTGAAGGGTATTTGGTACCTGATGGACTTGGAGAATGCCAACCCCGTCTATCTTGACATTCATCCGTTCCATGATAGATCATTCGACTCTTGAAATTAGGCCTGGTATGTCGAAGATATAGCAGATGAATGGCTGTTATAAGTACATCAAACGTGCCACGGAAGATCTTGGCCTAGAAGACCTGGAATACTCTTCAACGACGCAATATCGCTCAACCCGCCCCATTTGGGTTCCAATTCAGTCACTGCGGTACCAAATCCTGCTGGCGCTACGCCGTCGGTCAGGACGAGAAAGCGCTGGCGAACCACGAATGCTACAAGGACAGGATGAGGATACCGAGCATCGTCTCACCGACGTCGTTAGAGGAACGATCCCATCTACACAATCCCATCCGTGCTCCTCGAGAGCCTCAATGTGGAATCTATCACAAAGATCCTGCAATGTCACAGCTCTCGTTACAGACCGACCCATACCAGACTTGCCCAGAAACGACCATGTCATATGCCGAGAAGTATTTCGCCCATGTTGATACCCCTGCATTATCGGTGTTGCCGAAAGAGACTTTCCTCGAATGGATGACACTAGACCAGCTCAAGAGACCTCGAGATAACATGGTGCTGTATGCAATTCTCGCTGTGGGATCAGTCTTCGCCACCGGTTCTGCGGCAGCTGCGGATCGGTCCGACTTCTCTAATGTCATTTCATCTGATACAGAAGCCCTCGACGGCTCTACGTTGCACTTTATGCTGGTCAAACTGATTCTCGCCAGCCTTCAACATCTGCAAGGGGATTACGACGAAGCATCCGAACTATACATTTCCGTATACAAGATCGGTCAAAAGGAATTTTTGGGGGGATCCTCTGACCAATACCATGCCACACCTCCGTCAGCATTTGGACTCGACCGAGGGAGAATGATAGAGTGTGCAAAGCGGGCTACATGGCTCGCGGACATCATGTCATGCCTGAGCTCGTGTCGATCCCCATACGTCCAGAAGAGGTCAATGTGGGAATTCCAATACGCCCACCACTGGAACGTGCCTGTGACGTTGGACAGCAACACGATGTCGTGGCCGGATCTCAGTCGCATCGCCACGGCATTGAGAGAAGTAGCTGCCATGGCGGGCACTCCACTGGCCCTCAGACAACACCGCACCCAAGTCGACTTCGACGCCACCAAGGCCCGCCTCGATGCCTGTAGAGCCATCTTTCGAGGCGAGCGTGGAGACCAAGCCGCCGGATACGAAATGCTCGCAGTCCAACAACTTGACATCCTGTACTTCTTTGCCATGGTTCTACTTTACCGACGAGCCTATCCTCCGGGGTCTGAGCCCGAAGCCCTGGCCCACTACGCCGGCCAAACATTCGTGTACGCTTGCAAGATACTCGACGTCGCCCAGCAATTGAGCAACTCCCAAAATGAAAACGCCCCGGAATTCACCATGCTGAGTCCGTTCATAGGTCTCGCAATCTTCGAGGCCATCGACGTCGTCACCGCCAGGGGAACAATGTACGATTTGCAGAGGGAGGCGAGCCGCGTCATGTCCATCATGTCGACGGGCTTCGAAACCTTGGAGAAACTGTCCAGGTTTTCGCGCAGTGCCTGCGAGCAGCGTGACCTGGCTAAGCAGAGGATGGTGGCTCTCCTGCGCGTGACCATGATCAAGCAGGATGGGAACAATGGCGGCTTCTACTTTTCAAAGTCCATGCAGGTGTCCAGTAGCGAATGGGAGCAGGATGTCATGTACTGTTGTCCCCTGATGGAGTACTTCGAGGAGATGAACTGGAGTTCTCTGATCCAATTGGACGGCGACTTTTTCTGTCTCGACGCAGATGAGCATGATGATCAGATGATGAATGTGTCGCCTGGTTGGAGAATGTGAAAAATGGTTCTGGAGAAAGAAGACATCAGGTATAATGAAAACGAGGCGTTGTCGTAGGCACTAAAAAGAATGGAGCGAAATGTCTGGCTTTTGGTTCAGGATTAATCACATATTGCACATCGAAAGTTTTGATAGTTGGTTCTTTTATAAATAACTACACTTGGTTCTCTGAAGCCAGCTTTTCTTCTCTCTACAATCGATCGTGATCGCAAGGGACATTTTCGGTCCCATGGAGGAGGCCTACTCTGTTGAGTCCCGGTATAGTCTTCTGTCATCTGAGCAGGACAGCCGTTGAACTCAGTCTGTCCCATGACTTGCAAGCAGGAGATTGTCCGGCTTGACAGATACTCCCTCAACGTACCCACGCTGCAATGCTGTGCAATGGAGAAGTCCGTGCTTGAATACATCTCCTGGAAGACACATGGACCGTCGGTCAGGAGCATGTACACTGTGCGATCATGGTTTGGCTTTTTCACTTTCCCAAGGTGTGAAGCTCCGAATCCAAGGAGAAGCCACAAGACCCAACATTCGTGCCGTTCAGACGCGGCAGGAGAGACAAGGCAGAGACCGATTCTCCATGGAGCTTCGGCTGATGAGGAGGGATGCCGGTCAAGATATAGGTAAGTAGGCAGGAGTGGCACGGCTCAATTGCGAGACGCGCCTTACTGTCGCCTTGCCCCGATGTTTTTCTTTCCCAGGAAGAAAGGTTGTTCAGCTTCTCGTTCACTTTTTATTCCTCTCTGCCGCCTCGTGGAGTTTTAGTCTTTGCACCAACCTCTCCCTCATAAAGTCGGACAGACCCAATATGCCGTCGTTGGTCACGACGCGGTACGTCCCGCTGGCCTCGTACCTGCCGTGGCCGTCGACGAATTCGCCGTTCCCGTCGACCTCGATACTGCCGAAGATGTCCTCGGGGTCCGGGATGCGGCCGAAATCGGGCACGCGTCGTTGGTCGTAGACGTGCACCCAACCGCCTCGACCGGCGCCGCCGTAGCCGCCTTGGTCGCTTGCGCCGAACGAGCCCGTCTGTTGCCTGCGCGAGGCCTGGAGGAAACTGGCACCGGACGACGAGATCATGACGGCGGCTTGGGATTGTACAAAGGGGTCTGCGTGCGCGTATTCGGCCATGACAGCTTGGAGGATGGGGAGGAATTTCGGGTTTTCTGTAAAGGACGCCGGAGTCGGTGGGAGTTTTGTTGTCGACCCGATGGCCAGAGACGGCGTGGGAGGTTCTGTCGGTAGGAAGGAAAGGATGTGAGAGGAAGATGGGTTCTGGGGGTCTTTGAATGCATACTGTTACCAAATCGTTAAGGTTGGAATCAGGCGCGATAGTATTTACTGTATTGTACACTTACAATGTGACGATTGTTGGTCAGGGTAGAAGAAGCCCGCAGCTGAAGAACTGGACGTGCTGCTGTGGCATGTCGCAGCAGTGTTCTGATTGATTGTCCTGAATTCATGGCTGGTGGATGGTGTTTGGGAATGCACTATTTACATTGTGCAAAGGGGTCGTGTACTTCAACTGTTCACCTTTTTTACAACAAGCTCCGGTCCATGACGTCTTTTGTTGACCTTCTACAGGAGAAAACAACTCTACAGAGTATTTGCACAAGGCTGAGTCCGGCAAGGCTGTCGGTTTCTCGCTTGACTTGCCTTTCTACCATGCGGCTCTATTTCAAAGACCCCAAAGACGAAACAACAACATACCGTTGGCTAGTGGAACTTGTCGCGAGACAGACTGGTGATGATGGGCAGCATGAAGTGGTAGATCACTACTAGTCGTGACTGCACGGTGAAGCTTTCTCAGCATTGGCAGAACAAATCTTGGTGCGGGCTGTCGCGAGCCTACTCGAGAGAAATATGTGAACAAAACGCGCGAAGTTGGTAATTGAGAAGAGTGCCGACATGGCTACGCCAACAAGAACACAAGCAGTCTCGACTCCCAAGTCACATCTTACCCCGAACAAAGTAAACGCCTCTCCGCGACCCGGTACGTCGGGAAATAATGCGAGTCGAAATTTGGCCTACAAATCCCCGGCTGTCAAAACGCCAGCTTCACTACAAGGCCACGGTCATCACCTCAGTGTGTCCTCCCAGCCATCCTCCACTCCTCTAGGCCCCAACACGATCCACGACGATCTGCTCGCAATGAATTCACCTGCTGCGGCTCTCATCGCTTCCATGGGCTCAACGGGAATGACGCCACTGGCGAACGGCGCAGATGGCTTGGGCATAACCAGCAACGGGCAAGGGGCCACACCAAGAGCGACCGCGGTTTCTGCCAATCCTGAAATGGAGCGCCTGCAGAGAATACAAATGGTGGCGAGTACGCTGAAAAGCCGAGTGGCAGGGCGCGGTTTGACACGAGAAGGAGTTGAGAGGATAGCACAAGTACATGGATTTTCCACATTGTTGGACGAAGGGAACCTCTCGATCGCTGGTAAGGCCACGGTCGATCTTGAGGTAGTTTTCGATACAGTCGATCGAGACCTGATTCGAGAGGTCAACCTCAAACTCATCAAGAATGACGCGCCCGAGGCCCAATTTCAAGAGCAAGGCACGCAAGTTCTAAAGGACAACCTCCAGCCATTTACCATTGTCGATGGGATTGCCCAATGGACAGATCTACGCGACTACGAATCCAATCTGGACTACCTTCGCCAGCTGGATTGCATTCAAGGTGGCATTGACGCCGTCGACAGTCTCTATGATGCCTTCCAGAAGATTTGGAATGCTGAAAAGGATAGACTGAAACCCGTCAAAGTACGACAACGTCTCAGGCGCAGTGCCCTGGGCCGACCATACATGGACCGGACACCAAGATTGGGTCTGGCCATTGATTATTGGAACCGCAGACCGGACTCACAACCGGCTTCGGAAGACGACAACGACGACCCTCTTCCCGATGATAGTATATACTCAGCGAACATATCATGTGAGCAAGGCAAGCCTTATACGCTGCCACTGGACAACTGGGTATCCGAATCCGTTCTCACTCAAGCACCACAAAGCGAGAATCAACCGGAAGAGGAGGTGAAAGTGGAGCCAGACTGGCAGGCCTCTGCCGATGAAGCCGATTATCTGAACTTGGTCGAAAAAGCAGACGCTGTGGACCCGACTGGAGACCAAAAGACAGATGCTCCACCGAACATACTGACAATGCACTTCATATCCAACTTGGTGCCAGAGGTATACCTACCCCTGAACGTGGCGGAAAGTATTGTGGAGCTCGGTATGTTTGAAATGAACCCGGAAATGACGGTGACGTACCAGAAGGCCCTGCAGGACCACTTCAACACCACCAAAGCACGTGGTAGTCAAAGTACATCCGAGGAAAGATGGCCCAGATGTCTGCCAATCACGTCCGGGGATGGACCCTCAAGGTATCGCCACCACTCATACGCGCTGCATTCAGTTCAGCCCGGAGCTGTACTCTGGTGCTATCCGGTTACCCGTCTGAAGTTCATTCATCCTAGACAACTGGCAGGAGCCATACCAATCCTGCGTCAATATGCTTTGGTCTGGAGTCTTTTACGAAGTCTCGTGGAATATGGAGACGCCGAAACGAACACAGAGTCCACGGCTGCCGCCGATTATCCCACTCAGAAGAAGGGGATCGCGGCCAGACCCTCTCGAACTTCGAGAAGAAGTAATGCCAGAGCCGCCAAAAGCAGGCTTGATGACTTATTGGGAGCTGGTAGTCCATTAAAAGGACAAGACGACGTGATCCCTGTCGATGTCAGCCTTGATACCGTGTCAGACAGTCCCAAAGCCAAACTGGATATCTACGTCCCGCTACTTGGATCCCTCGCCGGCAAAAGACAGAGTCCTTTCATATTCATCTCTTTACATGTGTGTCCCAATGGGACAATTGAGGTCAAGGACTTGAACGGTTTGGAAGGTGGGGGGGACGTTGATGACTTGAAGTTTCGTAATATGGTTTCCCGTATCATTACAATGACAGAGGATATCGGCTTGTTAGTCGAGTGGCTTCTAATGAAGGCTCGAAGATCAGGATGACGGTTGGAAGTAGCAATAGAAGCAAAGAGGAAAGCTTCTCTGTGTATTGGTACTACGATGAAGACTCCTTTCTAAACACTGTCTGTGAGACGTTGGTATTCGTCTAAGGGAGTGCCTCATCATCAACTAAATCGATGTGATGATTCGGACAAAAGGATGCCATCACCCTTTGATAAAAAGAGGTTTCTCATACTGAGCTACTATTATTTCAAAGATACCTAACTAAGGTACACTTCACATTACGGCCATAAGCCTTTTTGCCCAGTACTTTGATTCTTTCTCGTGCTGCATTCTGCATTCGATTGCGAGCTTTGAGACCGTGGCGGGATTGGTTGACATGGAAGTCGGTCTATGAGGATGCCCACCGAATATGGTGTTGCTGTTCACGGTCTTCCCGAAGACAGTCCCATCGCCCAAAAATTGGTCGAAGCTGGGGGTTGAAAGGACGATAAGTGCTTTTCTTGATCGAGGCGAAGATCTTTACTTCTACGCGTAGCCATGATTCCATCCACGTCGACGACGAACCTTTGAGTTGGGCTTCCATTTGACAAATTCACTCACATGGTACCCCCGTACTCCACAATCCAATATTGTAGATGTATCCGAGATGATAATATTACTGATAACATTACCTAGGTAACCACCTCTATTGTTGACCTGTTCTCGCAAAAGAGAAAGGAAGTTTCGGGTGCAGTTTGTCCTCTACGATTGTCCTTCAAGATAGAATCTGTATGCCTCCTTTGTACCGCTCGAGGCTCTCAGGGTATCATCGTCAAATGTTGAATACAGCCACACAGTGACACTTGGTCGGATTGATAGGAGCAGCGTTGTTTGCCGACCCTGTTCGAATGTCATGAGATAGGAGAGGTGGGATATACCCTGAAAAGTCGCCCATAGTATTTGTATCTATGTAGTGTGGCTAGAAGTGTTCTCCCACGATGGGGGGCGGAGCGTAAAATGCCATTCTGGCCAGCGTGCGTCTTGACATCCGGCCCTGCCCTCAACGTGAAGGATAAATCTTGAGTATCTCCTCCATACATTCCACAAACCCTCCAAAGGCAGGAAATAAGGTCGTGATCACAGCTGGCTATGATTAACCTTGTTGCCATTCCAAAGAAACATTGCTCGTTGAGAATCATTCCGACATACTTACTCCTCTCGGTTGGCAAAGCAGCAATGACATGAAACAGTTGGACCGAGAAACCCATGGCACGGCGTATTGTCCGATTTCATTTCCTCTGGTACTAGGTATCATCTCGAGACTTTGAAAAAGCAAGCTTTTTGCAATCTTCGTTAGTATTGTAGGAGAAGACGACGATTCTTCTGAGACAAAGGCGATCTCCAAATCGCTCTCTTTTTTCTTGATCGATCGTGTTCTCGATTGCATAACAGTGGAGCGTGATGCATCGGCGTTGATTCTTTCTTGTCTAATACTCTGATCAACCAAAAGTATCACCTCGATTTCTTTGCTTTGCCATATGCAATTAACGCACCCCAAAATGATGGTTACGAAGAGTCCCAAACGATTCGACATCATACAGCCTCTCTTTGGCCTCATCAACAGACCTACAGAGAGAGAATATACCCCTTCCCGATCTGCATTTCGAGCAAATTACAACGGTTGGTTACGCAGAAGACAACAGGAAAATACTCACGAGTTGGATTGTCATCACACTTCAACAGCACAAGACTGCTTCGTCTTTTCGAAGCTCGAGCTTCCACAATTGGTCGGGTTCCGAAAGTTCACGAAATTTAACAACCACGCACTGCCTTCTCATACTCTGCTCGTCCATCATCCTTGCGCTATCCGAGGTAGCGTGTTGGCTGGGCATTCCCTCGTAACCGTTAGGAGCCGCCTGCACAGACGACAAGGCCAAGAGACTTACTTTGAGTAAAAGACAGGGCCCGGATGACATTGATGCGTGGTCACCCTCTCTAGGCATGGTTACGACACTTTCCAAATGCAACATGATAGTGCGCAAATCCTGGTACGCGAGATAAGAGCATTCTGAACCTTAGAGCATTAACCGACTCGGGTTGTCTCGGCTGTTTCACCTCCGGAATCTCGAATCCGCCCCCACTGTGATTGGAGCGGTGCGAAGAGTATTGAAGTTGACTAAATATAATTGAAAAAGGGACTGGCCACTATATATACGTAAAAGTACGTATGCTGTTGTAGCAGTCGGAAACATGAGTATACTGTACCTCCCCCTTTATGCTAGAATCACATCTCTTCCATTCCACGAAATCTCACGCCGCTGGGCCAGCTCACTTTACTAACCAGACCAAGTTACTGACCCAAAGGGACCTTTATGAATAAATTGAGAACCTCTCTCTTCAACCCACCGCTAAGTCGCCGAGAAGGAGCGTTAAGAACCAAAGCGCTAAATGGCGTTAGGCTCATCATCGGGAAGCTATTGGTGAATAAAGAGTTAAAGAACTACCACAAATTTGACCGGCGAGTCCATACCACTCAAAATGAGGCCGATGGTCAAGGAGCTCGGTGGTTCCTGAACATGACCACCTGGCCCGAACTCTACTGCTCACTGTCTATCTCAAAGTCTAGAAGGGCTCTTCCTGTTGCTCCAAATCCCCAACTTGATAATCAAGCTTTAGTACCCCAAGCAATCTTCTGTTGCAGGTTGAGCGATGAACCGACAGAGGATATGGCTCTGCTGGCCGCGCTTCTGGCAAAACTTCTCAATTTGGAACTGGACCCCACTTAAAGCAGATCCACTGCGCCTTGACTTTTAATACTTGTGGTACGGAGTATCTACTGCGAATTCAGACCACGACCACAGAGACTCACCACCGCAGTCTCCCGCAATGGCAGCGCTCACTCTTCTCGATGACTCGATGAGTACTCTACAGAAGGTGCTGGCCCTCTTTGCGACGGTATTTATCCTTCTGGTGATCAAACCACTTTTTCTCCCACTGCAAACTATTCCAGGTCCCTTCCTGGCCAGGTTTTCACGACTCTGGTATCTCAGCAAGGTCTGGAGAGGCGATTTTGAAAAAACGAACCGCCGGCTGCATGAGCGCTATGGTACTGCCATTTATGCCGCGCAAAAGTTGAACAATTCCTGACGCTCTTCCAGGTCCTATCGTCCGTATCGCTCCTAGTGAGTATAGCCTTAGTGACCCGGAGAGCCTGAAGGTTTTATATGGTCATGGTACTTCATTCACCAAAGTGAGTCATGCAAAGGCCGCTGATGTGTGATTTTATTGACGCTGACGCCGACAAGGGGTCCTGGGTAAGTTCCAACTGCCGTCGTCTCCATGGAGTTGAAAGATTGTCAGGGCTGAGGTCTCATGCAGTACATCGCCACCGGAAGTCCAGATCCCGGAGTTCACAATCTTTTCTCCGACATCAATGCTAAGCGACACTCGGAGAATCGAAGAAAAGTCGCTGCACTGTACTCCATGACCAGCATTCTCCAATATGAGTGGTGTACGACTGAATGCATTAACAAGTTCGTGACCAAGTTGACAGAGATGTCATCGGAACGCCAGCCCGTCGACATGCAGCTGTGGCTCCAGTACCTCGCCTTCGACTTGATTGGCATGATAACAGTACGCGTAGCCCTTCACAATTTGAGCAGAGCTGATATTTTTCCTAGTTTTCGAAACGCTTCGGCTTCTTAGATACGGGAAGAGACCAAGACGACATTCTCGCATCAATACACGCTTACTTGGTCTACATGTCGAATATGGGAGTCTACGCTGAGTTTCATTCTCTAGCCTCTAAGCTACAGGCAAAATTCTCGAAGTCGGGCTTAGCACAGATGGAGGTTTTCACACAACGACAGATCGATCATCACCTTCAAAGCTCATCGAAAGAAACAATACCCGACGCCGAGAGGACGGATTTTGTCTCCAAGCTACTGGAAATGCACAAGGCTCAGCCCGACAAAATCTCATTGGAGAATGTCTTTATGGCTTGTCTCACTAACGTAGGTGCTGGGTCAGACACGACATCGATCAGCCTGAGTGCCATTTTGTATTACCTCATTAAAAGCCCAGACAAGTACAAAAAGGCAGGCTTCCTTCCTATTGAGAATCTATGTAACCAAAAAGCTAACAGGCCGAAGCTCCGCGACGAGATAGACGAAAGTTATTCAAGCGGCGAGGCATCTAGGCCAATGACATACCAGCAATCGCAACGCCTCCCATATCTGCAAGCGTGCATCAAGGAAGGCCTTCGGCTGCATCCTGCAACTGGCCTGCCACTAGCTCGCGTTGTACCGAAGGGAGGTGCCCAGATCTGTGGCCGATTCTTTCCAGAAGGGGTATGTCCATCTCTAGTCCGCTGCTCTTCCCCATCTTTTGCTGTGGCTTCTTTTGTTTCGACTTTCCATCCGCTGACAATGACATTCTTCCTTGGGGATGCAGACAACCGTGGGCGTAAACGCCTGGGTCATGAATCGAAATCCAACCGTTTTCGGTCCAGATGCCGATGACTTCAGGCCGGAGCGCTGGCTTGAGAGCAGCGAACGAGCTAGCGAGATGGATCGACACCTCATGAGCGTGTGTGCCCCACCTTTTTCTCAATCCCAGTGTCCTCGCGGAGGTGTCTTGTTCTTTTTACCGAGAAGAATATTCTCAAGTTTTTACCCATTAGCACCACGATCACGGTCGAATGAAATTTCTGACGCACAATAGTTCGGGCTGGGATCCCGCACATGCATCGGGAAAAACATCAGTCTCATGGAAATTGGCATCGCCCTGCCGGAAATTGTTTCCCGCTTCGATTTCGAATTGCTCAAGCCTCTGGAGGAGTTGAAGACGGAAAATGTATGGTTCGTCAAGCAAAAGAATTTTGCTTGTTGGGTCTCTTTGAGACAAAAATGAACTTGTTACGAAGGTAGCGAGGAAGGTGTTGGAGACTTTTGCTTCCCAGTCGCAATTAACAGCAGAGCAACATATGTAGCTTTGAACCTTGCTCTAGTAACGCGGCTTTGTAGATGAATCTGTTCATTTTCTGCTCAGCTACACAAGTCCGAAGAGTCGCACGGCTCTCGACTTTCGAAAGGCCCTGGAGCCTACTAGATCAATGTTTGCTAATACTGTCCTTCCCATTGTTCTGTTCTGAAATCTACTTGATGAATACGACAACGAACTGATCTACGGGGTGTTGGTGCTACGGCTGAATTTGGCGAGTGTGAAAGGGCTGCCATTCTTCAGTACTGGCATATACATTTATTTGGCGAGGACTGAGTGAAAATTATTACTGCTCTTGCACAA